GATGGAGCTAATAGTGATACTTGGCCATCAATAAGGAAACTCCTTAATCGTGAGACTCAATCAGCTGTTTCTGGGTTCTCTGCTGAACTTACCAGATTTGATGTGGACGAACAAACAAGAAAGGACATGATTGTGGGTATAGAGGATTATGCAAAGGGTGTAATAGAAGCCAAGGCTAGAGAAGAAGCTGGCAGAGTTCTAATCCGTATGAAGGACAGGTATGAACCTTATGCAACATTTAGGTTGACTTGTTCTACTTTAGGGGCACTTACCTTCAATTTTAAAGCAGGTTTATGACATTGTTTAGTCATGATTCTGATTCAATGCCTCGTATTTGGACGGAACAAGAAGATGTTCGAGCCATCACTAAGACTGCTCGCTCTGCAGTATGACATAATTAAGATTCACATTTTCTTACCTGCGTTTGTATAGCATTTGGGATACCTTTTTAACCATATTTAACCATTTGTAGTGCTTGAAGTTGCTGTCTGTAATGGCCGTAATTCGTATGGACGATGAGGACGACATTTATAATATTGAGAAAACATTAACAATTGCACTGGGGGATTCATCAAGCAAGTCTGCTAAAGATAGGAGTATCACAGCAGTTGATCCACTGGCTTCAAGCACTTGGGACCAGGTGTATTTTTATTAGCTAAGTTATATTTGATAAATGATTGATCATAAATGCAACCTAAGAGGAGAATTAACTGGTATGTCTCCACTCCTAACTGATATAAATGAAGCAGGCTTTTTGAGAGCACCTAGTCTCTTCCTCCCACCAGTTTCCTCACTTCATAATTCTGTGATTTCCTTCATTCTCACTCTTCTCTATTATCTGCTCTTTCTCTAACATCATCTTCCATCACATTCTTCACCTCCTGACTTGTAAGCATGTGGTTATTTCTCTTTACTTCAGTATTCACATTGTCAGCAGCAGTTGTGTGAAGTTCTGATCCCCTACATCTTCTTCTCCCTTTCTGTGGTACACCTTAGTGAGCTTCCAAATAACCTAAGTATTAAATAAAGCATTCACTTTCATAGATTGGTGTTTTGATTGTATATCATCCTTCATTCCTTCTGTATGCTTACAGCAGCAAATAAAATGAAGAGAAAATTACTGAGTGATGTTCTTGTGAATTGATTAATATATATTTTAGGCTAAAGAATGCTGTGTTTTGATCTCTTGCATGCTCTTATGATTTGAGTCTACAGTCGAGACTGATCACCTATTCTGAGTTAATTTTCTTTGTAGGTCCCACCCTCTAAAACATTGATCACACCGGTTCAGTGCAAATCCTTGTGGAGGCAATTCAAGATGGAGACAGAATATAGTGTCTCTCAGGCCATTTCTGCTCAGGCAAGATGTTCGGTCTATTCTTTTTATGATTTTCAAGGTTTCTCTACTTACAGGAAAATTTACAATGGCAAAATTATAAGCAATATAAATCCCATGAGTTTCTTTTTATCATTGGCTATTTTAAAGTTGTATGGCTTAAGTCGTCTAGTTTTATTGTATCAAAGAAATGCAGCTAGGCTTCACTTTGTGTGCTACTTACAAGGAGGGAGTAAGATTGACCTTTCTAGGGCGAGTACCATGGTCTCCCCCGCCCCAACCCCAACTTTTTTATGTTTCTTGCATTTGGTCCAAAAGACTGCTTGCTCTTTTTTGTTTAGGCCCCTATGCAGATGTTACATGATGATCTGCTGACTAGTGGATATATTTATTTTGATAAGCATCTTGGATGCATATTTATATATATATACAAATGTTACATTATGTAATTTTTAAAAAATTTTCAGGATGCCAACAAGCGTAACAACAACTGGTTACCTCCACCATGGGCAATTGTTGCTTTGATTATTCTTGGATTTAATGAATTTATGACACTTTTAAGGTGCATTTTAACTTTACCCGCATGATATCTTTCTATTTTTTTTTTCCTTTGAAAGAAATAAAGCTGTGTTTTTATTCACTCTTTAACTCTCGATGTATCTTCTCTGTTCTTAAAGAAGTTTATGCGTGTCCTCCATTGAAACCCTCTAAAATAATCATTAGCGAGCACCATCAGGAGGCCAACATTATCTCATAACAAACGTAATAACTACATCATCCTTGAAATTTTTTTCATTACTGTCCAACCATATTATCAATTAACTACACATATAGCAACCTGCCAAAGGGCTTTACCCTCTTTACTTCTCCCAATATCTCTGGAATGACAAATACGAAAGTGCACCTAGCTCACCACCAAAGGGCCTACCTTATTATTAGTACCTAGAAGCTGAACAGTGCAGAAAACAAATGGTTTTGAGAATATATTTTGGGAGATTCTTTCGACACCCTTTGTTTTATGAAGCCATCGGTACCCTTAACAATTAGTGCTCAATATAATTAACCACTAACTGTTAAGTGGTATCCCGTCGCTGTATACCCCCACAAAGAGGAGGGGTGCCAGAACAATTTTGTGTTTGACATCAACTATTAAATGGACATTTTCAAAAACATAAAAATGTTCAACCTAAAGGAATTTCTTTCCTTTTGTCCAACTATTTTTAACTTAGCTATTCTCACCCAAGTTTGTTATTCTATATGGCAGAAATCCCTTGTATTTATGTCTCATCTTTGTTGGTTATCTCCTCATGAAAGCCCTATGGGTGCAGCTTGACATTACGGGTGAATTTCGCAATGGAGCTGTGAGTATCCTTTACTATTTGTAGTTCAATCCCGAATTATGATTGTTGTTAGGTCTTTCTATTCTATTTATTGAGTTTGGTTCCTGAGCTGTAACAAGAAGCGGCTAGTTCAGGTAATGGGCTGCTGCCAGCTATATATACTAAGTCAGTAACGTACAAGGCGTGTTCTGTCAGCCTTGTTTAAGTAGATGCATTAGAGCATGTACGTACCGTCTGGATGCGAGTGCTAGTATTTAGATGGCTTGTGACCTAGTCCTTTAGTAGAGCATACATATTCCATCTGCATGAGACTATTAGGATTTAGTTGCCTTGTAGAGTAGTGCTCTAGCCAAGTTATCTAAGGCGGTTTCTCTGCTTTGGAGGATTTGTTTGGTATCCTTACTTCTTATTGTTCTCTTTCAGCTTCCAGGAATCATATCCTTGTCTACCAAGCTTATTCCAACTGTCATGAACATTGTCAGAAAGCTAGCAGAGGAAGGACAGGTGCCTGCAACCAATAATCCTCCTCGGAGAAATCCTTCAAAAAGCAATCACAATGCTGTTGCTGATGGTAGTGCCACGTCATCTAGTGCTTCATCTCATGTAACTTCATTGGACAAAGGAACCGAGTATCCTGGTCCATCAAAATATGAGTAACTAGCGCTATTTATCTACTTTGCTGATAAGCAAACTCTTCTATTGGAATGTGGTGAGGTCTGCTGGGTTTTGCTTCAAAAGGCATTGATTTTTGTGCAAGAGCCACAACCCGGGTCCGAGGTACCCCTTGAAATAGATATCTCTTGTCCAGTTAAGTTCTTTAGTTAGTAGGAGAAGTTAGGTTATTCTACATGATTTACAGTTATATATGTTTTCTGAAAGTATGTTTTGAAAATTTAAATGTTGAACTCGTATGTTTATGATAGATTTTTAAGATTTTGACTAATGTATCTGCATGTTACATTTACGATCATGTTTGCTACCTGTAATGCTGACGTTCTATCAGCTTTTTGTCTGGCTTTGGCAAACATAACAAGGGTTTCTATTGTTTAATGCTTCAGAATTATTTATATTCATGAGCAGATAATGGCAGCAAAAATACCTGTCTTAGTAAAATATGTTTGCGTTGGGCAAAAGAAATTTTAATCACCGGAAATTACTGTAAACATGTTTACCTCGTTTATATGTTATGAGAATATTTATAAAACTCAAGTGACTTGTCACTTTTTTTTTTAATAATTTGAAATTTTTGATTTTTTTTTAATTTTTCAACATTTTGTAAGGATTTTCAAAAAATAATTTGAACAAATAATTTTTCATTAGATTGTTTTAAAAAAAATGTAACTTGATTAAATAGCACCACTAGATAGATTCTTAAGTTCGGAACAACTAAGACATGTTTTTGCTTTTCTATTTACGCTTAATTGTACTTTAAAATTTTAATCTACCTCATATGAATCCATGATTAATGTATAACTTCTGTCTTTCACAATTATTTACTTGAAATTAGTTTTCTATTCCTTTTTATCTTTACTCATTCTTTCGTAAGTATTTTACTTGAAATTCGTAATTTTCACTTAGAAGTTGTGATATAATTTATGATATGAAATACTTTAAAATTTTTGATAACAAATAATGAAATTTCAAAAAAAAAAAAAATAGAAAATGAGATTAGGGATTTTGAGAGAAAGAAATTAAGATTTCATGATTGAGTTGAAAAAGATTAAAAATGATTTAATCGGTTAGGTTTGCAAAAATTTTGAGCAGAAAATAAAGATATAGATATGGTCGATTGAAGAAAATATTTAATTGTAATAATTGTATAAACATTAAATTTTTCTGATAGTCCCTAGACTATTTGAAAATTTTTAAATGAATCTTTATACCCTACTAAGACAAGGACCTATTTGAAAATATACAAATAGTTCAAGAAATAGGTCTCTAACTTATATTCAGCAATTAATTGGATTGTTTAAAAATTTTGGAAAAAACCCCCAGGATCATAAGCATTCTATCCAACTTAGATGAAATCCCAACGGATTATAAGTTCAAGGACACAACAATAAACTTCTAAAGTGTAAAGACCTATTTAAAAATTCTCAAATTGTGCTGGGACTAACTTTAAAACAACTTTTATAAAATACTCGTGTTTCTATTCAAATCAATCCAATTTATCATTTCTGTTTGAAACAATCGAAGTTATTAAAATAATATTAAGAATGAGATTTTTTAATGGTAAAAAAGATATGAAGAAACATTCATTTTGGTCCCCAATTGTAAGGTTGGCATCACTTTGATCCTTGAAGAAAGATAGCTAACATCAATCTAAGTCTCTGAATTATAGAAAGTGACATCAAAATTATACTTTTATGTACACACAAATTTCCAGCATCAAAATTCATTTTATATTGAAATAAAAAGGAAAACATAAACAAGAGAGAAAGTTAAGGTTTTCCAGATACAAGAAAATACCAGTGAATCATTTTGATTACGCCAACTGAGATGCTTCTTCTGAATCAGTCAATGGTAATAGGGTGCAGACGCCAAGCATGTGACCGTTTAGGCAAACATAATACTCAACACAATCTTCATAGGAACCCAGCCTGCAACTGGCACTTTGAGGGATCATTTTGGCTTGCAGCATGCTCCACAACTTTGCTTTACAGTAAGGGCAAACTTCTGTTGGATGGAGATTGGCACCTTTCTTAATAAGTATCTTCCTAACCTTTGAAGTTGCAAATGACTTAAAAAGTCCACGGAAGAATCCCACATCTCCTTCTTCACATTGGTCAAGATGTTCACAAGGATCAGATACATACAAAACATCAGTTCTACACTGCGGCAAAAGAAAGCTCCTTCCTGATGTTCTAGAAAATCGAGTCTGATAAACAAAATGACCAGGAATTTGATTTGTATTGAACAAGCCACCTTTCTTGCATCCGGCACAGTATATAAGCAGCTTCCCTAGGGCACTCCAGTTCCCATCAACACTGTGACTCCCGCTAGATTGCAGATCAAGCATCATTTTTGGAGCTCTTGTTCGACAAAACTCTTTCCATAGAACTCGCTTGCCAAGATCATCAAACCATTTGCACACACATGACAGAGTAGCAATTAGCTTGGGATTCCAATTCAAATGATGAAATACTAAGAATATCACATCTTCACTCAAATGCCCTTTTGTGCATTCACAGCTAGCCGAATGCATGCATCGGTACTGCTTTATGAGAATCATTTTTAGTAACTGCCAAAACTGAGAAAAATCACAAGTTTATGACACCCCCTTGCTGGAATACTAGCTTCCTGCAAAATAATAATTTTAAAATTAAAAACCTGAATCAGTTTGATGTCTAAAGTACTCGAAAACAAAAATCTTTATCCTCCATTTCTTGAACATGCATGTCACACATACTTCCACACTGTTACTTCAAATACTTACAATTCATAAAATAACATATTCTCCCAAGTCCTAACACCACTGGAGCACTATACACACAAAATGAGGTATAACCACAAAACATGTTGGCAATTATGCATATAAAAGCTAGACAAGTTCCAATTCAAAGAGAGGGAAGGAGGGTAAGAGTCTCAAAAGTATGACGCAAGATAATGTTGTAAATTCCAGTGATGTTGAATTAATAATGATCGAACTCACTTTCCAGTAATATATATATATATATATTCAACAGAATCCGCACTCAAAATGAGAAATTTACGAAAGCCCTCTGCTCAGCAATCAGCAAAGAAATTGAGAGTGAAATGGACCATTGATTGGAGCTTAAATTTAGAAAATCTCTAAACTGACCTTAGCTTGAGCTTATTTGATCCATGGAAACCAAACCCTAGAAAAACCAAGTTCCACGTCCAATTGATGAGTTGAAAGGGTTGTGAAAGCAGAGAAGAATGCAATTGCAACATAAACTTGGTATAGCATTTTTCTTCGGAGGGGTAATTTAGTCCACAAATGCATAGAAAACGCTGAAAGCAGACATCGCCGGAAAGAAAGAGATTGTAGCAATTGGATCGGTTTCCCTATCATTTATTCAGCCCCCATCTTTTTCTAGAAATAATATAACATTATAATTCTTTTATGTGGGCTAATAAACATTATTTTATTAATATGTTTATTAATTTTTTTGTGTATACTATATTTATATTATTTTAATGGTAAAAAATCATTAATTAAAAACACTAATTTTTTTATTGAAAGAAATTTTGTTAAACTCGGATGAAACTTTCATGAACGATAATTTTTTTAAAAAATATTTAATTAATATTATAGTATTAATTGAAATTCAAATTTCATGCACCAGCTACCTCTCACTCTTTCACCCTCTCACTCCAGCACTGCAGAATTTGCCTTTTTCCCTCTCTATCTTTATGTTCATAAATTGGAATTGTACGTCTATGCCTAGGAAAACATTGCACAAGTCTCTCTCTCATTATTGCTCTGCTTGCTTTTTAAGAGAAAATGACCAATGTGTTTGGTGGGGAAAATGTTTGCAAATATATTTTTTTTAGTTTTATAAAATTATTCAGTCGAAATATGCTAATTTTTATTTAAAAGTGACTCCAATTATTTAAAAAATAGAATATGTCAATTACACTGTTTAGATTTGGGAAGAATCTGTCAAATATGCTGTGGTGGTACGGGTTTTTGGCCCTATTCTTTTCCTAATAACATTGCACATTTATTTGATAATGCATTAGCCCACATAGTATGCAACCTCTATCTACTATACTTGTATTCACAAACCTTGTTGGCATTTATGATAAATAATTGTTTATTTAGGCAAGGAACGTGAATATCATAAATTTCATTGAACCTGAATTATGATCCAGGCCAGGCTCATATGCTGTGGTGCATGACAACTTTCAAAATAGACTATGTCCTTTACAAATGCGTCACCGGAAAGGAAAGATGATAAATAGCTGGAAAATCAAGAAAAAGAAGAAAAATTCACAGATAGCATTTGCAAAAATGGTGTGTGAATTCTGAACAGTTATAAACACATTTGGATGTAAGAATGGCAACGATGTGAGATCTGTGTATATGTGTGTGTTATTAGTTATTACTTCCTAATCATTTTAACTGCCCTGAGGACCAACTTGCAGAAGAAAACTCTGACGATATATGCATATATTACGTAATTTTTTAACGAAAAATATTATATATAACTTCCTAATCAAAGGGTTTAATAAATTTCAAAGGGTGGAAGTAGATCAACTAACATAATGGTCCATTAATTGTCCCATCAGCTCCTTTTGTCTTCCAACACAGTCACCAAATAATACCAGCAATCATGCACAACAGTAGTTTCTATGATGGAGTTTAGACACAATCATCACTAGACTTGTGAGTTTCATATACAGTCACATACCAGTTAGCAACCTTACTATTATGGGATAAACTTCATCCAAGTTTTATTACACAATTTACAGTATTTAGTAAGTGTAAAGATCATTAAGTTAAGAAAAATCTTGTAAGGCTTGAAATTAACTTGTTTTTTAAATTCAAAAATTGAACATGGCATTTATTTGATGTAGATTTTTTAAAGATCCAACCTGATCTAAAAGTCTTTTTCTTTTTTTTTCACTTTCTTATCAATAAGAAATGGCAGAATCCTTCTTTCTTAATTTTGCTTATTTATAAGTATTAATGATTGTTTAGCGAAGCACAAGTGACAGTTGAAAACAACGAACAGTTGCGAAGTCCAGCTTGTGGTTTAATAAATGTTTAAAACGATGTAACTACAGTTAGTCTCCCTTGTAATTTGCATTATTTACATTTATAAATTTCTTCATTGAAAATGGGAGTAATATGTGTACTTTTAAAAGATAAATTTGTGCCAGTATAGAAAATTAATAAATGATAAATTTAAGTAATATGTGTTTTATTTCCTTCAAATAAAATTTTGAATTTAAAATTATTTAAAAAAATAAAAAAAATCACCTAAAAATGTAATTTAGATCTACATCTAAAATATGTATAATAAAAATGATGTGTAATTTTCTATTTAATGAAAGTATAGGCATAATTATACCTAAATTCAGGAAGGTCCATGCAAATTATTTCAAACAATAAAATTTTAGTATTCATTCCTAAAATCATAAAAAAAATTAAATGATTAATAAAATAAAAATAAAGACAAAGCTTAAGTATAATTCTTTATATTTTTTATATATAATTTTTATTAAAAATAAAAGTTTACCGTAATAAAAAAAATTGACATTTAAAGTTGTCACAAAAGGTAAAACTGTAAGTATATATATATATAACTAATCAGGTCTATTTAATAAAAAAATATTTTATTTATCAAAAAATATAATACCTTGTAAAATTTAATGCATTCCAATCTCCCTCTATTTTTTTTAACATTTAAAATTCTGCACAAACATTACAAAATATATTTTATATTTTAAAATTCATTATCAAATTATTACTTTACTTCACATTATACTCTTACCTATTATATTAATTATCTTATTTATTTATAATTTTTATAAGATAAACATTGATTATTAAAATAACATTATAAATAAAATATTAATTGCTCATTAATTTTATAAAATAAAATAAAAAGTGAATTTGTTAAAGTGTTAAAAGAAAAAATTGGAAAGAATGATTTTTATTAAAAGTCTAGTTCTTATTGATTTTTATATAGTGCATGTATCTTTTACTTGAGATAATCATGTTTAAGCTAAATAAAACTATTATAAAAATAATAAAATTTTATTATAATTTTATATTATTAATATAAATATATATTTTAATACAAATTAATATTATTAAATATTAAAATCTATCTAAAATAGTTTTTAGCATTTATAATATCAGCTATATCTGACTTTAGTAAGATTATTTTAAGTGAAAGATACTTATAATAAAAAAAAACATTTAAACTCAATATTTTAAAAAAAAATTCGAATCCCTAATTAAAAAATATAAAATTTGAGACCAAAATTGAATCCTGAAATGAAACAACCTAACAAGATGGGAGATTTTGTGAATGGGGATAGAGAAGACATGTATTTGGTGGCATATTAAATACAGAGCTTTATTACTCTTGCTGGTCAGTGAGCTGTCAATGGTGGATCAGTCATCACTTAATCTCATCACAAAAATCCAACGGTCAGCTTCTTCCACTTCCTTTCCTCATTCAATGTTTTCCAGTTTTTGTTTCAGTCTTTTCAGAGATATAAATTTCTGTTATAAATAACCTCTGGTCCTACCCTTTAAATATTTTCCATAATTTCAGCTATTTTAGTTACTATCATTTTATAATTATTCTAAATTTATCTTTTCAAAAATTTAAACAATATTTTTTAAATTTCTTTTGTTTAATCAATGAATTTCTCTAAATTATTCTATAGAATAAATAAATATATCTTGAAGACAAGTGCTAGGACCGATTACTTGGTTGGTTTATCTATTGAACCATTCAGACTAGTTTAGTTTTTATAACTATAGCTATATTTTATTATAACCACATATATTTTATTTAAATATTTTAATTTTTAACATTATATATATGAACTATTAATATTTTCTTATCAATCATTTTTTATAATTTTATGTAATTAAAACTATTTTTTTTTTGTTTTAAACTTATATGTTTCACATTTCACCTTTATTTTTAAAATACCTTACAATCTGTATTATACTTATTAGTATTTAGTATCCTTGATTTCCATCTCTTAGTTGTAAATTCATATTATTATAACCTCAAGGAAACAGCTTGGTTTTAATGGAGCCATTTTTCGATAACTTTAATCTCCTATCACTCTCCTCGTGTGCGATCTTAAAATTTTCTTAAAAAAAGTAAGAAGTTAAAAACAATCTACTTTTATATTTTTATATTTATTATTTTAATTTTATCAATCTTAATTTTTAGAGTTAAGTTGAAACATAAAAAAATATATAATTCTTCATTAAAAACACATTCATTATATTAAAATTATAAAAAATATAATAAGTATTATCAATGTTAATATTTTATTTATTTATTTTTATTTTCCTTTTTTATCATATTATACTTAATATCCCTCTCTCTCTCTCTCTCTCTTTAATTTTTCTATTTCTCACTTTTCTCCTGAAATTTTAATTTTTGAATAACAATGGAGACATTTCTCGTACGTATGGGACGCATTTGGAGTATATTTATAGGATGGACACACACAAAACTAGGCCAACCAGAGGCAGCCACTTAGAGGTTGGGAAGAAGCAGTTTCTTCAGTGAGTGCTTTTCTCAGACTCAATGGCGTCGATTGGTGCAGTCAAATTCTTGCTGTATTTGGTTCTTTGCCTCGTCAACTATCTACCTCTTTGTCAAGGTTTATTATTATTATTGATCTCAAGCAAACCCTCTACTTCTATGATACTTGCATGTTTTCAAGAGTTCTCTCTGCAAAGCTGATTTTTTTCATCAAAATACACAAAAGGGGTTCTCCATTTTTCATATCTCTAGTTTCCATTAGCTAATGGCATCCGGGTTTTACTTCATATGGAGTTTCACTTCAATGGCTCACAAAAGGCTTAGATCACAGGCAACATGTTCAGTTTGTTTGTTGATTAAACATGCGGCTGTTTTTCTAATTGAAAAAATAAATCTTAGAGCTGAGTTTAAACATAAAAAGTAGTAACTTACTTTAAAAAATATAAATGCTAAATAACTTTTTTTTTAACCAAATGTTGTTATTTTTATACGTTTAAAAAGGACTGAAGTTAACATTTTAAAAAAATATAATACTTAGTTTACGTTTTTTGGTTTGGTGAGGAAATGTGATAATCTCTAGGGATGAGGGATCTTCATGAAAATGGGACTTAAGGGAATTTGATTGCAGGTAAGGAGAACTGGTATGAACGGTACCCATTTATCAGAAAAGCAAGTTCATTCTCATCTTCACCAAGCAGCATGAACAATGGGTATGATTACATAATAGTGGGAGGTGGCACTGCAGGGTGTCCATTGGGTGCAACCCTGTCTAAGAACATGAAAGTTTTGGTGCTAGAAAGAGGAGGAGTCCCTTTCAACAACCCCAATGTGTCCTTCTTAGGGAACTTTCACATTACCTTGGCGGATACTTCACCAACTTCAGCATCCCAATACTTCATTTCAACCGATGGAGTCCTCAATGCAAGGGGAAGAGTTTTAGGTGGTGGCAGTTCCATTAATGCTGGCTTCTACACTAGAGCAAACCCAAGGTACCTTTCAATCTTTTCTTATATCCCATTCTATATATATATTAGTCAATGACCTTACGTAGATATCTTAATTAACTTACACATCAGTTCTTACAGAAAGCACTTGCCCTCGAGCAGGATATCTGCTAAAGTAATAATTAAATATCTTTTATATATTTTGCATTTAATTAGATTTTGACGGCCATGTTCCTTCTCCCATGTTATGAGAGAGAAGAAAAAAAAAACTACAAAAAATGATAATATAAACTTAAAATTATTTGTTTAAGGTTCATAACTTACTTTTATATTGTTCTGTCTTATAATACGGAAAAAGTCACGAGAAGGAACATGAAAAGGAATCTATATATTGAAATTTTTACTAATGTACGTATTATCACAAATTAATAATATTGATCAGATTTAATATTTGATTTGTGATTATTTCAATTGTTGTTTACATTTATGAATTCACACGAAATTTAAAGTGTAGTAAATTAAGTGAAATTTTTATCATTATTATCCGCATAACAATAGCAATGCATAAATCTCAAAAAATATAAAGCAAGTCGTTGACAATGTGATATATTGATGGTCTATATTAATTTCTTTATAGCAATAAAATTATTTATTAATACAATGTATGATAATGTTATGTTAATTATTTCATTTATGTTAAATAAAATGTATAATCATGAGTCTAACAAACATTTTTTTTTCTAGTGTTACTCATGTGTTATACTTGTCTGCTTCGAAAACCATCAAGTACTAACATTTTAATTCTATTGTGCGCTTAAGTTTTCACGTTGTTTTACTTAAACTTAAATAATAAATGTCTTTGATTTTCTTTCTCTTTCATTATTCATTAGGTTTTGTAGCTGATTAATGTTTCCAAAAGAAATTGTGTAGGGGGATGAACATAAGAAGGGCACACAGCAATGTAGTCCTTTCAAAATGAAACATTTAGATGGGTGTCATGTTACCTATTTACATTTAATTTTAATCCAAGTTACCTATTAATTAAATGATGGACCAAGGTGAAAGTAGATGACATTTATGGCACTCCCCCCACTATTGACCAGAAGCAAAAAATAAAAAATAAAAAATAGCAATCCCTCACCCACCCCTTCTACCCACCCTACTAGCAAGCAGGCAGGTTATGTTTTTCAATTGTCAACTGAGAACTTTAATATTTTTTTTTTATTTTGTGTATAAATATATTTAAAATAAAATAATTTTGGTTTGAAAAAAATTATTTTAAAAGCGTGTTAAAGTTTAGAGTAAAATTCTTAACCTAACATAAAAATTCTTTTTAAAATATAATTAAGTTTAACCGTAAACAATTTTCTTAGAAATAAAAGTTATTAAGAATCACAATGTATTTTCATTAAACACGATTTTGTAGAAGTGTTGATAATAAATCTTCATGATTTTTAAAATTTAACTTTTAACCTGTCAACTAAATTACTTATTACTAACTCTTCTTCTTCTTCTCTTCTTAAAAAGGGGTTTAAGTCTCCCTCAACAAATCCAAATATGCTCAAAGATGAAGTAGTCAATGGTATCCCATCAATTTATGTTTACAACATTTATGACTATCTGTTTTTATATAATCCCTATTTCATCAATTAAATGCGCATTGTGTGGTCCTTCATAGCCGTATTTCATGTCACGGAAGGGGTTAGGTGAGGGATTCACATCTAAGGAAAAGGAGGGAAAAAAAGTGCAGCTTACACAATAGTCATTCAATCTGTTTTAAGGTTCTCTATTTTTTGGTAAAATCATTAAGATGCGCCCATACACAATGATAATTGATAAACAAAAATTGTTATCCATATGGTTGATTTGGTTTTTAATAAAGCATTTATTTTATGAATATTTTTTTTTCAAAATTATTTTTAAATTAAAAAAACTATTTACAAAAATATAGTTGAAAGGTTGCTGAAAAAAAAAATATTTCTCAAAGGTGTTGGTAACATTTTTCATCGGAAACCTCGGAAGTCGTAACCTTTGAAATAGAAATTCGCACACACGACTGAGAATTGGTATATATGCAATGTGATGTACTTTTATGCTCTATACTTTTAATATTTTAAAAAAATACATCATACGCTAAATTAAAGTTACTTAATAAAATATGAATCCCTCCATTCTAAAATAAGAATTATTTAGAATGTTACATAAATATTATAAATTTCTATATATTAGGGAAAAATTATCAGAAGATTCAATTAATTCTTTTTAGGTGTAACTTACTGATCCTTTATCTCTTAAAATAAAGAATAACTATTGAGCACCAATTTACAGAAGGAAGAATAATGATGGAAAAACATAATAAATATTTTGTTAAGGTTATAAATGGATAAATAATTTAGAATAAAATATACTAAAATAAGACTTATTTACTAGTATCCGGTCGTTAAAAATTAAAAGATTTTTTTTTTGGTAACAAGTAATTGCGACTAACATAAAACTTTGTTGGTTTGAGGAAACAATTTAGCATTAATATTTAATGATATTCCTCCAAAGCATTAATATAATTGAAACACGTATTTTCTTAACATTTCTATACTAATTAACGTGCAGATTTATAAGGAAGGTGGGGTGGGATCCGAAGCTGGTAAATGAGTCATATCCTTGGGTTGAGAAGCAGATTGTTCACCGTCCAAAGTTTTCATCGTGGCAGAGAGCAGTTAGAGACGGCCTTCTAGATGCTGGTGTCTCTCCCTTTAATGGCTTCACATATGATCACAAGTATGGAACCAAAGTTGGTGGAACCATCTTTGACAGATTTGGCCGCCGCCACACTGCTGCTGAACTCCTTGCTTCTGGGAATCCTGATAAACTTACTGTTTTGATCTATGCCACTGTCCAAAAGATTGTTTTTGACACAACAGGTACATGTAAAAAACACATTTTAATTTATGAACATTCCAATTATGTAACTATTCTTTTTTTTTGTTTTCTTTTCTTATCATATTATATCATGATCACATGTATTACTTTTGTAGTTTATTCTTGTTTTTCTCCAAGTGTAATAAACATTTTTCTATAAAAAATATATTTATAGTTAAATTGGTCTACTTGATGGGGAGTATATATGTCATGTCATGTAAATTTTCACGTGGGAGAACTGTGTGAAGAGAGATATAGAAGCATACAGTACACTAAATAAGTGAAGTTCTCTCAAAATTTATGAGATTATATGTGCAAGATCCTTCATCCTTGTGTCTATATATCTCTTCACATCACATGTTATTGTTATGTAAAAGATTCACACGAGAAAAAAAATATATATTCGTTTGTTGAAAGTTTATCAGGTTACAAAGACATGACTGAAAATGGTGATGGTATTGTTGCAGGAAAAAGACCAAGAGCTACGGGGGTTATTTTCAAGGATGAAAATGGGAAGCAGCATGAGGCAGTTCTGGGAAATGACAGGCAGAGTGAAGTGATTGTGTCTAGCGGGGCAATTGGAACTCCTCAATTGCTATTGCTCAGTGGAATTGGCCCAAAAGAAGAACTTCAGAAATTGAACATCCCTGTGGTGCTTGACAACCAATTTGTTGGGAAAGGCATGGCTGATAACCCCATGAACACAATTTTTGTTCCTTCTAAGAGACCAGTTCAGCAGTCACTCATCGAAACTGTCGGTATTACCAATTTGGGTGTGTACATTGAGACTAGTAGTGGGTTTGGGCAGTCCAGGGATAGCATTCACTGCCACCATGGTATCTTGTCAGCTGAGGTGTGCAATATACTTGCTAAATTTACTTATTTTATGTGGACCACATTGAAATGCTTATCAATTGTGTTATTACTTATTGTAACATGTATTAGTGTCTAAATTCCATTTAGCTTAATAAATCAATCATAAGCCAAAAACACTAAGCAAACTAGCAAGATATTGATCTGAAATTGCATATATAATAACAAGGTACATAGACCAATGCTAAGCATTAAACATAATTTTTTTAAAAAAAATTTATATGACAAACCAGATTGGGCAGCTCTCCACAATTCCACCTAAGCAAAGATCACAAGGAGCTGTTGAAGCTTATGTGAAGAGCAAGAGAGACATACCGGTAGAAGCATTCAGGGGAGGCTTCATCTTGTCAAAAGTTGCCAATCCTTGGTCAACAGGTGAGCTCAGGTTGATCAACACAAAAGTGGAGGACAACCCTGCTGTTACTTTCAACTACTTCAATCACCCTTATGATCTTAAGCGCTGTGTGGAGGGAATCCGGTTGGCTATGAAGGTTGTGCAGTCACAGCACATCACAAACTACACATTGAGTGATAGACAAACCACAGAGAAACTGCTTAACCTCAGTGTGAAGGCTAATGTCAACCTCATACCCAAACATGCCAATGACACAAAATCACTACAGCAGTTTTGTAGAGATTCTGTTATCACTATTTGGCACTACCATGGTGGGTGTCATGTGGGGAAGGTAGTTGATTCTGATTATAAGGTTCTTGGTGTTGACAGACTCCGTGTGGTAGATGGTTCAACCTTTACTGAGTCACCAGGAACCAATCCTCAAGCTACTGTCATGATGATGGGAAGGTATGTACATAACATAACACTGAGTAAACATGTTTGGATAAAATTTATGACTATTTAGAAGTTAGGGTACTAACTTACCAACAAATATAATCTTCACCTTTTGGTGTGCTAATGATATTTTTATGTTTGTGACAGGTACATGGGACTGAAGATTTTAAGGGATAGGTTCGGGAAATAGACTGGTATTTAAGGATTAGTATGTAATATGAAGGTTATGTCAACAAAATGAAAAAAAAAAAAAAGTGTAATTTGAAGACAAGAACAATATTAGTTGTAGGAGTGGAAGTTCATGTATTTTTTTGTTAATTGTCAGTGAAGAGTGATTATTAAACAATCAAAAAAGCTTTGGTTTTTCTAAAAAGAAAAGTCACGGTAACTTCTCAAGGGCGGGTTTAAACTTTAACCCCAATTTTACAGTTATTTGTAAAAATAAAATAAAATAAAATAAAATGTTTTCCTAAGGTGTATTTTTTGGGATGATTGCTGATAAAAAAAAAAAAGGTTTTTGGGTTGATTGATTCATGACATTTGTAATACATTAGTTTGCTCACAGACATGACTTTTGGAATGGCACCTCTTTATAGTACACATGCCTTTTCTCTAATGGGAAAATGGTAAAGAAAAAGAAAAAAGAAAGCATAATGGAGACGTGGGTGACACCTCTTTTGCTATGTATTATCATATACGCATTAGTGGATACGCACAACAAAATCAAAATCTTTGGATTGAAAGATTTTTCTAGAATGAAACAGGGTCTGAATTCATTTGTGCAACGAAGGAAGTTTTAGCACAAACACCATTCTTTAACTAATGCACCATTCATTTGTACTGACTTAGAAATTTCAATTGAAAAGTTTTCCTTAAAAAATATGTTAAATTGCATTAATTACATTTTGAGACAAATGTTTTGCTTTTGATTCCTTTAGCATTTGTCTTTTATAAATATGTACCTCTAGATGTTCTCTATGCTCTCAATTGTTCAGCATTAATTAATTCAGTATTCATGATGCATCGAGTCCATAAATTTGATTGCAATGAACCTACAACTGCAGAATGTATAGCTAAAGATTTTCAAAAGGAGAAGCGTCTTGGGATAGAATAATACAAGACATAACTCCTATATCAAATTCAAATCTAGTAACTTTTATTAGGACCAATGAAAAGTTCTAAAAGGAACCTACCAATTACATTCTGTAGCAGAAAAATGATTAGTCCACCAGAATGCAACAACAACAAAAAAATGGTCTTTTAATACTGGAATTTGGACAAAGCAGTAATCTGCATTTCACAACTAAATACGTTTTGTGGGTGTTAAATGTCTGATTTTTACTTCAGCAGCTCAAGTTTCTGTACTTCAATAGTGACATGAATAGAACACATTGTCTGAAGTTTGTGTCACCAACTTCCAATCCTATCCTAATAAGCAACAGTAAACAAACTTGCATCGTCGTTAGAATTTGCATTCAGGCTGTGGCAAAAGTTTAATGAGATCGAGAACACAGTTCAGCTGAAAATTCTTGCTCCTTCTACACTAACAGCAGTTTCTCCCAGAAGGCTCTAGTGAAAGGCCCTAAAGTAGAATGCTGATAATGCTACCTTGGTTCTTGACCAGAATGATTATCAGGCTGAGACAGGTAATTGATACACTCTATCAAGTCCACCCTCCCACCTGGAACACTAGAAAATTTCCCTTCTACATCAGTTAGGAGACCATCTACTCCAAAACTCCTTGGTCTTTCATAGCTTGTTTCCTCAAACTCACTGCATATCAGCTTCAAGGCCTGAACAACTTCACCCATGAAAGGACGTTGAGTGACTTCTGGTTGCACACACATGGATGCAATTGCTGCAACTTTTACCACAGTATCAAGAGAAACACTGGACTTTATAACTGGGTCTATGATCTTCTGCAAACCCTCCTTGCTTGTCAGAAGTGGACGAGCCCAAGCAACAAGGTTTTCTTGACCTGGTGGCTGTGACAAATCCACAGGCTTTCTTCCAGTTAGGAGCTCAAGGAGCACTACTCCGTAGCTGTAAACATCACTTTTGACAAGAAGGTGGCCAGTCATTGCATATTCAGGAGCTAGGTAGCTGCAAATCAAGATGTCTCGACAACGAGACAAAATCAGTTTTCATCTTGAGGAAATGCATCACAGAATTCGTAATGCATCCATAAAATAAAAATTCACAGGGTTTTGTTGAATACCAGATATTTATTGGACTGAAATTACTACACTATAAACATGTTAATTAGATTATCACATCCATCAAAGCATCAACATGAAAAGGCTGCTATGGTAAGTGATTATTACCCGAACGTTCCCATTACATGTGTTGAGATGTGCTTGTTTCCCTCCTCCAGTGCCGTTCTAGCCAATCCAAAATCTGAAACCTTGGGTGCAAAATCATGTTCCAATAAGATGTTGCTGGATTTGAAGTCCCTGTGGATGACACATGGGCTACAATCTTCATGCAGATAAGCCAATCCCCTAGCTGCACCAAGTGCAATCTTCATCCGGGCATCCCAATAAAGTGGACTGGTTTCCTTGTCAGCACCTGAGAAAAAGAAGAACATTCAAAAGTCATACACTTATGCATTGCCTTCCAAAAGTGTTGATGACACTTATGAACAGTGACTTTGCTTACCATGCAAGTGGGATTCCACACTGCCATTAGGGACAAGCTCATAGACTAAACAGCGAGTCTTTTTGTCTATGCATATACCTATCAATTTAACTAAATTTCTATGGTGCAAGCGGCTAAGCATCTCAACTTCTGCCAAGAACTCACGGTCACCATGCTGGTCATCTCTTTTGAGAACCTTCACTGCCACATCCCTCCCGTCATATAGGCCACCTTTGTAAACAAGACCAAAGCCACCTTCTCCTAATATTTTTGAAGCATTGAAGTTATTTGTTGCTCTCTCTATTTCATTCAGAGTAAAGCTCTTAGCTGATCCTGTACATATTATTGCTCCAGAACTGAAAGACATTGATCTAGAACATGGCATGCTCCCATAAGTCAATGACCTAGCACTGGCAGCCCCTGCTTTGAACACATTCAGTTTTATATTTACAGTGAATTCCTCTTGCAACTACTTGCAGATGGAGACTCAAATAAATACTATGATGTGGACTTCCGAAGAAAAATATCCAGAGAAGTCACGAAAAATTAAAGACTAAGTTAGCATTTTAACCTGAAACTCCTGAAGTATTTCAAAATGAGTAAAACGTTCATTTTGTCCTTCAAATTAACACTAAAAGGTTAATAGGTTAATTTGATCTTTAACAATATAAAAAAGTAAAATTAGTCACCATTAGTTAGTATAGTCATTAACATTATTATAAAACAATTTAATCCTCGACTTTGGTAACTATTAGTCAAATTAGTTTAAACTTAAATGCGCATCAGTTAGTCTGGTCCCAATGTCAGAGACCAAAATTCTAGTGGATGTCAAATTCAGGAACTAAATTAACTAATTTAGCAATCTTAGGAACCGAAGTAATTGATAATACTAATTTTTGAAACCAAAGTGGAGGACAAAATTTGACATTTTGTAATGTCAAAAATCAAATTGAATGCCCATTTCTGCATTTTACTCATTTTAAAATCTACAAAGACTGACCGGATTTACAAATGATAAAATATTGCGCACAAAATGTTTTGTTTTAATTTGAAACTAATAGAATACTTAAAACAAATATAATCCCTAACCAAGTTCTATACAGTAGTTTGTCGATAACTATATAGAATCATTTTCTTTTTTCATGTTAAAGATTTTAACCAAAGGGTAGTAGAATAGGACTATTTCTAGTTGCAAGAAATAAATCAGCATGCTTATTAATTGTTTAATTACCTGATCGCTTTGAAGTGGATGAAATTCTGACATCAGGAATTTGTTCAGGCTCAAGAGCGTAGGAACTGCATTTCATGAGACAAAGCCATGCAACTCCAAGGAATAGAACAAAGGTAGCAAAAGATGACAGCACGATCATAATAACCATCCTTCCACCACTCCCTTCTTTTTTCTTCCTTGAGATATCTACTCCTAAAGGTTTCACCATTGTTCCATTGTGGCCACGACCAGGGTATTGTTCAACATATATACCAGAAACACTTGAAGGTGGAGATGGTGGAAGGCCTGCATGTGTTGTCCAAAAGTATAAATGAAACCAAGTATGCTATATAAACTGACTTCATATTTCTAGAAAAAAAAAAAATTGTCTTAAGAAACTAATTTAGAACCTGGATAATGAACATAGAGCACTTCATAGGCACCAAAAAGTGAAGCATCATTGAGAATCTTCCTGTTCCAGAACTTCTTATATATTAAAAAGGCTGTTGTATCGTCAAATTTCCCTCCTTGGGGTACCAAGTTTATGAGTACAGTAGTTTTCTCTAGCTGCTGACTAGTTGCATCAGCTCCCACAATGCGTACTTGATTATGGTTCAGCAAAACAGTGGCTGCAATTTCTTTGGCTAGCTCGGAAACCAAAGGAAAAAACTTGTATATTGCAATGCTGATTCGGAGTTTAACTTGAAGTGGCCATACACAACCACAAGGTGATCCAGGAGGTGTATATGTCAAGGGCTCTGAGCAACTTATCATCATACAATCTACAGATAGAAATAGGATCAATATGTGTACATTGTTTGGATAAATGAAAAAGAAGGAACCAATGTAGATGTGTAATATATATATAATATATATATATATATATACTCCTCTAAAACATTAGAATTGCATGATGAAGTTTAGAATAGCACCCTTGTCAGGCGGTGGAGATGGTAGAACCGAAGCATATGCTGGTGGAGGGGTCTTTATCTTCTTCAACGATGAGCCTAGAGGTGAAATTCTAGGCGAAGGAGAGGGTGCTGATTGTGATGGACAATGCATGTGATAAACAGTGAGGTTCTAAATCTAGTTAGCAATCTTGGTAGACAAAATATAAGAAACACAGGTAAGAGATGAACAAAATGAGTGTTTTATACCATTACCATTCAAGTAGTGTGATAGAACTCCTGGTGATGGTGCAGGTGCAGGTGCAGGTGAGGGTGCATGAAAATCCCAGCTCAAAGGTGAAAAGAAAGGAGGTTGTGACTTGAAGACTTGAGGACCTACATTTTCATAAGAAGTTTATAAAAGAAATGTAATCAATTTTGGGGGTGGGGTGTCAAAGTGAAGAAATGTGAAAATTATACAAAAACTTTGTTTTTCAGAGAATCAAACCATGATGAGTATGAGGATGGATTGGATAAGTTGGTCCAGGAATTTGATTGCTGGACTTCTCTCTGGAATAGTGATGCTTATGGTGTGATATCGGAGAACCAACATAACTATGCGTCCATTTCATTTTAGGAACTTTGGGGAATGATTTTGAAGGTGAAATTGCAATACTACGAGGAGCTTTAGAAGAGGCCTTGGAAGGTGGAAGTGCAATACTAGCAGGAACTCCAGAAGATGACTCTGACGGTGGGAATGCGATACTTGAAGGGCTTCTGATTCTTGAATGGTGCAGATTGGTCACTACAGATAGAAAGATCCAATTTAATTTTGGATAGTTACGAGTTTGAACATTGTAGAGAAGTTATAAACTATTAAATAGGTTGATATAAAACTGCCCATCTGGCTCTAATTTTTGAGATTAACGAGAAGGTACTTCAACTTTATTGCTTGTTTTGGCCTGTCAAAATAGAGAGAAATTGCATGGCCTGAACTAAATATTTCATTGATTGCCTCTTTTGATGACCTTCAACCTGTTCTGAGGGTATAGCAACTTATTTTTCATCTCTCTAGGCCTTTCTAAAACCATAGCAAAAGAATTAGTTTTCTGCTTATTACATGCATTATTGTCCAAATTGCAAAATTAGACCTGCTGCTTCTAAAATCCAAAGTGTGATGCCTATTAATGATTGCACACTTATATTATCATTTATCCTATCATCTGAATGGAGCCATCACAAATAACAAACTGAAATATTTGACTAGCAACACTAAATTATGCCCGCCTTGTTAATGTGTGAAAAGTTCCCTTCAAATAACAGCTTCTTTAATGTAATTTGAAAACTTGTCTCGGTAAATAATGATGGTTCAAACAAAGTTATTGCAATGCTATATACCAGATCAGACAGACTTGTGTCTCAATAATAGAGTTTTGGTCTTTACTTCAAACACATTTTACAACTCAACGAGAGTGAACATGAGCAAACATATGGGGAAGTTAAAGATATATAGGTCACTTTGACATGTTTGAATTGAATAGATTGAAACTTCTAAGAATCTCATTTATAAATCTACAATGTAAAAGAGAGAATCAACATGAAAACATACAAGAGCAAAGACTATGGACATCCAAATATGCAGAATAGTTAAGTTGTAACTATATCACTCTCCAGTGGCTCCATCTATTCACTTTCAGCAACCGAAAAGTTCCCAAAGCAAACAAATACCCTATACTTGAATTCCGAACCACATTTCATGTCCATTAATAATTTATGGACTACCCAAAGGATCATACATGTTACTGGTAAAAACCAGTTTAGGAACATCTAAATTTAGCTCATACCTGCATATTCATGAAAGTGCGGAGTGCATATAACAAAGTGTAGCTTAATTAACAGCAAAAAAAGCTGCAACCCCATTTCCTTTAAAAGAAAATGGAGATCAATTCTGAAGATATTTCACCGACAAGCCAAGCAGTTTGGTGGAGGCAGCAGCAGCATATGCTAAAGCAATGAAGCCACTGCAAGGAACAGTTATGTATGAGAAAAACTAAAATAAAAGGAAACCGACAATGCTTACCAAATTAGTAGCACATAACAGTGTGGTAATGGCTTAACTTAAGCATGGTTTAGGAGGGAGACACACATGCTTCTTCATTTTCTAAATTAATATCCAAGCATGATGATTGTGGAATGACAGTTTCATAGTTCTATAGAAGCAGTAAGAATAGATAAAACCAAAAAGCAGAGCCTCCAGTACAATCTGAACAGCAAAGCAGAGTAACTTCTTTGTAAGAGGGTTGGTGGGGTTGGACTTGTGTGTGAGTGTGCTTGATTTTGAGAGAGAGAGAGAGAACAAGTAATGTGAATGACATAAACATTGATTGAACGAAAGAGACTCATTGAATTAACCTTGTGAGTTAATACCATAATGCAACTCTGGACTTTCTTTTTAGTTTAGTTATCCATGCAATGATTCACCCACAACATGATTCAAATATTCAATTATATATTTTTATTTAATTTAATATACACTGCTATTGCACTGGTTTGTACAGTTAAAATGTTGGTTTGCATTAAAATTTGAGCACTTTTTTATGTTTCATTTTATAAATTTTTTCATATGATAATTTTGACGACACTAACGGAGAGAATCTAGGTTAATTAATTAAAATAGTAATGTAAGATTTCACTCGATAATAATAATAATAATAATAATAATAATAATAATAATAATAATAATAATAATAATAATAATCTTCCTGATAAATCAGAAGCATAGATAGTAAGAATAGATAATTTTTTATTGCTTTACTTTTAAGTCACGTTAATAAAATCTCATGACTACAAACAAGGGATAAATTCAAACCTTCTTTTAAAATTTTTTATTTTTAATGTTTAAACCTTTTATTCAAAAATAATTTTATATAAACAAAGGATCATAGATGAGGTTCAAATATGAATTGTTGTTGTTTATTTGTTATAATTTTTTAATCCTGAAAAATATATACTATTTTTATATAGAAATTTTACCTAATTTTTTTAATTTTATTTTAAATTATTATTTAATATATTATAATAATAAAAATACATTTAATCATCACTGGCAATCACAATTAAACCAATAAAAAATAATTTTTTTATAAGTTTAATTACCTGTCTAATTTTAAGAATATGTAAAATTATATTTTTAGGCATATTAGTATAGGTTAAATTATAGCAAAAAATATTATTAATTTTTTAATTTTTACTCACTTTAAAGTATTTCAATTTACTCTCAAAAATTAAAATTTCTTTATGGGTGGGATTGTGTCCCCAGTAGAGACAACACCCCCAGATTTGGTAGTTGTTTTAGAATGCATTGTCAGAATTTAAGTATCTACACGAAAATAAAACAATTAAATAAAGTTGCTGACTATGTCCCAAAGCATGGACATTAGGTGGCAAAAAAATAAAAATAAAACGAAATAGTAATAACTATTTCTCACTTGTGTCGGTGAAGTTGCTCTAGTTAATATTGTTTTTAAAAAAAGTTGAATTCATTACAAGAAATATTTTTTTATAAATATTTTTTAAATTAATTTAAATACACAATAAAGTAATTTAAATTAATTATTATAAAAATAATTAAACGCAAGTGTAAGAATAATTATACTATCAATGCATTCAAATTAAATTCATAAATTAATTATTATAAAAAAAATATTGATGAAAGCTTTCCCATATATAATTGGACTTGTATTAATTTGGGTTGGGCTATTGTTGGATTGAAGACATATTTGTGCTGCGTTCAATCATATGAAAATATTGAGTAGACTTATTTAAAGGAATAAAACTCTCTCAATCCCACATGACTTTCATAAGTTTATGTTTGAATGGAATATATATTTTGTAGTTTCTTTCATTTCATATTTTCATAAAATACTTAATCTAAATCTGCATTTTCCAGTTATGCCCAATTGCAACAAAAACTCATTTCGCCATTAAAGCTACATGTCCATTACGATGTGTTAATTTAGAACAATTTTGTTACTAAACGAATTAAGGAACTGTGACTCTTGCAACTCCTGCCAAAACTTTCATGGAAGTGGGAGTTTTAATGAATAAAGTTCATCTGCTTTAAATGAACAAACGAAAAAGACTTAGGAACCTCCTATTTTATTTTTTGCTGTTAAGTATTGACATAAACGAATTTTTAAGGACATTGATTAAAGAACCACATCTTAGAACCTCTAACAAAAATACCCTAATATACTAGTTCACCAAAGAATAATCAACATATTACATGCCAGTTAGATATGATGATGAAAAGCTATGTAACTTAAATAAGCAATATTGGAAGGTATAGGATCAATTCCATTGGCAGGAAAAATAAATAATAAAAGGGAGGGAATCAATTTGCAATCAGCTGGCTATAATTTCTTGACTTTGATTAATTACGTGTCTTCTTGGTAGTGCATCAAGCCTCATAGACCATTGAATCGTGGCCGTGTGATCATTGCATCATCATAAATTGCTTAATTTTTGGCACGTTGAGAAAGAGAGAGTGTAGAACGTAGTAGGAGAAAGGGGTAGCATTTCACATCACAAATAGACTAATGGTTGAGGAATTAACATGTCCACTCTCAATACAGGCGCGTTGCTTTCACCCTTCCCTCGTCCTCTATAATATTTATAGGCGATGCCAGCTTCTTTTCACCTAACACCTAAACTTCTTAAAATTTTTGTAATTTTCTCATTCAACTCTCTGCTTTATATATTTCCATTTTATAATTTATCTTAGTAGCAATTAATAAACAATATAGCGTGAGTTATTACTACACTCACTTTTTCATTGGTTTATAGAATATACAAGAAGTGAGAGAAAACTCAGAGCGAGTTTAACTTGATAATCATTGCTTAATCACACTCAATAAGAACACGAGTATAATACAACTCGTGTCCCTCGTACAGAATAGTTTCATGAAATATCTATAAAATAAGGGTGGGGGGGTGAGAACGAGTTGTTTTATTTTGTCAAATCCCAATAGAAAAAAATAATTTGGTTAAAGAAAAGCAAGTTGACCATAAAGTCATGAAGTGTGATTAATGACATTGAGAATTGAAGTTTGAGAAGCATTGAACTTTGGTACGCGCCAATGTGAGAGCAAAAAGCTGGATACAGCTAAAGAGTCTATAGTTAGAATGTTGCCATCTCAACTCCACCATTCCTACCCCACTTTCCTTTCTCCAACCTCTTCCTTCTTCCAAATTCTAATGTCACTGTTTAAACCATAGTTATCGCAAAACAACCTCCTAATCCTAATAAGTAATAAACCACTCTCTCTCTCTCTCTCACCCACTCACTCACTTTCTCTGTCTCAACCAAATTTTCTCTTCCAATTTCCAAGTGCTGTAGCACGTTCTCAGTGCTCTTCATCTTCCTCTTTCAATAGTTTAAAAAATAAAAAAATAAAAAGGAAAGCGTTTCCTTTTTCTTCGTTCTATTCAGCATCGTAGACTCCAAAGAGTTACACAAACAGACACTCTTTCCGATCACCGACAACAACGTAAGTTAAGCCAAAAGCAGTCACTATGACAGACAGGGTCTACCCTTCCGCCAAGCCCGCCGCAAGCGGCAACGGCGCCGCCGCCAACCCATCTTTTCCGGCGACCAAGGCCCAACTCTACGGCGCCACCCGTCCCACTTACCGCCCCCAACCCCACCACCGCCGCCGTAGCCGCCGCCGATGCTGCTGCACCTTGTTCTTCTGGCTCATCCTCATCATACTTGTCCTCCTTCTCATCATCGGCGTTGCCGGCACCGTCTTCTACTTACTCTACCGCCCCCACCGCCCTTCTTTCACCGTGACATCGCTCAAACTCTCGTACCTGAATCTCACCTCCTCCTCCACCCTCAGCTCCAAATTCGACCTCAACGTCACCGCCACCAATCCCAACAAGAAGATCCTCTTCGCCTACGACCCCACCTCCATTTCCATTCTCTCCGGCCACGTGGACATCGGCGACGGCACCATCCCGTCGTTCCTGCACGGGAAGAAGAACACCACGCTGCTTAAAGCTTCGATCTTGAGCAGTGGGCAGGCACTGGCGAGTGATGACGCGTCGCGGTTGAAATCTAGCATGAAGAGCAAGAGTGGGTTAGCGTTGAATGTGAATTTGGAAACGAAGGTGAAGGCCAAGATGGGAAGCTTCAAGACACCCAAGGTCGGAATCAGAGTCTCTTGCGACGGAATTAAGGTCACTCTCCCCGCCGGTAAGAAGCCGGCGACGGCGTCCACTTCCAACGCCAAGTGCCAGGTCGATGTTCGGTTCAAGATCTGGAAGTGGACCGTTTGAACTACACCACCATCACAGCGTCGAAGAACAGCATAGAGAGAGGTGTGTTGTGTTTTTTCTTTTTAATTTTCCCTTTTTTTTCTTGTTTCTGTTATTTACTCTCTTTCTTTTTCTCTTAGCTTCTTTTGTTTAAATTCGGATTTTTATTTCGATATATTTTTCGAAAATTTGTCCATATTCATAATTACTCGAAAGCGTGTAAATGGCAACAAGAGCAGCTGGGGTTTCCGTCGGTGACAGTTGTTAGCATGTTGTACACTAGTATATTTTTTTTGCTTCAAAGATTTGTATTTTTCTATTTTATTTTGTATGTACTTTATAGTTTTGCCCTGCATGGTACCATTATTTTAATCCATAGTAGCACTTATATAATGTTGAATTGGCTAAAAGGGCATCGTTTATAATCTTTTATTTTTTGGGGGAATATAATATAACATTTGTAGGATAATCGCACCAAGTCGTTGCTGAAGTATATCTAATAAACATTGTCTAATCATTCATCAGCTTTCAACTACTTGGAATGAAAAGGCAGATATAATTTTTTATAATGATGAACAGTGATTCATCAGCTTTCAACTACTTGGAATGAAAAGGCAGATATAATTTTTTATAATGATAAACAGTGATGCGTACACAATTTTTTCAAGCGACGGTGTTCGATTTGTAAAAATAAAGAATGATTAATTAAAATGAGTAAACTGAGAGTAACATGAAAAATGGTGGGGAAGCAGGTTATAAACATTTAATATTGGAGAATGGGTAAGAGATTTGACTTGGAGAGGATGAGGTGTGTGGTGTGGTTCTTACAAGGCAGTGGCACGTAGGTGCGAATCGCTGTCACTTTGAAAAGCAGGAATGGTAGAAGTGGGAGGTGCGGGGATTAACTTGACTTGATAAATTTATTGGTTTTTTGGGGCTGTCGCTACTCACTTTCCTCTTCGCCGGGGCTTCAATTATTGTGCTCTTCTCATTCCTAACTACTTTCCAATGGGACCAGCTTCCCACTCAGGTGCTTTTTTCTTTCTACACAGACTAGAGATCAATTTTCCAAAGACCTACCTCACTTTTTTCTTTAAATTTTTTTTATTATATCACTTTCTTTTTTAAAAATGAAAATGAAAATTTGCGTCTTTTTAGCATAAGATCTTGTTGAGAGTAAAGACAATTCTATGTACCTATTATGAAAAACTCATTTAATATCAGAAGATAAACATTTATAACTCTACCAAACGAAATAGGAAAGGGTGAATGTTTACAATCACTTGTCCAACTAATAATATAAAGGCAATAAGTGTATTCCTCTTCCAACCCTATATGCATTGTCATTGACTTGTTATAAATTATCCATGATTGAACAAAAAGATTATCAATCTTTTTAGCTAGAGATCTTCACCAGCTACCTTTTCTTTTTATTTCTGGAAAATAATTTAGAGAAAAAGAATACCATCTCAATTTATTCAAGAAAAGAGGTAGGGACCCAAAATTGCAGCTTATTAAATGTAAAATCCTGTCTTCCTGAATTCAATTAACCCATTGGAGTTTACTCTCCTCTATCATATAAAGCAAGAAAAAAAGACCAAATATATATATAGCAGAAACGAAGTTTTCACTTTGGGGGGTTCGGGTCACATAGTTTTGTTTTGTTTTTGGAAAAGAAACTTGTTTGATATTTTTTTTTTACATATTTATCAATATAATTAAAAAGACTAGTTAAAAAAATTCAAAATTAGAAGTCAAATCAATGTTGATTATGTAAATATTACTAATTTGAATGAATTGTAAAACTTATGAAATCCATTAGTTACTCTAATAGGCTATGGAAAAATTTGTTTTTATCAAATGAACATATTAAAAACACATTCTTCAATACATTCCTTATGATTAATTTATTTTAAAAGTTAAAACAATTGTTCTCTAAACTAATTAATTTCAATTAATCAATTACGAAAAGCAGGCTACTGGCATATCTCTCATCGAATTCATTTTTCATGATCCGATTAAACCCAAACCATTTAAAAACTAACCTTTGTATCGAACCAAGAACGGCTTATTTCTTAACCCAGTTAACTTCTTTGGATGTGCAAGTTTGGATTGGACCCGATAAAAGGATATCTAGTATTGGGCCTTTCAGCGATTAATTGGGCCAAAAATGGTGTAAATTTAAAATTTGTGACTTGATTCCCTAAACCCTAAGTATTTGAAATTTAACCTATTGAGAGAGCAGCACTCTACAAAACTACTCAAGCCTCGAGCTTCATGCTCAATGCAGCCTCTGAGCGTTTCCTCTCTCTCTTTTCACGTTTCCAACCTTTTTTTCTACTCTCATCATCAAACTCAAATCTCACTCGTTCAATTTCCCACGTACACACCTCACCGACGCATTCATTCTTCGCCACCCACAATGAACTTCTTGATTCTTTCGATGCCCTTCTTCAACGTTGCTTCACTCTCCAACAAGCTCGTCAGCTTCACTCCCAATTGGTTCTCACCACCGCGCATCGTTCTCCCTTTTTGGCCGCCAGGCTCATAGCTGTTTATTCTCGCTTTGGTTTTGTCTCCTACGCCCGTAAAGTGTTTGATGCGATCCCCGTTGATGGTCTCCAACATTATCTTTTGTGGAATTCAATTATCAGAGCCCATGTCTCTCATGGGTACTTTGAATATGCGCTTCAGCTTTATGTTGAAATGCGTAAGCTTGGATTTTTGCCTGATGGGTTCACTCTTCCCTTGATAACACGGGCTTGTTCGTATCTGAGGAGCTTTAGTCTCTGTAGAATTGTGCATTGCCATGCTTTGCAAATGGGTTTCCGGAATCATCTTCATGTTGTGAATGAATTATTGGGTATGTATGGGAAGTTTGGGCGAATGGGGGATGCGTGCCAATTGTTTGATGGAATGGTTGTGAGAAGCCTTGTGTCGTGGAATACTATGGTTTCGGGTTATGCTTTCAACCATGACTCATTTGGTGCTTCTAGGATTTTTAAGCGGATGGAGTTCGAAGGTCTGCAGCCAAACTCTGTGACGTGGACCTCCTTGTTGTCAAGCCATGCTAGATGTGGATTTTGTGATGAAACCCTTGAGTTGTTTAAGGTGATGAGAACACGGGGAATTGAAATCAGTGCTGAAGCACTAGCCGTGGTTTTATCTGTTTGTGCTGATATGGCAAGAGTTGACTGGGGCAAAGAAATTCATGGGTATGTTATTAAAGGTGGACATGAAGATTATTTGTTTGTGAGAAATGCACTGATAGGCGCTTATGGAAAGCATGAACATATGGGGGATGCACATAAAATATTTTTGGACATGAAGATCAAGAATCTAGTAAGTTGGAATGCTTTGATATCATCGTATGCTGAATCTGGATTATGTGATGAGGCCTATGCAGTGTTTTTGCAGCTGGAAAAATCAGATGTTCATTCCTTGGTGAGACCCAATGTCATAAGTTGGAGTGCAGTGATTAGTGGTTTTGCTTCTAAGGGGAGTGGTGGGAAGTCACTGGAACTTTTTAGGCAAATGCAGCTTGCCAATGTAAAAGCCAACTGTGTGACAATGGCCAGCGTTTTATCAGTTTCTGCAGAGTTAGCAGCGTTGAACCTTGGCAGGGAGCTCCATGGTTATGCTGTTAGGAGTTTGATAGATGACAATATTTTGGTGGGAAATGGTTTGATTAATATGTATATGAAGTGTGGGGATTTCAAGGAAGGACATTTAGTGTTTGATAACATTAAGAGTAGAGATTTAATCTCATGGAACTCGTTAATTGGGGGTTATGGAATGCATGGGCTTGGTGAGAATGCTTTAAGAACTTTTGATGAGATGATTGGAGCTGGAATAAAGCCAGACAACATCACTTTTGTTGCTCTTCTCTCTGCTTGCAGTCATGCTAGACTTGTTGCTGCGGGGCGCAACGTTTTTGATCGGATGGTCACAGAGTTTAGTATTAAACCTAATGTAGAGCACTACGCATGCATGGTTGATCTCCTTGGTCGTGCTGGACTCTTGAAAGAAGCAACTGATATTGTGCAAAACATGCCAATTGAACCTAATGAGTATGTTTGGGGAGCTCTTCTAAACTCATGCAGAATGTACAGGGATACAGACATTGTAGATGAAACCGCATCACAAATTCTAACCATGAAGTCAAAAATAACTGGGAGCTTCATGCTGCTGTCCAATATTTATGCTGAAAATGGAAGATGGGATGATTCTGCAAGGGTCAGGGTGTCTGCAAAGACAAAAGGCTTTAAAAAAATACCTGGTCAGAGTTGGATTGAGGTGAGAAAGAAAGTTTACACGTTCTCAGCAGGGAATTTAGTCCATTTGGAACTTGATGAAGTTTATGTGATCCTTGAAGAATTGGCACTTCACATGTCGAGTGAAAATTATAAACTCAATAGTTGCTTTAGAGTACAATGTGTTTACGACCAATCAGAGCTCTTCATGGTTGCAAATTGAGAGGCTAGCTAGATATTATGCCGAGCTATCAAGAAAATTAAATTACATAATTTGTTATCATGCATCAGATGTAGTTTAATATTTAACGCGTAGGATCAATTTGTTTTACACATTATTTTTCAGTCCATTAACATTGATTTTAAACATTTTGAAGTAATATTTGTGATATTTTTATTTTTTGATATAATAAATGTTTTTTAAGAAGAAATATTTAAAATCAGCGATAGTTTTTTTAATGAATAGTCCAAAAGACCTATTCCAACTTATAACCAAAGGATATAATGAATTTTTATTGTTTATATCAAAATATTATCATACCTGTACTTGAGAGGAAACGGCCTTGGACAGTTGGACTCTTGGGATTGCTTGATTATGTCGAAGAATTTTGAGTTGGTCAGTAACGATGATCTCTTAGTCATTTCCGAACAATGTGTAAAAAAATTCAATTATATATATATATATAGACACACACTCTCAGACCGAGTATATTTTATGAGAGATAAAACTCTTCCTTAAATTATCTTAAAAATCACATATTAAAATAATATCCTGCAATTTAATCACGTGTTCGGTCGCATAGTCTAAAAATATTCATCTTTAACATTAAAGTTTATCCATTTCTAATTTAACTTTACTTTTCTTGGAAGGCATATTAATATGAACAATGGATGAGGTGAGGTGTGTTGCATAGGTTATAATATTCTCTTAATATTTGGGGGAAAAAATGAAAGAATAGATAAAAAAAAAAATCAGAAAAAGCAAGTGTGATGAAAATATCAATTGTTCTTCCACTCTATTGACGGTAAAGAAATGGAGAAGATGGATTCTCGTGATTCCAAGTGTGTAGTGAAGTGAAGGATATGGAAAGAGAAACAGCATTAATGGGATTCACATGGAGGGTGGCTGAAACAGAGCACGGAGAAATCACGACGACACTTTCCTTTTTCTTCAACCCTCACAAGAAAACCGTCAAAACCTTACACTTTGTTCTCAATTAATTTCTCCCATCCATGCATTCTTCTTCTTCTTCAACCTCACTCGTTTGCTTCTTCCATTCCCATTCCAATGGCAGCGAACGAATCAGAAGAATCACCGAAAAGGGTTCAATACCCACTAGACGCATCCTCATACAAGATCCTCAACGAGATCGGAGAAGGCACGAGCGCCCTAGTGTACAAAGCAATGTGCATTCCCATGAACTCCACCCTCGTAGCCATCAAATCCATAGACCTCGACCGTTCTCGCCCCGACTTGGACGACGTTCGCCGCGAAGCCAAAACCCTTTCCCTCCTTTCCCACCCAAACATCCTCAAAGCCCACTGTTCCTTCACCGTCCACCGCCGCCTCTGGGTAGTGATGCCCTTCATGGCCGCTGGTTCCTTACAATCCATCATTTCTCATTCCTTCCCTAATGGTTTAACCGAACCATGCATCGCTCTCGTTCTCAAAGACACTCTCAACGCTCTCTCTTACCTCCATGCCCAAGGCCATCTCCATAGAGACATCAAAGCCGGTAACATCCTCGTTGACTCCAATGGTCAAGTCAAACTTGCTGACTTTGGTGTCTCTGCTTCCATCTATGACTCCTCCTCCTCTTCTTCTCTAATGCTCACTGATCTTGCTGGCACGCCTTATTGGATGGCTCCCGAGGTGATTCACTCCCATACGGGCTACAGTTTCAAGGCTGATATATGGTCCTTTGGGATCACTGCTTTGGAGCTTGCTCATGGAAGACCTCCTCTCTCTCATCTTCCACCTTCCAAGTCTATGATGCTTAAGATCACTAAAAGGTTTCGTTTTTCTGATTTTGATAAGTACAGGAAGGGTAGTGGAAAGAAGTTCTCTAAGGCGTTTAAGGATATGGTTGCTTCTTGCCTCAATCAAGACCCTTCTAAGAGACCCTCTGCTGAGAAGCTTCTCAAGCACCCCTTCTTCAAAAACTGCAAGGGACCGGAGTTTCTGGTCAAGAACGTGCTTCAAGGGTTGCCCAGTGTTGAAAAGAGGTATAAGGAAAGCAAGGTTAATGTTCGTGCTGATGGTGATGGTGATGATGACGACAATGATGATGATGATATGCAGCGAAACGTGGTGAAACAGAGAAGGATCAGTGGGTGGAACTTCAATGAGGAAGGGTTGGAACTTGACCCCGTGTTTCCAAACGACGATGCGTCGGTGAAAGAGGTTCGGTTTGGAGGGGAAACGGTTATCCAAGAAATGGGGGGTTCAGAAGAGAAAGTGAAGAACAGGGAAGGGATGTTGGGGACTCTGAATGTGTTGAAAGGAAGCTTGGAACAAGAGCTGTGGCAAGTGAGGTTTCTGATGAATGCAATAAGGGGAGAGGGAGAAGAGACTCAGACTGGGGATCATAGCGAGGAGCAAATGGCGCATGAGATTCCAATGCTTAGGGCTGAATTGGAAAATGAGAGGAAAAAAAACTTGCAGTTGGAGTTGCAGATAGAGACCTACAAGCATCACCTTTCTTCTTTTTCTAATTCTTCTCAATAAATTAGGATTACATATATCTTAATCTAAATAAGGGTACTTGATAATATCCATGTGCTTTCGTATGTGTATTCGTTAAGCGATCAAATCGAAAAATCAAAAATTAAATTAATTGAAAACTAATACGATTAATTTTTCATTAGATTAGATTGAAATTTGGATTCCATTTTAAAAATCAATACCAAACAAACTGTTCATTTGAAACTGTCTATTCTCACTTTTTCTCACGCGAAACTATCTATTGCAAACTTTTTACATACAAATTATTTAATTTCTGTGCAAATTAATAAAACTCTAACAAAACCTTGTCTATCTTAAACAAAACCTCTGATAGGGCAACACACTCTTATTAGAAAATGTTATGAATTAATTTTGACGAACAAAGTATATCATCATTTGCATTTCCAAACGTTGTCAGGAGAACACCAATACGCGAATTCAAGTAGTTTTATGCTCAGCTAACACGTTTACATAACATTGTCATACATATCATACCCATTTGTTGTCATACATATCATACCCCTATTTAAAATTAGCCATGATTCTTGGCACGCAACATGCATTCGCGGGTGATTATTAGATACTACACGTTGCATTAAAAATTACACATTCTCTAAAAAAACTGAATACTATAATAAAAAACCAAAATTTAAATTTTTGAACTACAACTAAACTAAATTACTTAAAAAAAATAACCCATTGTGTATATGGCGATAACACCAATTACTTGCATTATTTTCATTAGTTTTCCTTTTGGCTAGACTAATGATGAGATCCAAGATCCGAATTCATTTTGTTCATGAAGTCAAGAACAGGCTTTTGATCATCGTACCTAAAATCGACAACAGGTTCTTGGTTATCTTCTAAAGACGAATGAGACAAAGGAATAGAGTTCTGTAAAACCCCCATGTTGATGTCTTCATGTGAAGGATTATAACTGACGTGTTGTTGATGATCTTGTGGCATTGATTCAAGATAAGGTTGAGAGACGCCATTGATGATGTCACGAGAGCTAGCCTTGAGAAAAGCAAGATGTTGAAGAATAAGGTGAAGTTCGGCTTCGGTGTACTCAATCTGTGACTGCAACTGGTGAATTTGTCTGTAACAACCGCCAGCAGGATCTTTGGCGCGCATGTCAGATTGGTAAATAATGGTGTTCGCAGCAATATCTCTGTGTTGAGGATCAAGAATCTTCAGCATATTGGTGATTCTACCAACGCCAAATAATCTGTGCGCGTTGAGAAATTGGTTTTGACGATCGTGAGGAAAATAAGGTGCGAGAATGCAATTAGTGCCACACTTTTTGCGTTGAAATTTACATGCAGCGCAAGCTTGTGTGTTGTAGCTTCTTGATAGGTTGCTTTCCATGAATAAAACAGCGGCTTTCCCGGCTAAAGCTTTGCCTTTTATTTCTTGCCTTGATTTGTTAATTAAAGCTTATTTTATCGGTTATAGATTTTTTAATATAAAAAAAAACTAAAAAACAGATGGATAAAATCTATCTGAGAGAGATTCAGTTGTGCATAATTTTAGATCTTTTGACCAAATCTCACTAACCTTATTTTATCTTAATTAAACAATTTGGTGGGTATTTACTTTGTTCATTATCATTCTCTATAATTCCAAAATTCTTATAATTCAATTCAATTTATATGTCATGGAAGTGATTTTAATGGTATATAATTCAATTCAATTCAATTCTATTTTATCCCAAATATATTTTATTTTAAAATTTATAATCAATTCTATTTTAGTTGAATATGTCCTATTTTAAAATTTATATTTAAAAATTAAAAGCTTGCAACTCCCTTAAAGAGATATAATTTACGACAAATGTCACCCAAAAAAGCCTAATTTAAGGTAAATGCTTTATCTAGGAATAATCATTATCCTAATTTGAATCACAGAAAGACCTCCTCTTGTTAACTTTATTTTGGGCATATAATTCAAATTTCAGTATTAATAAAACTCAGTATGTGTTTTCTCAAGTCATTATTTTGGCATCATACGTTGCAAGCTATTTGTCCCTAGTCAAATGGCAATTTGTGTCGGTAACATGCAACAATTCTCACAATGATAATCGAAGAACTGGGTCTGCACAATCTACAAATTAGGGGAAAGTATTGGGAGTCATAAGCAAGATGTGAATGACAAATTTGAGCATACGCTTAGAGGAATGTGTCAAAAAAACAAATCTTGCACTGATAAATTAGAAGTAAATTATATATATATTAGACAGTTAAGTCTAAAGTATCAAAACTGGTTTGTTTAAACAAACAAGCTTTGATCGACAGATTCTTCCAACAGAAGGGAAAGGGGTTAGGACTTTGGACTGGGTCAAGAAATATTGTTAGACCAGACGTGAAATAAGATTACAAAGAATAAGTTTTCTTTCACTAGTTTGTGCAGTTTGTTTTTCCTAAATAAGATTAAAAGGCTTCAGATAAATATGTAACTTGATCCCTAAATTTAGCATCCTAATTATATTTAATCCCTGAAAATTTTTAATGCAATTTAATCGTTAAATGTTATTTTTTGGTCCTTAAATGTATTCACTTACATTTTAGGTCTTTTTAATAAAAAAAAGTAAATAAAATGAGAATAAAATATAAAAAAATTAACATATCCCAGAATCAAATTGTAGACAATAACACTTTCGAGGACCAACGAATTCCCCCAAAAGTGTCACTTTTAGGTACCAATTTGTGTAATTACTCAACTTTTAAAACACTAGGATTTTTTTAAAAATTTGTGCACAGACGAGCATAATAGCAAGGTTCGAAAAAACGATAGCCATACAGAAGAAGGATTAATTTTCAAAGGTAAAGCTTATTTTTATGAGATGATATTACAGCTGATGAACGCTCATCCCACATGTGAAGTCTGCCTTATCAACTGTGTGTACAACAAGTTCGGGGTCTGGAGATTCTAACTCGAGTATTACCTGCACATTGATTGACAAGAGTGTAACCACTTTTGCACTGGGAATCAAGTTATTTGTGATTCTCATTGTTGTATATATAAGAAAATTCAAGCAAATTGCTAAATGACAACTAGAAACAATTGAATAAAGATGTGGTTAGTAGAATTAGAATTTCCTTGCATTTATGTTGGTCGATGATAACTTAAGAAACATAAGTTTACATTGCATAAACAATAATAAATGCTAGAGTTGTTAAAAGCTATTGCTAAGACATACCAAAACGTTAGTTCCTTGCTTAAGGACTGGAGCAGGAACGTAGAGGTTACACTGTGGTCCTCTCGACTATCAAAGAACCATAATGTTTGTAAGCAAAAACAAATAGATTTAGAGAACTAACTCTTACATTATGCAACATAAACACATATATAATACATTTAAGAGGAATAAAAACTAGTTTACCGGCCAATATCTTCCTATATTGAAGTCATTAACGAACACAATGCCTTTTCCCCAGTTGCTGAATGATAGAAATGTATCCTTGACCTGACTTGATTTATCAATTAAGAACTGGCCAGAATAAAAAGCAGGTTCTTTTGAAGTATTCTCTGTAAGAAAAAGAAACGCCTTGGTCATTGATTTGACATCAACATTATAAAATACCATGAAGTAATCACTGAGAAATGATTAGTACGAGATACAAAAAGAGCAACGATAAAGGTACTTTTTTTGTTTCCTCAAATGTATTTTAGTATATACCATAACTATAAATCAACTTTTCTCGGGATGATGATATTTCACTGAATGCAGAATATGTGGCCTGAGTGATGCGATTGTAAGTTGACGCTTCATTCAGGTTGTGCAAAGGAATAGGGAACATTTTCCACCCTTGTACTTTTTCCCCGTCCAGATAAACAGAAGACAGAATGCCCTGTAGAAGTTGTGAAAAAAATCAACCAATTACAATCAGACATTTAGAGTATCATCATCATCTTCGGATGACATTTACCTTCCTATCAAAGATGAAGGGCCCATAATTTACACGACCCATGTTTTCAACCTACAAAGGGGAGAAAGAAAGCATTCAACTAAATCCCATAAAAAATATTAAAATCTGAAGGAAACTCTTCAGAAGTTCATGTTGGCATCTTAATCTATATAAATGCCTTGACTTTGTAATCATAAATAATTGGCTATATAACTAAATTAAGGAGTTAATTAATAATTAATGTCAACTTACATAAACCATATAAAATGTGCCAATACAGCAACTAACTGCCAATATTGACCATATTACTAATTAAGAAGCTGTGACATGTTGATTTTTTATGGAATCATGTGATTGAGAAGAACCAAAAATATGTTTAAGCCTAAAAACATATAATTATATTATTTATCTTATCTTCTTTGAGTAATGTAAAGCAACAAGGATCATTGACTTGTGGTTCTCTTAACTACCATTCAAACTAAAGTTAAAATTGCATAATTATTTAACGATCGTGGCACTCCCTTATCATCCCCACAATGAATGACAGAGATGAGGTCATGGATCTCTACCATGTGAAACAATCAAAACAATAATATTGCTTTTGCTTTATCCAAGATATAAACTGCATAACTCAAAAGTTAAAACTGCTAAAAATATTTTTCCCAGTACAAAAAGAAATGAAAATACATAAATAAAGCAGGTATATAGTATATACCAGAATAAATAAGTTGATGTTAGAATGGCATTTAATGTCAGGAATGCTTAGCTTGTTTTTCAACCATCTTTCAACTGTACCAACATAAGTTGGCCTTGCACTGCTTTCTTTGGAAGGGCATGAGATAAATACTTGAGCTCTGTCATGCAACTGCACATTCATCATTTATTATATATAGAGAAGTTATATTCTTCTAGATAGACAAGACATCCTGTAAACTTTCTAGCTATTGGGTAATAGAAATAAGATGATAGTATCTGAAGAAAATAGCTAGAAAACAAAAATGAGAATAACCGAAAGAATTCCAACAGCACCTTTGGTATGAACAAAATTCTTCCACCTCTGTTTGCTTTATATTCAGTGACATACAATAAGAAACCAAACAGCTGCGAACAAAGGCCAAGCTTCAATAATATACAATTTAGGAATCTTGTGTCAGTATGAATCACAATCACATACCTGACCCACATGCTCCATTGACATTGGAGTTTCAGATTTAAACACATTGGTGGAATTGGCAAAATCAAACATATCAAATAAGAAAGCCTTTCTTTGCAAGTGAATTGGTCCATATCTTGTCTTCGCATTATTAGAGGGAACAGCTGGAAGAGGTACTGAGCTATATCGGGCTATAACCCTTCGAATAGCTGAAACATATACACGCACAAATTTAAAATCCCGCTTGAATTGTCATACTGCAAATAATAAAATTTAAGAAATAATGAAATAGCCAGAAGGGAAAAAATATTAGTTTGGATCAATGAAAAGATATTTGCAACTGAACTTGTGATATTATATGCCAGCACAATACTAATTAAAGTATTAAACATTATACATTGTAAAGTTCCTTGCACAACTCAGTTGAAAGCCTGAAAATGAAAGTATACACAACATTCATACCATTGTATTTTGAATTGTCGATATCACCAGCTTCCTTAATTGGTGCATCCTGGATATGAGATAGTCAGTCCAGTTTGCAATATGGATATATGACAATTCACTGCAGAAAGAAGGTGCGACATAACAGTTAAAAGATTCTAACATAATCATATGAAGTGAGATCAGGCTTGTAGTCAGCATCATCTTCGCCAGTATTTGCTCCATTATAAAATCCAAAGTTTGTCCCACCATGTGCCATCTGAAAATTAGAAAATCCAAACCAGAAAGGATTATTCAAAATGAGATTTTTAAACAGTACCAAGGTAGAGGTTGAGACACACATAGAGAACTGCAGAACCATTTTTTCGCAAAATTTCTTCAAGAGCAGCTGCTGTAAAATCAGAATCAGTCTTGGCAATTTTCTCTCCCCAATGTGTAAGCCACCCAGTGTAAAATTCACTGATATGAGAAGCAATGAGTATTTAGCATTTAATAAACAAAAATAATATTTTATAGGAATACACTTACGCTGACAATGGTGGTGATTTTCCTGGGGCATTGAACTCCTTTTGTAGTTTGAATATAGGCCAAGGGTCATCACCAGTAGTGAAGTCAACAGCTACAAAAGAAGAATATGTAGTGGGTTATATGATAAGATATGATCAATGCAATGTTTGTGGTGTTCACACACACTAATCTGTCCTGGCTATATTGTATCGCATATTTTGGTCATTTTCCTATTCACATATATTTCTAGGGAGGAAGAGAGAATGAGAGAAGAAAAAAAACGTTTGTAAAATCACATAATTTAACATATATAATAATGAAATTTCACCTGAAAAGACAGCATCCCCACGAATAGTTCCTTTCTCAAGATTTTCCCTCGATCCACCATCTGTGGTGTATCTAAGAACAGTGAATATAAGGAAAGGATTAATAGAAAAGGTCGTCACCCTAAAACCAACCTAGATATTGTACTTTTCCATTATCAGTTTAAATGTAAAATTTTTAGGGGTATACTTGTACACTTTAAATAGTAGTTCAAAAGTTGGAATTCAAGAACATAACAACTCTTACAAAATAACATCATGCCCAAGATGACTTCTGGCCAGGGTGACTAGGTGATGGAGATATGCTTTGTCATCTCCATAAGAACCATACTCATTTTCAATCTGTGTCAAACAACTCTATACAAGTCAATCTAATTCTCCATTCATAAGTGGCAAGCATTCAAACGAGAAGGAACACAGATCATGGTGATAAAAGTCCTACAGTAATAAAAAAATTTCCAGCATTCAGGAATTCACAAATACAGTAATACTTTCATATTTAGACAAACTACCCTCCACTAAATTTTAACTGCATAATTTAAGTTTTGGAGAAAAAAAGGGATGAGATATGTTAAATAATAGGATTCTTATTGTTTTATAATCTTATGATGGTAGTAATATTATTGGGCTGGGCTTGTACCAGTCAAGTTCTATGTACAACATTAGTATTTGACCTAGATTATCAGAACAAGGTATCAGTTATTTGTCTCTAACATGCATCATATCAATCGTTCAGAATACCTCTTCTCATTTTCCATCTTATCTGTATAATTTCAACACACAGATTATGCCATTTTCCAACTTAAAAACACAGACTTTCTGTTTTTTAAGTCAGAAGTCAGAACATAAACTTTCATATATTTTATGTTTTGTAGACATCTTGAATAATAATGCCAATCAGGTAGATACAATTAATAAATTCTACCCAAAAACAGCATACCTGAACCATTATTATAGGGCCCCCATTGCCATAGAGGAGAGGAACAAATTTTGGAAGCAGGTTACTCCACCATTTTTCAACCTTAATTGGCAAACTATAATAAGTCCAAACTTCAATAAAATTATAAAAGTAATGTATCAACATGGAGAAAGAAATACAACAAATGCTTTGAAGCACATAGATATTTCAAAGAAAATTGTGGTTTTTAGACTCAATCTTTCAATGTGAGCTCAATAATCGTAAGGGTTTGTTTAACCTATTCCATTTAAACCACTATAAGACATTGTTATAATGCCACAAACAAGGTTCACCTTGTCCTTTCTAGAAATAACTAATAGGTGGTTTAAGCATAGCCTCACAGCAAATGCATTAAAAAGAGTCCTTCAACGAGGCTGATTTAATAGTAAATAGGTTCATTCAACTTGCTCAGCGCCATGGTTTGAATCCCACCCACAGCTCATTGTTAGGTGGCTAAGTAACCCCATTTGCAAAGAATCCTTATGCAGTAGTCCCAACATACATGTTTGAAGGTACTTCCAACCAAATGTGTGTGGTGGTGAAAAAATCCCCATATTCCCTGCTGGGTGTCATGGACACAACACAGTTCCCATTTTCTTATGCAGTGTACATGGAGAAACTTTTATTGCATCCTTGTGTATTCATTATATTTACATTCAAAGTTCAAACCATAGTGGTAGGAGTTCAAATAAACCAAGACTAATCAGACTAAATTTTGGTTATTTTGATTTGAAAAGGAATATTGACATGGGAGGCTCTCATCAGAAACAAAACCTAAGGAGCTTATTACCCAAGCTAAGCCTAAAATGCGTCAGGTGGTTGATAAAACAAGAGACATGCAAACACTCAGCACTCACAAACACCCATTAAATACATAAAGACACCTATGAAACAGGTATTAGTTCATCTTGATATGGGCAATGTTATTTCAAAATAACATCTGCATTTGTATATTGTTCAGCTTTCGAAATTCTAAGTGAAATCTCCACTTCCCCTGTCACAACTTGATGGAACTCAATTCAGCAATGTCGAGGTTACATGTTACCATAATCTTAATTTAACTTTAAGATGTAACAGAAGCAGGGAAAGACCTAGGAAGCCTGGTCTGAGAAGAAGTAGCAATAATCTCAACCTTGAGGTTCCTTTGTTGCAATACTATCTATCAAATGCTCGCCTATAAACAAAATCTTTAAGCTGCTGTTATAGAGGGAACAAAATAATTTCTTGGCATCATCTTAGTCCTACATCAACCATCACTACCAAGCAGCAAGAGGCTGCACCCACTATAGAAGCCACAAGTTGAGATGCTAAGCCCAAGGATCAAAGGATGATGATGGACTGATTAAGAAAATATAATGTAATTCATAATGAGCATCGTATGATTCCCACATAAATAAGAGAAAATGCATCAACATTCTTCTTGGAAAACTTGGATTATCATGCAGACAGTGCAGAAACTGTTAAACATTAAAAGACTTAAATGTTCAAAATTCAAGTGGAGAATGCTAAAAAGGAACATGGAACATGGAGAGGCTATCTAATAAAATATGGATAAATTATAAAACACAAGGCATGTTGAGGTGTGTTTCCATAATTACAAAATGTGAAAGGGAAAAGCAAAAAAAACAGAAACGCATATAAGAGATAGAAATCTAGAATGAAAAACAGAAAAATACAATTCCAACATTAAGATTTGTGAATATGAAGAAGTCGGTTGCAGGTACACCGACATTATCATGAAATAGAGTAAGGAAAGCATACTAGTTGAAGAAAAGTAGGATCAGATGATCTTGGTCTGGGGGTTGGGTTCATGGAATGGAACCAACCTGGGAAACCGCCCCAATCCCACTCTGAAATAAATCAATAGTCTTGATCATTATTTTCAACAAAATATCAACAGCAAGGATATGCCAAGTGAGGGGGTGGGGTACTAATAAACTGTACAAAAAAGAAAATAAGATATCAAAACATAAGATTGTATTGTAGAACAATGTCAAAGTTAGTGCACAATGTATAACAAATGCTCTTTTGCTTCTCTTAGTTCTCTATATCAACTATAAAGAATAAGAAATGAAAATAATTGTGCCAAAAGATGGCATGGACTGCCATACAGACATTGGATTGGCAATAGAACATAAATGTTGCCTTCTCTTGTTTAGCCATATTACACGGGGAAGAATGACTTTTTGCTGCATGGATTCTGATAATAAATTAGATTGGTCTCTCAGATTTGAAAATCATTACAGCAAGATCATTAAAGTTTACTTTATATTTTTTTACTAATAATTTTGCCTATATGCTGGATAAAGGCAAGCAATTAAAGTAATTCAAGATCTTTATTAAAGCAATTGCAGCTCAATGCTAAACTGAGTGATTAGGCATTTAAGTTAAGATATCTAACCTGCACATATATATGGTCCGGGTCGAACCATCACAAGGAGACCAAGTTTGTGACAAAGGTTGAGAAATGATTCAATGTTTGCAATACCCTCAAATACAAGCTTTCCCGATTCTGGTTCATGCAGATTCCAAGGAACATATGTTTGAATGGTGTTCAAGCCCAACGCCTTGGCTTTTAACAGTCTATCTTCCCAGTACTGCATATTAGAAGTAATAATCATATTCCCATAATAAAGCATTTAACTTGCACAAAATAAATATCTCATGAGGTCTCAAAGAATAATGGGCCAAACTTCATTTGTCAGTATGTGTTGTCCTTATGCGAAAGATAACAAGAGGTGGTGATAGGACACTCCATTTTCTTGTTCAGCTATGTGCATAAACTAGCAAAATAAAAGAAACCAAAACCTATTTAAAAATGAATGCATTGATTGCAATGCAATTACCATGTGCCCTTTGGCAGAGTGTTAAAAATCCCTCTTACTAAACTAAGAGATGTCATGTGAACAAGAAGTGATACCTCTGGATGCACTCGAAAATAATGCAAATCACCACCAATGATCTGAAAAGGTTCACCATCTTTCCAGAACATGTCGTCGGCAATCTCAAAGTTTCTGTTAACCTGAGTAAAGCAGGGTCGAACATAATGATTAACCAACAAATTATAGTTCAATTTGTCTTAGAATTGAAGACAGAAGCTAAATTCGGGAAGTGTCGAATGAAGATACCTTGTTGAGATGAGAATGAAGGGGAAAGTGAGTTGACAAAGAAGGAAGAGGAGCGAAAACAGGAAGAAAGGCACAAAAGAGCATGAAAGAGATGAAGATGAAGAAAAGGTAGCTTCGTTTCTTAGCCATGGCTAGCAGTTTGGAAGCTGCACAGTTGCTCTTCACTCTGATTCTCATTCACCCACCCACATCACTGTTCATGCGGGTTATGTCTTACCAAAAATATTTAATTACAGTTATTTAAGCAAAAGTTGCATCATTTAAACTTAATACGATATAAAAGAGTTAAAAACAATAATATGTGAAAAATTAAATAATATTTTAATAAAATATTTTATAAAAAATAAATTAACATTGTACAAGTTTTATTATAATCAAAACGTAATTAATCTTAACATTATTTATATTATATCCCTTCTAAATAAGCAAAAAGGAGAATGTTGGTAACGAGAGTGTTTTTCAAAGAGATTTAGGATTTGAGGTTAAAGATTTTTAGGGTTTAGAATGAGTGGTAGAATAGCATCCCACGGCAACTAATGTACTAAGCATATCGGAAAGGAAGGGGTAAAAACTTAGACATACATCATTTTGTGTTCATGGTTACTTTTATTACTTCATTTAATTTTAATATAATATAAAAAAAGTGCTTAGTTATAAAGGGGTAACATTACATAGAAAAAGATTTACCAACTCTACACAACTTGAACAAGCATTCACGGATAATATGCACATCCAAACCATTTGCATGAGTCATTTTTTGCTTTTGAGACCAAAGCCCATCGAGTCCATTGATCAACTCCAGCCCAATCTAGTCATGCAAGCAGTGAGAAGTTTCCTTGGGCTTGGGCATGGGCTCGTGAATCCAAGACATTGTGGGTGCATATTCATGAATACACCATTGTGGTATGAAGTGGGGGATGGAGAGAGAAAAGTGAAAGGTGACAGACATGATGCATGATACATGATACATGTAGCATATATAGGATCGAGGGTAAGAAAGAAAGTGACATGGGCTTGGGTCAAACAGAAAAGGTGACATTATTTTTTGGCAAAGGGGAGTGTGGGGAAGCATCTTTACAATGACAAGTCAACTGGGGTTATGGCTTCTACCTATGCCCACAACCCAATCATTCTGCCAATTCTCAGCTTTTGGAGGTACCAATCGCATATTGTTAATTTTACTTATTCTAATTCACACTGCAGACAAAAAGCAGCCCCAACAAATAACATTTTAAACCATTGCTAACAGTAACACTAGCTCCACATACTCTTGGGGGACTGTGCTTTATTCACTCTACATAGTTACCTCTTTTCCCTTTCCTTTTACGTTGTTTAGCTGTCTCCGACAAAGGAATCTCAGCACTTTACACAAATTTGACAACCATGCAATTATCCTTTTGTTATCATCTTCACCCTGTTATTTATTACAAAAGCATTTTAAAGGCACCCTTTCATTACGTATATCATTGAATACATTTTATACAATGTTTCTCATTATTTTTAAAAATTAACTCTTAAATAATTATTAAATTAATAAAATTATTATTATTTTTAATTAAATATTTTCTTTTTTCATACCCTTAACCACTTTTTTCAATGCAATTGTTAATCTTCATTGTGTGATTAAAGATCTGAACCTAAAACCTTTTTTTGTGACTATTTGATCTTACTATTCAAATCTGTTTGATTATCTTTGTTTCTTTTATCCTTTCCTTTTCATGTGTAAGATGAAGTCTCATGAGCGTAGAGCATTGGGATTCAAAGGAATCTTCCAACAGCGGAGATGTTTTGCCTTTGCCAAGCCAATGAAAAGAGAGGTGCCAACACCACTTTCAAAACTTGCTTCTTATATGAATATCCACATATACTGACCTAACATAGCAAATCTTAGGGCAGGGATGACGGTCTGTTTCACATTTCGTATATTCTAAAGAACTGAAACACCACACCACCATTGTGCAAACGACACCTCCAATTCCAAAAACAAAATCAATATTCATATGCACTACAAACCATGTTGGAATTGTTTAAATACTAATAATTACTGACTTTTCAGCTAATTGGGTTCGTAGTTATTTACATAAATAATTGTTTGTTGTAATATAATTATGTTGTGAGGTTATTTAATTTAATTGATTAACTTTGATCATTACTGTGTTTCCATTTTACTACTCTTTATTATTTAAATAGCTTTTAGTCTCATTTAATAAATGTAAATAATACAAGTTTTTTTCGTACTTATATCACATGGGGGGAAACGAAAGATGAAGACAACTTTTTAATTTAATTTTAATCATGAAATGTTTGTGTATGACTGTTCTAATATAAAGTTTTTTAAGTTCTGATTTAAATTCATCATCAATTAGCCTTATTAAATTTAGACAATATTAACACGTGAAATGGTCTTCAATTTTCTCATAACGTTCCAAAATAAGACAAAATAATCCGCATTGTCAACCACAACATGACTAAGAAAAAGAAAGAATATATAATATGATATGTGTGTATGAAAAGGAAATATCGTAGCAAATTTGTTCTTCTTGTTTTAGAAATTAAAATAAGAAAAACAAAAGATGGATATAAAGAATCCTCCCTCGGGATTGAATCCCACTTGTGCCTCCATCGGGTATCAAAGGGCATCTTTCTTTCCTTTTAGTTCCTCAAAAATCACAGCAACAAATCTAAATTAAGCTAACATGCATATCATAGTCCTGATTCCTTCCCCTCACAAAGAATCCAATGCTTTTTTATATACTCAACCCATCCCCTCCATAGTATATCCCTTAACAAACTTTATACTCACAGCACATGCATACGTCCCCATGATCAAACTCTTTTATAAATTCTGATCATATCAATGTTGCTTCCATGACCATGTTTTGTTGCTTTCTTTATTGAGCTAAAGTGTTTTTTTTTTTAATTTCCTTTAATTAGTAATAATTTATTCTTCAACATAGTTTGAGTAACTTCACTTACTACCAAGTTTGTTATCAATTTTTCAATAAATTCAACTTAACATTGTAAAAATAAAGAACAAACTTTCTATCTCTATGAAAACCATCTTTTGTGTCCAGTTATATATACTGTTTTGTTTTGATCTGGTAACTTACCCATTGATCTTAGAAAAGTTGGGTTTTCACTACTAAGTTCGGAGCAAGTGATGAGAGATCTGAAAAAGGTTAATGATTAAAATACATTTGGTATAAGTGATGAGAGAAAAAGGCTAATGATTAAGAACTAGGATAAAGTAGTAGGGTAGGATAACATTTCTCGTCGACCACCTTATAAAGATTCAGAGCTCTATCATGAGAACATTTCATTAGTTCATAATTGCCAAAACTAAATAACGAATTATTGATCAATGGTAAAAGGATATTCTGCCGATTTGATCGTTGAGTGGTCCACAGGATGGATTAACATTAACACCACACATTGAGTCAATGACACATCGTAGATTTACTCAAAGATTCCACTACTTTTGATGTTATTATTATTTGAAAAACAACCCTTTGTTATTAGGCATTAGAGAACCAATGCAACTAAAAGTGAGTCTCTTGAGATTTCTTAGAAGATCACATACCCAGTCTTACTGTTACATTTTCTCCATCTAGTTAATCTGTTATGTGAAATTTCAAATTTTAAATATATATTCTAATTTTTCGTCAGATATATACTACTGTTCTCTTTTTTAAAAAAAATGTGTTTATTTTTGTGTTTAACACTTGAACTAAAAATAATAATATATCCTACTACAGTGAAAAGTTGCTTAAAATCCTTGGTTCAAACCACGTGTTAATTATCTTTCCCATTAAATAGTGCCACTGAAGAATTGGAGTGGGAAGGGTTTGATTGATAAATCTTACGCCACATGAATTCATTTATCTTGTAATCAACTCCATTTAAACTCAGGTGAAAATGGGTGACTTTTTGTTGGGGTGAGGATGTTCTTCATGCAAAAAGTTCAATTATTTAATAATTACTTAGCTTGCTTTATAAGAGGGTTCACTGAACATCAAAAGTAGATATGAACACTGATCGACACAATTTATGGAATGCCATTTATGATGGTAGTTAATCAATGTTTATGTACTTTCTTTAACGATGGTAAAGCTGCGTGGACTACAGAATAAAGAAGGCAAAGAGAACGAGATAAGGACGGATCTTGTTATTCCTATCACAACCAACATACTTCAATTTCAATCCAATGGCAAGAAAGCATAAAAGACAAAATATTGTCAGAAAAAAATATTAAACTAAATCCGAAAATAAGATTAAAAGAAACATCATCATCCCTTTCTAGAAATGGGGGAAAAAAGAAGGGAAAAAAAAAAGGTGAATATTTGTTACGCAAAATTTATTATTGTCTAACCACGTTATATTAAAATCGATTGAAACCACTCCCGTGTATTGGTATTAACAAAATTTATGCTTAAAAAATTCAATAGATATTTGTCTATTGATTATGAGTATTTACTTTTTTTAAAGTAAGAATAAATTAAAAGATAAATTTTCTCAATTAAAAAAATTATAAAAATATAGTTGAATCAGGATGTATTATCTTTGTTAATATATATATGAAAATTTAAATTTTAAATTACATTTGACTAGGATGATACTTATCTTAGAATTATTTTATTTTAAAAATATCTTCGATTTGATATAATACATTAAGATCAAATTTTAAATTGGGTCAAAATTATATTTCAGTAATAATGCTTAAAAAGAATAAAAGATCGTAAAAATAAAATAAAATTTGATATTCAACATGAAAGAAATTACATATATAACTCAGGATAGTTTTTAAAATCATTCTCATTTAAGAGTATTATGTGAATTTATAATATGAATATTATTATAATTACACAGAATGAAAAACTTAATTTTAAAATTATTTAATTCACTTCAGGGTTTCAAGGGTATTTTAAAGAACACAAAAAATTATTTGACGGATGTCATTACTAATACAAGATGCTAGAAACATGGTACCTTAAAAAATGAGTAACCTTTCTCCTACATAATTTGTTTGCATCTTACAATGTAAGAGAGATAAAGAGGGAAGAAAGATACAAATAGGTCTATTAATAATTAAAAGGATGGTATAATATCTTATTGTATTTATATTAACCAAATTTGATTTATGAAAAATTAATGTGTTCGCTTTTATTATGTAAATTTAGTGTAAGTACATTGGGATTGTAAAAAAATTACACTATCATCTAAATATACATTGATATATAAAAGAATCATTATTTCTGTTATAATTAATATAAAAACCATATTAATATTGTAAAATTGTTCGTGCTAATGATGTATCAAAATTAAAGTCGTGTTTAAAAATTATTTAAATGCTATTTAAGAAATTAAAAGTTGGATTCTTCATTAAAATGTATACCAAAATAATCCTTCTATGAATTTTAATATATTTTGAATGTAACTATTAATAAAATCATATTATTTATTGATTTGAACATTAGTTAACAAAATCTTATTATATCGTGTCTTTTTCAGGTATTAGTATTCATGTAGTTTCTAGATATGGCTAAAATTAATTTTATTGTCTGGCTAGTTTCTGAATTTCGCATTCAATAATTAACAACCGACCAACAAATAATTATCATGAATAGAATATAGCAGAATGCCGCGGTGCACCATCCAGGTTTTTATATTTAACCTATAAACACATCAAAATTACATTAATTGCATTAAAACTGAACAATATTAAGGGAAAATTAAGTTTATAAAATAATAACTAATTATAGGGAACGAAAATATTCGGATTCAGAAAGGTTCTTTCCTTCCCTTTGGGAAGACTGACAGTATAACATAAACAACAGTAAAATTTAGAAGAAAGAGAAAATAAATAATTTATAATAATGAAATAAAGAAAAATAAAATCGACAGATATAAGAAGATAAGATAAGATATATAAAGCTAACCTTAACCTTGCCAAGGCTTTTGGGATTGGTTATGTTGGGAGGAGTTCATGCAGTTACCAATGCCAGCAATGTTGAGGATATCAGTGTGAGAGAGGGGTCTAAGACCCAAGAAATCTCTCGTCAACCCTTCACTTCCTCCGGCGCTGCCATCATCGGCGGCGGTTGTTTTAGCAATGGCACCGTGGCCAGCAAAAGCATCCTCAAAAGAAGTCCCTTCAAAGGGAGAAGAGAAAGAATCGATAACATGATGAAGGAGTGATGAAGGAACACCACCGCCACCAGAACCACCACCAGTAGCATCACCAGCAGAAGCAGCTTTATGGGCATAAGGTGCCAAGGCATGGTTAGTGGTGGTCATGATCTGGTCATCACGTGAGGACAAATTGAAACTTGAGTCAGCAGACACGTGAGTGTGTTGGTGGGTCCTAATCATGGAACCTGTTTTGCTCATGGTTGCACCCATTTGTGCTGCTTTCTGAAGCAACGCTGTGGCTGACATGTGAGGAGAGGAAGGTGCTGGTTGGAACGCTGGGAGAGTGGGACCGAGTCTAGGGTTAGGGTTTTCATGGTCTTGAACTTGATCCAACCTTGGAGTGGTGAAGAATGATGATGAAGATGAAGAGAGATCAACGGTGGGTGGAGCAAGCCAAGGGGGTATGAAACTCTGTTGCTCTTTCTTCAGTGGGAAACCATGCATGTCTTCAAGGTTCACTGGTTGTGGTTGTGGAGTTGGAGAAGGGTGATGAAGTGGGTTCCCTATCCCTGTCACTGCTCTTGCACTCTCCTCTGCTAATGCATCACAGAAGGCTCTGTGGGTTATGAAACTGTCCCTCCTGAAACTCATAAACAAAACAAAACATGCATATTGTTTACACACACAAAAAAACAAAACCAAAAGTTGTCACTATATATGCTAAAGTGCTGTAACATTTTCAGTTTTCCAACCATTTTTTTAGTCACTCTCCCACAGTACTTTGGACAGATAGACCATGTTAGGCGCCTGGCGGTGCATTAAAATTGTTTCATTTTCTCTTTCTTTCTGAAGGGTGTGATTAATATTATAGCTAGGTACCTATGTGCCTGCTATATCAATGTATCAAGTATCAACTCTTCTCTATTGTGAGAAGGGATAAGGAATGTGAATTTAATTTATTGTTGTTGAAAATATGAATAGCCCAAAAGAAAAGGATGTGAATTTGAGTCAACCTCGGATTCAAATAGCATCCTCCATAAATGAATGATGTCTGACTTGTAAACTGAAGCTGAAACTGGTAGGTGGTCATTGGTAAGAGTAAGGGTTTTAGGTTAGTTACCTTGAGAAGAGGGTTCCACAGTCACATCTGTACTCCCTTGTGCCACAGGTCTTGGAGTGAGCTTTCCAGTCTGATTGAACAGCATACTTCTTGGAGCACTTGTCACATTTCCACTTCTTCTCACCGTGCTTTCTGCAGAAGTGCTTCTTGATACCAGTTAGGTCCCCCAGGGCCCTTGATGGGTCATGGTGCACGCATGTGGGTTCTGGACACACATACACCTTCTTCCTTATCTCTTTGTTTGTTCTCTGCTTCAGTTTCCATGGTAAGTTGTGCCCTCTTCTATGAAGCTGAAGATTCTGATCTCTTTGAAACCCTTTGTTACAGATCTCACAAATGAACCTGTTGGTGGCCAGAAGAGTCTTTGGAGACAAGGCGACAACTTCAGCTTCTGGGTCTAAATAAATATTTAAATAGAAAAAGGAAAAAGAATACCCAATTCAGATAAACAAGACAAGGACATACAAAAAACAAACCAAAACAAACGATGCTTAGAACTTTGTTTGAATAGAGAAAAGAAACCTGGGTTGCCAGGAAGGTTTCTCTTTTTCTTAACTTGAGGCTGAGTTTGAGTTGATGGTGGAGCGAAGTATTGTTGAGAGTAATCAGTAACAATTTCGTTCCTGTTGCCTGAGGAAGCACTAGCTTCACCAGATGCAGAAGTCAAATTAGACATGTTTTCCTCCACTAATGGTAGCTGCTGCGGTTGTTGTTGGAACACCAAACCCTTCATCACCTTTTCTCATATATGAACATTTTGGAATCCCAAGTATGTGTCATGAGCCATAGATCTGAGTTTTCCGTATGTTACAAGTCTTGCTTCTGGGATCCAAGGACAACCCTTACCTATAACAGAAAGGAAGAAAAAAGCTGGACTTTTGAAGCACGAACTGGACTAGTAGTAAGAAAAATAACAGAACAAAGAGTCAAAATTGATATACAACTCAGGAATATAGTCTTTGAAATCCCAGCAAAGAAACAAAGTATATGGGAAAGAAAAAAAAAAAGTGGAGAGAGTTCTCTACATCTGTGAAGCAAAATACTTTAAACTTAATTAGATGGTTTCCACTACTTGTTTGGCACCAACCCAAGAGACAATTTTCGTTTTTTTTTTTTGCCAAGAAAATCCAGTGATGACCACACTAATATGAACAAAAATATAGACTCAGTAACTCAAAGTTCATAATCAGAGAGAGAGAGAGATGAAGATGTGGTGAGAAGAGGGATTCCCTCTGTATCTCAGCCAGACCAAAACAATACCAGAAACCACAAACCAAGGAGAACCCTACGGCTAACTCTGACGTTGCGCTTTCTGTCTTTTCCTCTGTTCTCTTTCTCAACCCCAGAAAAATCCTTTCTTTCTCTATTTATTGTTTAATGTTTATATTTTGCTTTTAACCAAGTTCAATTATTTTCGCTATAAACTTTTGTTTATATATATACACTGCCCTTGCCTTTCCCTTCTCTCGTAAAGTAAGCAGAAAAAGGGGGGTGGAAAAGCAACCATGTAAAAAGAGAGTATCATTTGTATATGCAGATAGATAGATATGTAATGTAACATAGGCATTTAGAGAGAGAGGAACAGAGAAAGAGAATGATAGGATGAGAGAAGTCCTCTTATGTTACTTAACATCATAGGCAGTGGACCCTCCCTACCCTGCTTCCCAAATTTTACAGTGACATGATTGATTCATTGATTAAATTCCAACCAGCATGGCTAAAAGCTTCTCCCTTCTTCCCTTAATTCTTTTTTATTCTTCTCTGTTCGTTATCATTGTAACTATTGCCTATAAAAAAAAAAGCTGAATATTCTGACATTTTTTGCATGGCTATATTAAATAAATTAAGACCTCTGTTATTAATTTGTACAATATTTTTATATTTGTTTTTATTTTCTCTCTTTTTCTTCTACCAGATAGCTAAATTAGTTATAATATCGTATGGTGTCCAAAAACATGTCGCTCAAACAACATTTTCTTTGGACTAAAATCTAAACAAACAGATACATTTGTTAGGTTATGAATTTACAAAGACAAAGCTACCAAACTCCCAAATCCTTAGCCCCCTCTCCACCTTTCTTATTACCACCGTATCTTATACAAGCGCAATTTTTGGTCGGCCTTGTCATTTTCACTTCGCAATGGTCATTATCAATATTAAAAAAACTATTAATGTCGTCGCAACTATAATATGGGATCAACCTCAACTTACAAGTATCAAATTGGACACATTTAATATCATATAATCACCCAGTTCATTAAAATTGCAAGCCATAAATATAAGTATGAATATTCAATTCATCCAACTTTTATTTATTTTTCTCTTTCTCTCTCCCCCCCCCCCCCTTATAATGCATGTTATAAGTCTCTCCTTGCACTTAAAATAAATAAATAACATTGACATGGGCTAACGTTACCTTGCCGGTACTCATGCTCAAGTTGACTCCACGGTCAATAATAGCAAACAAGTGCACCCTTTAAATGAAATCATTTACTTTAATGTGTTTATATATTGACTAAATGACTGAAACTAGATAACTTAGCCTTAAAAAATTACTGAAATTATAATTCTGGTCTATTCGATTTTCCTTCCTCACATTAGAATTAAAGTCGTATATAAGAAGACTTTTTGCAATGATTAAAAATTGGACTTTTCAGCTTGAAGTCTGGGGGTTAATTTTCGTTGTAAAATATTGAGTGAAGTTATTTTGTAACTATGATGCTTTTCACTGCGCATCACGAATAGGTCAAGTGAAAGCTAAAAATATAAAATTGAATATTTTGCACTTGACATGTGTCTGGTTTGTTTAATATGCTTGATTATATTATTATATGTAAGAAATATGAATGTTTCTATAAATATATATTGCAATTTGATTGTATAAGAATATTTTTTGTATTGTTTCAATATATAAAGAGTATGTGGGAACAGCAGAACTACATTGTTTTTTGGCTTGTTCAGCTTTCGATGAGGTTGTGTAGCCTGCACCACGTATGAACTTTAAAAAGATGGTAATATAAAAACATTTCCTTTTGTCATTATCTTGTTTTATTCTTCCATGATTATGGTTTTGAAAATGGCAAGACCAAGTCACAATGTGCTCTCCCAGCTCATCTTTGCCATTAAGTAGTATTTATTACAGGGAAAAAAAAGAGGGGGTGGAACAAAGGTGAACGCAATAGTACTCCGTATCTCCTTTTCTTTATCCATAGAAATATAAATATAGATAAAGGGTATTATAAAAAAAAAAAAAATTAAATGAGAAAAATATTTTTAGAAAATATTATAACATTTTAAGAAACTAAGAAAAGTAACTTAAAAACAAATTAAAAAAAGTTATAAATTTTGATATCATCAAAATTTAAATAAGCTAATATTACATCCTATAAGCTTCGTCTTTTTTTAATATTTGAAAACAAATGCAAGATAGTACCTTATTATGAAGAAGATACTGAAGAAATCATGATTAATTAATGGTTGGCTCCTCTTATTTCGTTCTACGATTATGTTGGAACAAGAAATAGGTCAAACTCTGGAGTCAAGTCATGCGGCATCAGAATTCAGAAACCTCTGCAACTGAGATCAAACTTTCAGACATGCAGACTTAAAAAAATCCCTATATATTCAAGTTAAAAAACACACAGATGTATATATAGTTCCAGTGATTTATTTTTTATATTGTCGTTTATATTTAAAATCTAACAAGTCTATATATAGAAACAATAAATAGTACAAAAACGTACAGTACTTCTATTTGGATTAAATTTTAAAACAAAAATAAATAGAGTCCACTAAACACATGAACAAACTGTGTATATGCTCCTACAGTAGTTAATGGCGTTCATGCAACAACACCAGAAGTACACGAATCTGCATAAAAAATTCAAAACTGAAGAGTACTGAATCGATGTATCTATATAATAGTTGCAATCATGGTAAGCAGTAACGTGCTAATGCAAAAATTTAGAGTTATATTATTTTTATAATAATGTTTTTTTTATTATATATATAACCTGTTTAATAATATTTTTATTATATAATAATGGGACGGCGAGTTGGAGACTCTAAATCATACTTTTTGTTTAGTGCAGAAAAAAACTCAGTCAATGCTAAAAACTTCTCTTTCAAAGATAGAATAAATTAATAATTTTAAAACTAGCTCTGTCTTTAGATAATTTTAGTTTGTGTTTAAAATAAACTATAATTTCGCTATATAATTAAGAAAATGTAGACATAAATGCCACGTGAGCACCGCCACCTTCGCCGCCATCCACCAGGAAGCTTTGGGACGGTGGATTCGCAACATGTGTGGTGGTGGATGGTTTGGCTTCTGGTCCTGAAAAATTAGATGGCAAAAAAATACGGATATTAATAATTTTTATTTAACAAATTAAATGTTACCATATTTTTTTTAAGTTAAATAATACCAAATTAAAGTGTTGTTGAGCTTATACAAAAGTTATGACGATGATTGGAGAACATTTTGGCACGAAAAACGAGTCAACACAGGGTAGCACTGTTATTGGACACTCATTGTTGTACAAAGGTGCCACAAAAGATGTTGCCAATACATGTACGTTAAAAACAGTGCACTTACTATTATAATTTAAAATTAACGTTTTTAAAGAATAATTCTTATATATATATATATAACACTAATTTCTCACACGTCCTTTTACTTATTACACGGATAAACAAATTAAATATATTTTATATTTTTCAGTTATTAAATACATGTATTTAATAAAGTACAGAGAGGATTAAATAAATAGTAATAGAAAGATACAATATTACTGTTTTCAAATATTATTTTAAAAATATTTCTCAAAACAACACAAAATTATATTAAAAAATACATTTCCTATGGTGAAATTTATTATAAATAAATATCAATAGCATTTTAAAAAATAATTATTTTGTTAACTAAGAATAGTGATTAACAAGTGCTTTCAGAATAATAACAAGAAAAACAACAAGTATTTAAAAAATATAACTTTGTTAAGCGGTATTTTTATAACAACAATTAAGAAATCAACAAATAAAATTTATGTTTGATTGCATAAATTTTATGAGAGTTGCATTATTATATTTTTTTAGTTGAAATAATTTAACTGTTTGATTAGCATTTATCATAATTTAAAGTCTTCTAATAATATTTCATATATTTATTCAATAAAAATTTGAATGTTTAGCATTTTAAAGATATTAAGAATTTTTACTTTATATTATATTTTTATTTTATAAAGTGTTACAAATATTTTAATTAAAAAACTACACTATTAACTAATCAAAAATTATTTTTTAAAATATTTAATACATTTATAAAATTAAACTAAAATATTTTTTATCAGTTGATCCATGTATTCAGTGATTTATAATTATTATTTATAATTTATCAATAAAGTAGTATTTATCATATTGGAAGGAAAAAAAAGCAAATATTTAACTTTTTAATTTATAAACTAATTTTTGTATTATCAATAACCTAAACTTAATTAGGCTCTTCGTTATGGTAGAATAGTCAGTCCTTTATAAACCGAAGCATACATTCAATAATATATATTTTAAAACATCAATATGAATATATTAAAGTTTTTCACTGAATACTTGAGAATTCTTATTTTTTATAATTTTAGAGACTAATAAATTTCATTTTAATTTTAAAATAATATCAACAGTATTGTATTTCCTTTTTGTTATCAGTTTGTTTGGGGAAAAAATTGTTTCAATTTATTCAGCTTTTGAAACTTGAATACAATATTAATTGTTATTTTATTAGGTATATTTTTTTACCTCTATTTAAATTTTAAATAATTTACATATTTATCACAAATAAAAGAAAATAATAATAAAATCCATATTAAATTTTAAAAATAATATCATTATGCATTTTAAATCTGTATATTGCCTTTTAAAGTAACAAAAAAAAGTGTTGACTGTTTTATTAAATATTTTTTAACAGTATTTTTTTTTGTCTCCAAATACAAAAATACAAGTTCATATTTAATATTATTTCAATTTAAGACATTTAATAATATATTTATTACTTTTATTTCATATATTTACAAAACACAGTAGACAAGGATTTAAAATAGTATTTTTAAATATTAATAACATATTAAAAAGTGCTTAAATTTTTATTTTATTTTTTTCTATTTAGCAGAATTTAAAAAGTCCAAAAATAAAAACAACTTAGAAAATAGATTTAGGCTAAAAAATCTTCAAACAATCAAAGCTAACAAAAGGAGTTAAAAAAGGGAGAACCTTCTCAAAATTAGAATCAAACTCACTTTCAGCTTAAAACTTAATCAATTAATTAGCTCATTGATTGTTTTCTTAAAATATTAATAATATATTAAAAAGTGCTTAAAATTTATAGAATTAAATAAGAATTTAAAAAAAAAAACTAAAATCTGAACAATAATAATTTTTGTACAGTGTGAATGTCTAATTAAGCAATGGTGCTGTTCGTAGTATTATACAAGGCCTTCAATCATGCATCTATATTTTGGATTTTCAAAGCTCGAATTTCAATAAAGATTTGGCATAGTTTCAATTTAAACTTTTTCCCCTTCTATGCAGACAATAGATTTGGTCATGGTCCACTCCATTCACTTGTGGGTCACACACTCGTCTTTTCAATTAGTTTTTTCTTTTCTTTCTAATTATTCCTAAATAATTGCACTTAGGTATTCATTCCATGCATGTTACACCATCAATACGCTCCATAATTAGGTTCTACCAAAACCTAAATCAAATTTAGTTAAATAAATTTGAGTGTTTTTTCTTTTAAATAATTGATGTGTGTATCTTGCACTAGATTCCAGTTGCAATTTAAAGTGCCTTAACCTAACCTAACTCTATGGATGATGATACAATCATAATTTTAGATTTAAATTAACAATTTTGACACAATGCAAGACATTGAGTTGGGATCCACGAGTCAAGGTCGGTATTAATTATATCCCCTCCTAATTTAATTTTCCTTTTTTTCTCTATATATGTAGTATTATGTGCCCTGAGTTAATTTGTTAAAAATAAATACAATAAATTTATAAAAACAACATGATTTTTATAAGCTATTTTTGATTTATTTTAATAATTTTTTTAGAAAAGCTTACTTTAATAATTTTTATAAATTATTGGAATAAATTAGAATGTTAAATTTATGACACAAGTTTTTGATAAAAAATAAATAAATATGCACTTAAATAACTTATGTATCTAAGTGTGTTCTAATTAAATTTGATAATTTTTATTTAATATATAACATGAGTGTATTAAAACTTAAAGAGTTTTGTTAGTATTTTTTAATTAAAAATTAACAAATAATATTTTTATTAAACATTTTGATAAAATGTATTGAAACTTTTTTTAAAAATTGTATGTTTTTATAATTGTAATTACTTTTTTTTCTAAATTAAAAGTATATTTTATAATTGTAATGTGTAGCAGATGACATCATTCTTAACACTCACGAGGGACATTGTAAGAGAGACAAGGAAACCGGTACCCATGTCACGAGATGAGAGGAGGCAGGGCAAAACCACAATCATGAAGGATTGAGGTGGGCTCCACTCTTTCTGATAGAGAAACGCAGTTCATACGATGATTGCCACGTGTACGGATCTGATCTAGTTGTTCGAAACGCATCAAAACTCTCATTGTCGTCATCATCACACGCTTATTCCATTCCATTCCATTCCATTACATGCTTACCGCAATTCACACGCTGCCCCGTACCCACCAAAATAACCACTCCACGTGGCAAAATCTGCTTCGTTATCAGAATGCAGCTGGAGAAACTTATCTTCAGAAATATAAATATTTTTTAAAATTATTTTTAAGCATTTAAAAATAACAATTTTTATTTAAAATAATAAATCAAACTATGCGCATCTGATAGGATTGAAAGTGTTATTTCTTTTCTACCATTATTTACAAATCACAACAACAATAATGATAATAAAATACGAAGATTAGTATGGGAATGACGTTAAAAGATAATATAAAGTTTGAAAATCTGAATACAAGTATCTCTTCAAGTTAAAAGATAATTGGAAATTAATATATTTGTTGCGGGCCCACGGTCATGAGGCCCAAAATATAGGGACTGGCTCGTTTAGATGAATGGACCGTTTAGAAAAAATAAAAATAAAAGAGAGAGTATTGTATTAGGGAATTATGGAATATCTTATTGCATTCTCAAAATTACGAAAAACACATCATACATAATTTTAATAAAGATTTCATTTTTGTTTTTTTGCTTTTGTATCATTGAGCTTATTTATAATCATTTTAATTAAAAGCACTTTAATAATGTTAATATTTATTTAATATTTTTTTGATCACGTTATACATATTATATTTATTATCTCTCTTTTATATTTTTATGAGTGTATAAAAAACATTTTCACTTAAGAAGCAGAATCTAATCATAGTTTATGTTCAAACATGTATTTAAAAAATAATAATTCCAACGACCAACGATGAAACTAAAAGGACAAGTTCAATTAAAATCCCTCTCCATCTAATAAAAATAAAAGCAACACACGAGAATCCTTCTTTTGAGCCACGGGCAATCTACTGTATCCCACAAAAATAAATATATATTAGGTCAGAAAATTATTGCAATTTAATGTTTTAATCCATTCCTATCTTCTTTGATGATCAAATATTAATCCAACTCAGTTCTCCCTCCCTTTCTCTCGTATAATTTTTTATTTTTTACCCTCTTCAATAATTAAGCACATTTTAAGTAAAATAATGCGTAGAAATATATATTAAAACCTTTAGATTTTGAATTATATTATTGTTATAAACATGTAAGTTTTATCATCATCATCTACTTTCCAAAAAAAATAAATGATCTCGACTGGTTGCTTCAAAACATGATCATATCAAAATTTTCTCATCAAGATTGGCGTGTGTATATATATATATAGTAGTCATGAGTTTTTTGGCTGATTGAAAAGAATTACCCATAAGAATAAGTTTTTTGTCATTTTTAATTTCAAGACACTCTATGCAACTCATGTATTGTGTTAAAAAAAAGCATGACCGAGTGAAAAATAGTATGATATATTAAAAAATATATATCTAGAACTAATACGATTCATTCCATTTCCATAAATTAATAATTTGAATTTTATACTAGATTAAAAATTTCCATATCAAATCATGGTTTATATGCATAAAAAAAACAGTAAAGGACTTAAATTTATATATTTAACGAAATAAATTATCTTAATTGAATTTAAAAATTAAACTCTAATGATTTACAAAAAGATTAATTTATGAACATGGTTAACTGTGATCTTTATTTTAAATATATATATATATATATATATATATATATATATATATATATATATATAAAAGAAAAGGAGCTAAACACCTGTTTAACACCTTCAATATTCAAATAATTAACTCCAAAAATGTTGAAGCGAATCAATCAATTAAAATTAAGTTCATTATTATAAGTAAAATTGAAGTAGTTGAAGAAAGCTTTTACTTTTAGCTATTAACTCACGAGAAAATCTCACACTTCATCCCCTTAAATGGATATACATCGATTGACCCGATGGAAGAAGAAAAAGTTTATGGTCGAAACAAAAAGTTGACACTCAAAATCTTCACATATATGAAGAATATATATGTTGTAGATAAGCACAAGCTAAATTCTGAGTTGGAAACTAGTCGAATTCACCAGAATTTTAGGAAATGTCTAAAAGTAACAAAGCTAAGCAGTTGAAAAGAAAAGATTGAAGCCCTCTCTCATTAAATTCGTAAGAGGCTACATGTGTTCATACTCTGATACTATGGTCTTTGCTGAATGTTAACCACTTTTTCTGGATAAGTTCGATTCGGAGGTTTCCTATGTTAATTTCTTCGTCAGCAACCCCATGATGTCAATCACACTCGTTGCTACGTTAAATATCACTAAAAGAATGACTATCCTATATATACACCCAAATTTTAATAAAATTATAAAATTTAATATATTAATAATATTAAATGTTATATTTTTTAATAAAAAATATTCATGCGACCGTCTCTTGTAATTTGATGTATTACAGTATATGTATTTAATTATAAATTTATAATCTTGAACTACTGCAACAATTAAGGAAAAGAAAACTTTATGATTTGTTACAGTCTCTTATAATTTGATGGAAATTACTCAAGCTTTTCACCATTGAATTTTAGTGACTTTAATTGTGATCATTTAATGTATGCATACTGGTCATATCAAGTGAATTTATAGGATATTCAAATACATGTAAACAAGTTGCAAACCGACACGGAACTCACGATGAAAGAAAAAAAATAGTATAATTGTATTTTATTGACTGAATATAAGGACATAGAAATCATACTTTCCAATGAAAATAGATAAGCTGGAGTTATATTTTCCACTGCACCTCCTTATTAGTTGACTTCTGACATAATTTGACTTGTAAGAACTACAGATTAATACTTATTTTCCTCGGTGCTTCTCTCACATGATCTTTGAATTTTCTTTCTAAACAACTGTTAATAAATTGGACTAATCACTTCTTTCTGTGACTTGTGTCGCATCCCATTGGCGAATTTCAACAATAGCCAGCAGTATACTCCGTGCAAATTGGAACTCGGATAGTTTACATTTCAAAAAGTTCTGCATGACATGCATTGAAATTTGTTTATAGCTGTGTTTATTATTTTATTCTATTATAAAACAAGAAATTTTTAATATTCAATATATTGCAAACACTTTTTATCAAATAGTTGAAGATCCGAATCTATAAATAGATATCAGTTTACGAGCTTCCCTCACCTCACCTCACCTCACCTCATTCCATTATGGCCATCTCTCCAATTTTGTTGTTTGCTATCTTCTCTCTCATTTATGGCAATGGCGTTCTTCCCATTGAAGCTACCCACCATGTTTATAGAAATCTTGAGAGTCTGTCTTCTGATTCCTCCAATCAACCTTATAGAACTGGTTATCACTTTCAACCTCCCAAGAATTGGATTAATGGTATATTTCCAACAAAGTAGTTTTAAATCTTCTTTCTTTATTCTAATTTTCTGTGGCAAATATTTTACACCTCTAACATTGTTTTTTTATTTTGCCTTTTGTGTTTGTCATTTGACATATTATGCTGAAATGGACATCTTTCAGATCCTAATGGTGAGTTCTATTCTCCTTCATTTAAAACATGCATATTTATAGACAATAGATTAAGGTATTTACATGTTTACTCTTAGCTGAAGATGTTATGTAAATGGTTTTTTGTGCAGGACCAATGAGGTACAAAGGACTTTACCATTTGTTTTATCAATACAATCCAAAAGGTGCTGTTTGGGGCAATATTGTTTGGGCCCACTCTGTATCAAAGGATCTAGTGAATTGGACCCCACTAGATCCTGCCATCTATCCTTCTCAACCGTCTGATATCAAGGGGTGTTGGTCAGGCTCAGCCACTATGCTTCCTGGGGGCAAGCCAGCCATTTTATATACAGGAATTAACCCCAACAATCATCAAGTTCAAAACCTAGCCATCCCCAAAAACATGTCTGACCCATTACTTAGGGAGTGGATTAAGTCACCCAAAAATCCATTAATGGCACCAACTACAGGTAACAAAATAAATTCAAGCTCATTTAGAGACCCTACCACTGCTTGGTTAGGCAAAGATGGGTATTGGAGGGTGTTGATTGGAAGCAAAGTAAATACTAGAGGAATGGCAATTTTGTATAAGAGTAAAAACTTTGTTAATTGGGTTCAAGCTAAACAACCACTACATTCAGCTGAAGGCACTGGAATGTGGGAGTGTCCAGATTTCTATCCAGTTCTAGATAAGAGCCCATTAACCATTGGTCTTGACACGTCTATGAATGGTGATAATGTTAGACATGTACTCAAGGTTAGCTTGGATGATACAAAACATGATCATTATTTGATTGGGTCTTATGACACTTCCAAGGATGTCTTCATTCCGGATAACGGATTTGAAGATGACCAATCCATTTTGAGATATGATTACGGAAAATATTATGCCTCAAAAACAATTTTTGATGATGGAAAGAACAGAAGGGTCTTATTGGGTTGGGTTAACGAATCCTCAAGTGTTGCGGACGATATCAAGAAAGGATGGTCTGGAATCCATGTAAGTTGGGATCAAATTATTAGTCCATTTTTTAAATACAATCAAAATCTTCATTAAAAATATAGGCCTTGAACTATTTCTAGTTACATTAGGTTATCGAGCATGGTTTGTGCTATATGGTTTAACATAATACAAGCCAGCTCGTGGCCCATAAGCACAAAGTCAAATTGATCCAATTTTTTAATAAAATCAGTTGGGTAAACTTTGTTCAATAATGCACATACATTTGCAGACTATTCCAAGGGCCATCTGGCTTCATAAATCGGGAAAACAGTTGGTGCAATGGCCGGTGGTGGAAATTGAAAGCCTGCGTGTGAACCCTGTTGTCAACTGGCCCACCAAAGTGGTCAAAGGTGGTGAACTGCATCAAGTTGCTGGTGTTACTGCAGCACAGGTATTCTTTACTTAGTTACAGTCTTGTAAAAGTAATACTATATTTGCAAGAGAAATGCCAACTAATCGTTAACATACTAATTAACACACTTTTAATTTTTTGGAACTTATAAAATTATGAGTGAGACGCGAGTCTCAATAAATTTTAAGCAATAATATTAAGTATGTTAAAAGAATATGTTACTACTATCCCTCATGTCCTTAATATGTAAATTTTTGCATTTATATCAGTGCACAACCATATGCCAAGTTACTTGAACGAAGAAATAAATACAAGAGTAATGTAAATTGCATTATATATATGCTCAATAATGTGTCATAACTTTGACTGGTTTGACATTATAACAAAAAGTACTACATGATTATCTTAAATAAAATGAAATATGACCAACAGACTAAAAGAAATTTAATAATATTATTCCCTATGTAAACATGGATATATACTATTCTTTTGATATTAATCAATAATTAATTTTTCTTCGCAGGCTGATGTTGAAATTTCATTTGAAGTGAAAGAGTTTGGAGAGGCTGAAATATTGGACCATTGGGTAGATCCCCAAGTTCTGTGTGGTAGAAAAGGTGCAGCCGTTAAAGGTGGTTTGGGACCTTTTGGTCTGCTAGTTTTTGCTTCTCAAGGCTTGAAAGAGTACACGGCAGTGTTCTTTAGAATATTTAGATACCAGCATAAAAATTTGGTTCTCATGTGTAGCGATCAAAGCAGGTTTGTCTTTGTCTTCTATCCCTTTCGGTTAACTTCTAAGAAATTTGATTGCTTGTCGACTTGAGATTGTCAAACTTTTCTCTGATATGAAATGTAATACTTTGACAGGTCTTCTTTGAATAAAGATAACGATATGACCACTTATGGGACTTTTGTGGATGTGGACCCTCTTCATGAGAACCTGTCGTTAAGAAGTTTGGTAAGTTGATGTAATTTATGAGAACATAAAGACCAATCAATAACTTTGTTAATAGATGAAAGGTTATTCTTTGGATTGTAGTGGCCCAGCAAAAAATTGCTAGATATATAGTTGTTAGACTTATTTTAAAGATATTATAAAAGCAGAATTTTTAGATGACATGTGTATTACTATTAAATAAAATGTATTAATATGATTTATGAAAAAAATTTAAAATTAATTTGATATCGTAGTGAATGCTTTCTCTTTCCTTTACCCATTTCATAATATTTGCTATTTGTCCAGCTAATGCATAGTTTTCTTTATTCTATTCACAGATTGATCACTCAGTAGTTGAGAGTTTCGGGGGAGAAGGAAAGGCATGCATCACAGCTAGAGTATATCCCACATTAGCAATCAATGATAAGGCACAACTATATGCTTTCAATAATGGAACTGCTGCTGTCAAGATCACAAGATTGAGTGCTTGGAGCATGAAGAAGGCAAAAATCAACTGAAAACAAACATTAACGACTGAAGAGAACCAAATACAGCATTACTGTAACCAATACTTGCGTTCTTTTATTAGTGCCTCCAAATTTTATTACTGTACCGTGACAACTGTGCGTGGTATTCATTTGATAAGAAATGTAAGGAAAAAAATAATGTTTTGTAAACATATTTTTGATAATATGTTATCCATCTAATTCATATTCTTGAAAAAAATATATAATATTCAAGTAACATTAAGATAATCTCTATGTTATTCTTAAATAAGGTGTGACAGAATACAAAGAAAAGAAAAAAGTAAACTGAACATTGTGTAAAGCCACCCCATGCAGACCATGTAGAAGCCTTTTATGGCACCAACTGTTACTAACAGGATATATTGATGCATATTTTGAGACCTTACCATTGCTTGTTTGCGAAAATATGGGAATGCCCTCATTTTGAAAAATAACACATTTGGAGTTGATACACATCTACCAGTGGTGATGGTGTCAGGCATTGTTTATTATGACTACTAAGTATTCGGATTAGAGGATAAACTGTATGGGTCACCTAGTGTTGCAAATGAATTAAAAAAAAGATGGTCAGAAATCCATGTAAGTTGTGGCAATTTTTTCAAGTTAGTGATGTGCTATTTTTCTAAATTCAGACATGATGACATTAATCAGTATTGAACTAACAAATTAGAATAGCTTATTGAGCATGCTGTGTGATGTGTGATTTAATATTGTTACATAAGCCAGCTTTGCAGCCCAAAGTGCTTGTATAGCCTCGGCACTTACTATTCGTGACTTTTCTTTTGTGGACCTATGGCCTCTGCAACCCAATTACCATATATCTTTTGAACAAAAGAAATTAATTGGACAAAAACAGTACAATTATTATCCTATTCTGTGCGTTTAATTCAGGGAACTTGAATTAAGAACAATAATAATAAATAAAAGCAAATATGTTCTTGAGAACTTAACGGATAGAAAGGAATGGAAGGAATAAATTATTGACAATAAGTGATAGGGCACAATTATACGCGGAAACTATGAACAGGTGACATGAAGATCGTAACAAGATTGAGTGCTTGGAACTCGAAGAAAGCACAAATCGATGAAAATATTAACTATTGGATTCTCAATAACAAATATTCAACTTTTCATTAAAAATCATGTTAAGATATATTAAAACATTCTTTCTAACCTATACAACATTTGCATTAAATTTTAGTATTAATGCATTAAATTTTATTATGTTTAATAAAAATTACCTATGTAAAGCTTTTTAATCAAGTGTAATGTTACAGTTATAAAAATTGATATTTTATAAAACATAAAAGTAAATATATTTTTTAATAAAATGTTTTATTTTTTATTCTTTAATCAGTAACCATAGAATATTGTTACTATTTTCCAACAAACTTTATTGTCAAATGCCCGTTAACTTACTTTTCCAATTGATCTCGACTTTTAACGTCAGTTTTGAGGATGATCGTAACATGGTCATCATGATTTATTCCGCCTGGGTTATCTTTAATCAATATGCATTTTGTCTAGAAATAATAAATGTTACTCGGGAGAAATATAGAACATGCATCAAATATGATCCAACCCAACTTTCATCCCCAAACATCTGCATATTACTCAATTGAATTTATTCAGCAAACAGATTAGTCATTACATTGTTACGTGTCTGCACAACTTTCATTGTACAAGAAAATTGATGTGCAATTTAAAAGAAAATGACTTAACGATATACTTCTATATTAATAAACATTAAAAATTATATTAAAATCAGTCATTTTTTCACATTATAATTCAATGGTGTTAAATACCTCTTTTAATAAGTTCAACTGTTAACCAGTTAAACTACCAAGATTTTTTTTAACATGTATAAAATTACACATGATAAAAATATAGTAAATAATTTTTTTTTATTAAAAATTATATAACATTTAATGGTATCAGAATATATATAAAAAATAAATCTAATTAAAATGGCTAAAAACTGAGTTGCTCGCTAAAATTGTTTACTCTGGCCAAACTAATCAAATTTCACCAATCTCCAAGATTCCCTTGATCACTATCATTCTTTTCCAAGTACACTTTTTCACAATGTAATATTTTGGTAGAACAATCACAACAATGCAAGCAGATCTGTACAGTTTCACGCAATACACAATAATATGGACGACGACACAAATATACTTATCACTTTATTTTTATTTTTTTTTCGTAGAACAAAAACCAAAGAGAGAAATATAATCCATATCACAGGGCAACCCAAAGAAACCCAGGAAGAGACCCAAAATATAAGCCCCCAACCCACCACCCAAAAAGGCGCAGACAGTTGCAAATTTTGACTGAATACCCAGAGACCTACAGTAATTACTCCTCTGAAACTAAATCTATCCAGGTCTGTTGCACACAACCAAGCATTACTGCTGCTTGCATTCAGGAGGGCGCTCTGTCGGCTGATATTTACCAGGTGGGGCCCTGTTACCCCTCTGCAGTTTAGAGCAATAAAACATTGTATATAGTAAGAATACAACGTTACCAAACAGTTTCATGGAGTCTGTAGCCGTACCTTATTCTTGATCTTCCCTTCCTTTTCCTCGTCATCCTCGTCGTCATTCTCATCATCATCGTCGTCATCATCTTCGTCTTCGTCCCCATCACCTTCGTTGTCATAATCATCTTCATCTTCTATATCCTCAAAATCACTCTGTGCAGCCTCCCCTGTGAACCATGACACAGCATGAGGAATAATTTTGTCCCGGATTGTTGAACTGCACAAGAACAACAGCATAAACTCAAAACACAAAAATGGTAGAAAACAATCCCATATCACCAAATTCCATAAATGCCAATACTTCCATAGGTTGATATCTGTTTTTTTCCCCTGCCACAAGAGTGGCATAAAAGCAATTATAGTTTAAATGAAACGAATTCATAACATCATTCAGCATAAACAACTTTGCACTCAACTGGTCAAACCACCTTTCAACAAATACTTGAGTTTAAACAAACTAAATAAAAAGACGCAAAACCATAGAACAAATAATGCAATGACAAAAGCTTTCTCTGACTAGGATAGACCAGCAGCTAATAAAGTTAAAGACCAACATATAGACCACAAGATTTAATCACTCAGGTTTAAAGGAGTAAGAATATCACTCAAGTATTCACTACTGACTTACCCAATGTCATAATCATGTTCCATCAAATTCTGAAGCTCTTCAACCTATCCACACAAGCATCAAAGGCAATGGTCAATAACAATCATTTGACAACTTTCCAGTAGATATTATTAGATAGGTATAAATCAGAGACGTACAGCATCATCATCAATATCATCATCATCCTCAGGGACTTGGGGAGGGTTGAAAAAGTTGAAGAAACTTTCACACTTCTCTGTTTTTGTGATGGGTTTAGCATTCTTTGATCCTTTCCTTGGCTTCTTCTTAAGAATCTTTTGTGTCAAGCACTTTCCTGGATGCCACTCAATCTCCGTCCTAGGATGTTTAAATATTAAAAAAAAAAGAGCATATGCACAAAATGAAAACACCCATATAAACATTTACAAATAACGATATTACCTACCCTATTGCTTTCTCTAATATAGGATCATCATCGTCAATCATGTGATATGTTTTTGTTAGCACAGAATTTTTGAAGTAAGGATTAGAATCAAAATAAAACTCCAGCTTGAAGCCCTTAGGATCGTCAATTCTACAACACTTGATATCTTTAAGATACTTGAGAGCCCCCTCATCACGTTCAGTGATCTAAAAGTGAAAAAAGAAATAATAATAATTATCCTACAATCATTCTAACTGATGGAAACTGTAGAATACATATACATAGAATGCACTACCTCTTCAGCCAGTGTTTCATTAGTCTTCATTGCAGTTAGCCAGAAGTTAGGCACTCCTTTCTCTGAATTAAAACGACAATCCAAAATGGTTTCAAAAATGAATATAAATGGCTACAATGGTAAACAAAAGTAAAATAACCTACCTTCTGCATCTTTGTTGGCTTCATCTGGTGCTGCTTCATTTGCAATTCCTTCAACCTCAACCATGCCATTGACAATACCATACCTCTATAGCCACCATATACACAATTCAAAGACAAATTAATTTGTTACCATTGTGAAGCAGTCAATACTTCTGTATGCAAGTTATAAATTAGATCAAATCCCATGAAATATCCTTTTTGAGCAAGAAAATCTCATAAATAAAAAAGATATATGACAAATAGTCAAGGTTCACTGCTCATTGTCAATGAATAGCATACACACACCTTGGTGTAAAGTGGTTCATAGAGCTTCTGGTATTTAGCCTCCAACTGTGATCGCTCCTCTAAAAACTTAGCCTCCAGTTCATCATGTTGGCTCTGCAAATTGAACACCAAATCAGATTTTCATTCTGACCCTCACCGGTGCAAAATTGAAACTTCTAGTACGATAAGGCTACCCACAAGTGCTACTGAGTATTGAACACAAGGACACAAGCATGTTATCTTGAGTGAGCAGTGCATTTCTAACTTCTAAGACATTCTTGAGAGTTGAGAATATTAATTAAACAAATACACTCCCTTGCTTCTTTGAGATAAAAGCGCAAAACAGAGATTAAGCAAGTGCCTACCGTTTTTATTGGGGTTCAAGCATAGAGACAACTCCATCAATTTAATTTTCAACTCAGGAATCAAATTTAAAAAACGAAGGGAAGGAGTGGATTAAATTACAAGATTTGCTATAACTAAATAACCTGAGTATCCCTATAAACAATTAAAATTAGCATACAATCACAGATGAGAATCCACGAGATGGCAGCAGCATCAAACCTGCAGATCTCTGAGAACTTCCACGCGTTGCCTGACTTTGGGTGATAGTGTTTCCAGTATGTCCACATGCTGCCCAGCCAAGAGCTGAAGCTTATCCTGCATAAACAGTAGATATAAAACGAAATTAACAAAAAAAAAAACCATTGCAAACTCACAAAATTAACTCCATGATAATAAGACTGGAATTTGTAATCATTGTCATTGATGGAGAAATAATTCACTCCTCTTGAAATCTGAAAAAAGGTTCACTACCCCTATCCACAAAAAAAAAAAAAAACCTATTGTAATCAAGTATTTTTTTTCTTTTCCAGTAATGCTATTTTCTAGCCAATAACCACAGAACAACTCTTTTGAAACATAAAAAGTCACTAAATAGGTTTCCGCCTCTCCCGACATAACCTTTTTCCATACATTCAATCATGTCTTAAGGACCCAACTTTCTACAAACTGTGTGTTGGGCTTTAAATTCTACCCACTTTCCACCAATAGTTGTAATCAACTTTTTGATAACCGCAATTCAACCTTAAACTCTCATAATTAGGGAGAGGAAAAAACACGATATGCGTTATAAACTTACCTTCAGTGCATTCACGAGACCAGCACGATCCTCAGCACTAAGAGCTACACAAAGCCAAACACTATAATTTAGACCTACTTTTTTCAATCAACCGATAATAATTTCGAATTATATCTACAAACTAGTTCACACAGTTACTAGCGAGAACTTTTTTTGAGAGTGTGAAAAGGAAAAAAAAAGAGTAGAGTCAAAGCCTTATAAGAACGAGAGAGACGAGTGTAGTGATAAGAATGAATAGAAATTGTTGTTGACCAATCGACAATCTGAAAACGATTTAGGAATTCCGATTAAAATTACCAGCAGCGGCAGCGGGAAGATCAGAGCCAAGATCGGACATGTTTGAGGAATTTGTTTGGGAAGGGAGAAAATGAAAAGAAACTGGCGAGGAGGGAAAATGAATGAACGAATAAAAATTGGTACAGAAGCTCTGAAATGTGTCATGCGTGTCTATCTTTGTGTCTATCTTGCGTTTGTTACACGCGACAGTGGAGAGCGTGGGGAGGCACGCTCTTGTTGGCCACAGAGGTACTTGTGCAGTTGGAGTTGGACCCTGTAATATCCTGGGCTTTTTTTTTATTATTATATCCAAACCTGTTTTCAAAAACACAAATATGTTTAAAATTGATGAATTTTCTGTACACTTTATCCATGATTGTTAAATTAAAATAGTGTTTTAAATAAATTTATATGAGAATTTTAAAATTATACAATCTTATTCTTAGTAGAGTATAAATAATTGTTACTTATGATGATCAAATAATTAGGTGAAGGGGGTGGCATGATTCTAATGGGAAGAAGAAGCAAGGATCCATGGAGTAAGGAGGCTTGCTACATTTGGGAACTTATGGCTACGGCTCTTAATCACATGGTCCTACAGGTACACATTTAAGTTACCACAGAATTGAAAAACTAACTCAGGCATAATATGTTAAAAATTTCAATTTAACCTAATAAATATTTTGTGTTTCGCACAGATTTGCAATATTTTTTATTATTTAATTTAATTTTAAAATAATTATAATTTAGATATAAAAATAATTATTTTTAATGTGATAGAAAGATAAAAAATATTAAATGAAAATTTTGATTATTTTTTAAAATAAATTATATATATAAAAATAAATATAATAGTTATAACCAAAAAAATATAATAGTTAAAATTAATTTATATATAGCTTTAAATATTATAAATTTTAATAATAATAATAATTTAGTTATAAATTAATAAATATATTTTTGTATTATATAAAATTTTTATATTAAATTATTTTATTTTAAAATAAACAAAAAATTATAATTTAAATATAAAAATATATAAATAATAAAATTTTATTATATTAAATAATATCAATTATAATTACATTGAAAAATATGATGAATATATTTTTATATGCAAATTTTTATATATTTTATATATTTAAAAATTAATTAAAATTTAAATAGAAACTAAAAAAATGATTTTATTGAATACAAAAATTAATCTTTATATCAATTAAAATTTCACATATTAATACAATATAAAATATAGACAGATGTTACATAAGATAAAATTAATACATAATATATATATATATATATATATATATATATATATATATATAAAATAAAATAATAAAATAATTTTATAAAAGATGAAAATATTTGGTGAGATTCTATTTTTCAATTTCTAGAAAATTTTAAAAGTATTTTTACAAATATGCAATAAAATTGTTTAATTTTTTAAATTTTTTATTGTTATTTTTTGTTCAGCATTGTCTGTTTCATTTTTATCAAGTTGTAACACAAAATAAAATATTAAATATAACTAATTTTATAAATTATACATTAATTTCTTCTTTTTTTTTTATAAATTTAGTATTCTCACAATTTGAGATATACATGAAGAACTTATTATCAAGTCATTTTTGTTTATTTTCATATTTATATTGTCTAAATTTTTTCCTTATCAATTTGTAAATATTAAACAATATAAATAAAGTTATTTATCATTATATTGTAAACATTATAAATGAAAACAATAAAATTTTAATTTAATATTCTATATATTTAAACAATTGACAATGATAAATTTTTAATATATTTTAAGATTTGTCATTCATAACAATTATAAATTATAATAAAATTCTTTTAAATACAATTCAAAGATAATAAATATAAATTAAATATAATTTTAATCTACAAGTTATAGAAAATATTTAATTAATTTTAATTAGTTTTTTTAATACAACTTATAATGAATTTATTTATAAATTTTGTTATAAATATATAAAATAATATATAGATTTATTATTCATATATCTAAGTGATTTATAAACATTTTAAATTTTAATAAATATAAATTCTATTATAAATACACATAATAATGAGCATGTGTAATGTATAGAAAAATAAGCATGTGCAAAATATATAAGTGACCTTATACCTTTCAAATTTTAATAACCATAAATTTCATAAATTTTATTATAAATACACATAGTAATAATAAGTAAGTGTAATCAATTATATATATATATATATATATATATATATATATATATATATCTTTTGAAATAATTATTATACTAGTTAATAATTTTCAATTACATGATAATTTATCATTTGATAAGGCCGGAAAATATTTTTTCATGTATTTCAGTTAAATTCTTAAAGAGTTTAATTTTAATACATGGTTAATACAAAAAAGTTACATTACTAAAAAAATAAAAATAAAAAGCATCTTAAGTATAATATTGTAAATAATAATTATAAAAATATACACTTTTTAATCACATAACTATCTATAATTTGATAATAGCATAAAAATTCAGTATTTATCTTTGGGAACATAAAAAAATTTAGCAAGATGAATATGAATGGCTGTGTTGTATGATGCAGGGAATCATAAAGGAAGAGCAAGTAGATACTTTTAACGTCCCTCAGTATGCTCCATCCCCATTTGAAGTAAAATTGGAGGTTCTTAAAGAAGAATCATTCATCATCAATAGCTTGGTAGTGTCTAAAGTTAATTAGAATGCTTTTGAATTTGACTTAGAAAGGTCTGAATCATATAATGACGGTGCATACAATATGGCACAGTGCATGAGGGCTGTGGCAGAGCCTCTGCTGGTTAGCCACTTTGGTGAAGCTATAATTGAAGAGGTTTTTAGGCGCTAACAAAACATCTTGTATGAAGGAGAAAACTGAATTCGTCAATGTTACAATAACAGCATGAATCTATGTTTTCACGAAAGGGTTGCTTTAGTTGATTTAGTAATTTGTTTGGTTTTTTTTTTTCAGATCGCAATTAACTAACATGTTATGCTGAGGGGAGAAAAAAAAAGTATTGTTATATATCTTGGATAGTGATTTTTGTTTTTAATATATTTTACACAAAATTATGAAAAATATAAAGCTCGTCAATTGTTAAGGTTAAGCAACTAAATTTATGGTAAATATTATTTTTTAACAAATTATCTTAGTATTGAGATAATAAGGAGACAATTATTTTAAAGGACTGAAATTGTCAACCTATGACTTTAAAAAAGTTGTGTGGATCATGCGCTCCTAAATCCTAATTTAGTAAAAAATTTATTAAATTTTTTTTCTTAATATAATATATTAATAATTATTATTAATATATTAATTTCTTACATTTAAATCATTAAATAATTATATTTAGTAAAAATATATTTATATTATTGGCATTTAACATAATTTTTTATTAAATTGATTGTATATTATATTTAATAAATATAATATTAAATATTATATTGTGGAGTAAATTAATTGTTTCTATTACTTAAGGAAAGGGTTTCAATTGTAATTTAAACCCTTGTTATTTTTCTCTATGTAGCGTCACTTTAATCTTTATGGGAAGGAAAAAAAAGAGAATTGAGATTGAAGAGATATGAAAAAAAAAAAAACAATGTTTACAAACCCTAAACTAGGGCAGAGTATACATTTGGGAGAAAGCATTTAAATCAGCTAGCCTCACACTGAATGTCTACATTTGATTCAAGTCACCTAGCTGGTTATAGTTTTCACTTTTGAGCTTGAATTTGTATCTCATAAGAATGTCACTGGTTATCTGAATTTTGAAAATTGGACTTTAGTGCTTCTATGACGGCTGAAAAGTCCTGATCACCAAGGCCATGGGATTTTGCAACTTTATACAACTCATTAGCAGCTGCGGCAATGGGAGTAGGTTGGGAAACAGACTCAGCTAGCCCCAGGGCAAGTCTTAGATCCTGTCACATTTAATTTTGTGAGACAGCGAAAAATAATCATTTTGTCTGAAGTTATCAAACAGGAATGTTCATTCACACACCTTCTGCTGATGCTTTAGGGGGAATGCAGTTGGGTAAAGCGATTGTATCATGGATGGGCCTTTGGTTGAGTACATTGGAGCACTAATGGCACCCTGTGAAACTACCTGCAAAAATTGTCGTTTCGTAAGGGCTCTACAGAATGTTCTTTAAGTACTCATGTTACATACTTCCTTATGTTTAACAATGAAGATCAATACTAACCAAAGAAAGTCAGATTATGGGCAATGAGTTCTCCTAGGATTAGGAATAAGGTGGATAAAAAACAGTATAGCCAAGTAGAGCAAGTATAGCCAGGTAGAAATGTTAACATTAAGAGAAGAAAAAAATTAACAAAAGTCATGCGTGTTCTTCAGGAGAATATGCTTTCAAGTGACGGAGCTTTTACTTAGCATTGGAACACGAGGTATTCTATTAGCTATAAACATCACAGTATCGTACAAGTGTGGAAATGAATTTATTTGCATTGTGGTTTCTCTAATTCTCTATAACACATTATCACTTATTATAATTCTCCTAAATTCATCACATTAGGTAAAGGAGTTAAATGATGTTTCTCAACATCCAAATTTTGCTGCAGCCCAAAGCGATATATGAATGACTTAATAGGCTTTTAATTGATAATGAAATGACTGGCAAATACACATATATAAGTTGAAATAAAATTTTAGCTAGAAAAGCCACGAAGACTATTTTTCCAACTTGGGTAGATAATCTAGATCTAAATTAGAAAAGTAAAACACATTTCCCGAAAGGAAAAAAAAAACTCAAAATACTTTTATTTAAAACTTTCCTTGGTAACTAACGTTCCATGAAAATTAGAAAGTACAAGAATTCATGAAATCAATATGAAATCCAGGAAAATGTTTTGTAGATTATATCTGGTGGTGGGTTTGGTTTCATGGACTAGAAAATAGTCAAATACCTTCACTAGCACATCTGGATCAAGCCCAACTTTCTTGCTGAGAAGTAAGCCTTCAGAAAAGGATGCCATCATACTATGGTAGTAGATTATTGGAAAATAGAAAGAAGTAGCGTCACCTTAACCATCAGCACAAGGACAAAAGACAAAAAAAGCAGGAAACAGATTATAAAAGACCTGCCCATGATCATATTGACAACGAGTTTCATCGCAGCACCATTTCCGACATCACCAAGGTAATATTTAGACTGCATAGAAGCATTAAGCATAAATATGAAGTAATTGTTAGCTTTCCCAAAAAGATTATAGTTTTGTCTTTTTTAATGAATGGCTAGATATACATACTTTCCCCATGATGTCCAAGAGAGAAGCAACTGAGTCATAAAGATTTCTGTCGCCTGAAATATTTTATGCATTGCCTTAGTTTCTGTTAGTGCTGAATACTTTACAGAAAATACATGCATTCACATTGTTATGCACAGTTAATTATGAAAATGGGAGAATAAAAAAAAAATCTTTACAATTAAGTTCATAATTTCAAATATGCATAGCTACCTTGTATTTGAATAAGTGCTACAACTTTCATGTCCTCACATCTCAGCAGAATTTTCTTATAAAACAGGCCCTCACCAACTCTTTTGACATACCAAATTGAATATGTTATCAGTAGTGGAAGAATATGTACCTGCTGTGAGAAATATCAATTCCCCATCTTCTGCTGGCTTTTTGGAACCTGAAACTGGAGCCTGTGGGTTGGTGTTACAACTTATAATCAATGATTCATCCAACCATATGACTAAAGCAAGCAATCCATGAATGCATATCCTAATTAACCATCGCCCCATATGTGCCATAAAAAATAGATATGGAATGGAAGCTATAAACAACCTCACCTCCAAAAATAACGCTCCAGAGGATTTTATGTGCCCACTAATCAACTTAGAAGTGTCCCCATCAACAGTCGAAACATCCACGTATCTGAGAATCGATAAGGTATTAAGTTTGCCATCGGAGTAAGGTCTGTCTTTCATTTGGTTATTTTAAAAAAGTAAACAATCAAACAGGCATACGGCACGCAGAGACTACTAATGTGATGAACAAAGATATGCAACGTCTTGACAACTACAGATAGACTATAATCAAACTAAAGAAAACAATTTTAAATGATAAGGTGTGAGGAGAGTCAAAAAGGGAAGAATTTCTGTATCTGACATACAAAATAGCCAATATTCATTTCCAATGCAAATATTTAAGACTTTGAATTAAAATATGGCACCCTTTTCCTGGACCCATTCCATTTGCAGCTCCATGCTTCCCACAAGCAACATCGACCTGATATAAACCAAGATAATCACTCACCTCAGAACTAATATAAGAGCTTCAAAAATCGAAAGCTATAGTGAGATATACTCACTGCACTTTGAGGATCAGCAAGCATGGCAAATGTGACATCGCAAGATGCAGCTACTTCCTGAGGAGATGGTTTATATCTGCAGAAACAAATGCACAATTTACAACATTTTATCAATAATACTATGAAGATTGATTCATAAAATTTACTCACTTTGCTCCCAAGCTGATTAGAGGATCACACTTGCTCTTGGTTCTATTCCAAACAGTTAGATCAATTCTGCAACAAGAATGTTAACATGATAAGTATGTATATATATATGTATGTATGTTGAGGGAGGTGTATACTACATACATACCCAGCTTTCAAGAGATTATGGGCCATTGGGGAACCCATGATTCCGATGCCCAAAAAGCCAACACGTTGCGGAGTGTCAGTTACTGGAAGCAGAAAGAACAGTATTAGAAGAATTGAGTGGAAATGGAAGAGTAGCAAATAAAAATAGTTAGTACCTTTAGGTGGAGGCGAAACACTGCAAATGGGAGGAGCGGAAAAGCGCTTCATGGATGAAGGCGATGGTGAAAAGTTGAAGCGCATTGGAAGACGCTGGAATACAAAGTGATTGCACTTCACTGAGCAACCACCACAAGAGAATCTCGTACTCATTCCTTTTCTCTGCTCCCTGTTTGGATAGACAGAAAAATAAGAGATGCCGACAGTAAAATATAATATGTTTTTTTATATAATAAACCATTTTCACTTTCATTTCTAAATGATATCAAGTTATACTTGAAAATAAAAAATGCCATTTTAAAAAAAATAAATATGTCACCATAATATTTAACCTAAAAGCTTTTTTACTTGTATGTAAATAATTCATATTAATTATTTATTTTTACTTAAAATTTTAAATATCTCACAATTATGTAAAATTATTATCATTGACCAAATTTTAAAATATTGTTATTATTAATTATCGTCATTATAAATTATATTTATTGTGTAGAAGATAAAGTACAATTTTTTAAAAATTGAAAAAGTGAATTATAACATAAATTAAATTTAAACAACTAAATTACAGTAAATGAAAATTTTAAAAGATTAAAATAAAACATAAACGAAATTTAATAATGGAAGGTGCAAGGTGTGTTTAATTTTTTACGAAGCAAGGAAATGAAAAGATGGTTGTGGAAAATCCATGGACTTGGAAGTGGAACTGCAAGGTGAAGATGGTTCAAAATTCGCGTTGGGAAAGGAGGACAATGTAGTGTTTGGACGAGGTTGTGGTTTCAATACTCACGACCGCACCGTTTCTCGTCGCCACGTTTCGTTCCAACTCGAACAATCAGAGTCAGAACATGCTAGGGTTTCTTTCCAAGTCATTGGAAGGAACCCCATTTGGGTATGGACCCACGACTCGCTTAGGCTCTTCAGGAAGTTCGACAATGGTCACTTGCAATTCGGAGACCGTTTCTGCTTGTCTCCCGAGGCACCCTTCTGGTTCCTCTTCAAGAAGATTCAATCTCAGCCTCAGCTTAAGCTCCACCAACTTGATGTTTCGGAAATCGATCCCGTTAAAGGTGTTTCCTTTATTCAAATTCAATAACCTGAAACAGTCGATGGCTTTATATATATATGTGTGTGTGTGAGTATTTGTGTGTGGATGTACTCATGATGGACTTTGAAGGAGTGTTGCCTTTCCCTATGGTGTTGATATCCTCTTTCGTTCATTGCCAAGATTGTGTACCTTTCATCAATTTCATTGCTGGGAAGGTCCCAATACTTTCTGATGTAATTTTGGTTGCTGATACTGACTGTTAAGGAGTATGAATTTGAATTATTGAGTATAATGGTCTTATTATGCTTTAATATTTTTGTTTTGTCTCGGGAACCTGAGTGCAGGTAAAATGTGGTGACCTTTTCGGCTGCTAGAAATGGAAATTAAATGGTTAATGGTTTAGTGTTTTTGCCCCCTCCCAAAAAATGCAAGTTTTTTTTTCTTGGAAAAGAAGAAAAAGAATAATCTTTTCAGTTGATGATTGTTCAACTCTGCTGAGTTCATGTCAAAGATGGAATTTTTGCAGAGCAAGATTCTGTAGTATAAACAATTTTGAAGTATTACTTTTGCTAGTTTGTAAAAATTATATGCAGTTGTAAGTATCTCTGCAACCTTCCAAGGATAGTATAATTCAATTATGAATAACATAGTTTTTTTGAAATTTACAGTGATAGCTATTTGAGTCCTTTTGAAGGTGCTACATTATCATGTTGTAATTTTGAAAATGCAGAGTTTGGTTTTCTTGTGATGGGACACGAGTTTGACCACTATCCCAAGGGCATGATACGGAATATGAAGAATTGGGATTGGTTCCTTGAGGAGCCTAAAAAAGATGATGAGGATGAGGAGGATTTTGAGGAGAGGAGGAAAATGGGGAGAAAGCGAAAAACGTGTAAAGACAATGAAGATGAGGAGTGGAGTGGTGAAAGTGAAGATGATAAGGACCTTGTTGTCACTATACGGAAAGGTAAGCGACCTGGGTACTCCACAAGATCGAAAGACAGTAAAGGATCTAACAGAGATACTAAAGCTAATAAAAGTAGTGTTGAAGAAGAAGATGATGATGAGACGCTAGGAGGTTTCATTGTTGCTGATGAAGAGGATGAGGAGGATGATGACGATAATGATGAAGAAGAAGAGTTTGAAGAAGATGATGACGACGGAGTGGAGGATTAATAATAAGGGTAATAGTATAAATGATCACTGTTAAATGTGAATTATTCGAAATCGACAGGTTAATTGCTGGTTAAAATTGGCATTTGAGATTCATAATTTTGCAAATAGCTTTTATGTATGTCTATTATCTACAGAATGTTAGTTTTGTTTTATTTATTAATTTTTCTTATGGAACTGTAATTTTGTTTACTGTAATCTTACATCTATCGCTTACCCATTTTGTTTTTCTAATGTTTTAAATGAGAATATCAAATTTCTTTAAAAAAAATCATTCCCATCATCAAAATATTTTATCTTCTAATCTTAAGTGACATACATGAATGCAATTTCTTTTTTAAGTTAATACTTTTTTATTTTTTAATCTTTATTTTATATTAAAAATAATTATTTTTAAATTAAATTAACCAACCTGTGCAACGTAGACTTCTGTATCAATATTTTAATAATTTTATAAGATAATTACGATCATTAAAGCTAATTAATTTTATAGGTCAACAAAAATTTCTATAAATTTGAAAATCTATATATATAATATGATGTGAAACATTACACAAAAAAGTTATATAATAAACTTTTTATGAAAAATTAGAAAATTTAATAAAATTTAAATGCTAATTCTGTTAAATACTATATTTTTTTTTAATAAAAAGCACTATACTTATTTTTTAACAATGTGAAACTTAAAAAAAGAAAAACATCAAAGGATAAGGAATGGATGAGGAGGTTTTCAGTTTCTTCACTCGTAAGAATTTCTCCTCTATTTCTGGACAAAGATTTGAATACGATTTTATTAAGATAACATTAAATCATCAATTCATAATTTATTACTCAAATTATTATCTCTTTTTATTTTACATGACATTAATATCTTTCTTTAAAATTGAACATCTAGATAATTTATTTTATTTTGTATAAAAATAAAATAATAATTTTTATATTTTTGTGAGATCTTAATTTTAGTTTTTTTATTTTAGTTTCTAAAAATTTCAAGATCAACACCTTTTGTCCTTAACAACAACCTGATCCAATAAAAAATCAATTACATGAAAACATTTTAATTAACTATATTATTTGTAGATAAATCAAAAGGGTTAAATTAAAAAATGAAAAATAATTTTTTAAAGATTTAAATCAGATGCCGTCAAAATATAAATATATTTAACCACTATTTAAATGTCTTTCTGAGGATAATCATGAAAGAATTATGTAAAACAGTTCATTTGAATTTTGTTTAGGTATAACTATATTTATATCCTTTTAATAAATTTTTAAGTTTATTTTAACCCATTTTATGATTAAACTTATAAATAAATTATTAATGATTTTTGTTGTTGTAGGCATCTTTTTAGATAAAAAAATAAAGCATATTATATGACTTTTTAATTTAACAAAATTTATAATTTTTAGGACAAATAAATTTTTATTTTTAATATAAATAAAAATATTTTTTAGATTAAAAATAATTATGGAAATCATAAAGTATTACTTAGAATTAAATTTAAAATTATTTTATATAAGGAATTGTAGGATTACATTGTAAAAAAGAAATATTTAATTTTAAAAACCTCATATTTAACATGCAAAATATATTTTTTATTAAAACAATTAGCGATTATACATATATAGCAAGTTTACATATAAAAAAATTGAACTGCTTCTTTGAAAGAAGGTTATATTTATTTTGATTCACTTACCATTATGATTGAAATTTGTGTCACTGGATAAACCTAGAAGTAGCAGGGAAGGGGGGAGCAAAAAATCACGCAAGTTTAATTAGCGTTCTAGGGTTTTGACTCTGCCTTCACTTTACCAAAATTAGTAGCATGCACGCACAATCTTTGTTCATTTGAAGTTGCATGGTTTTGGGTGGAGGAAATAGGGATAGAGAAAAACGCTGAAAGGTTCGATTCCGATGGATTATCATCTCTCTCAACACTCTCCATTGGAATTGGAGTCTCACTCCTTTAATGTTGATGCCAACGATGATCTGCAAAGCACCGTAAAGCCCTCCTTCAATCGACGCGAGTCCTCTTTAGGGTTAGTTAGTTTTATAGTGTTCTGTAGTATGGAGAAGAGAGAGAGAGGGTGAAAGGTGGTGCATCTGCACCATCCTTTTGCATTTTCCAATTACAGCTTCTTCTTTTTTTTTTGTGTGGATAAATTAACAACTTGATCTTTCTTGTGTATTAGAAAACTCTTCGTTGGAGGCATATCTTGGGAGACTTCTGAAGGTATTCTCACTTATTCCACTTACGGATTAGATAATTTTTGTGTTCTATTCTTGATGCTAATTCAATGATTAGAAGCCATTAGTGTCGAATTATGGCCGGACGATGGTTTTGAGCCTTTCTCATTTGAACACGAGCCTTGGTTTCTAACGCAGTTGATTGTTTCATGGTGAAAGATTTTACTTCGTGGATAAGTATCTGGACTGAATTTTTTATATAAGAGTATTTAGTTAAAGCTGAATGTGATTCTGGTCTCGTATTCTATTGGTTGTCAAACATTTTTTTAGTTTCTTATCCTGTGCAAGATGTTATTAAGTAACAACGTTGAGATGCGGAAAAAAGCATTTTGGCGTTATTCTTTTTTAGCACTCTTGATTTATGCCATATATGCAAATTAAGGACTGTTTCTTTGATACAGGGCACTCTATGTTGTTGTCTCTTCCAGGAGTTTTTTGCTTTGTTTCTATCCTTACCGAACTGAATGTGGGAATATGAGTGGAAGATGAAATTGATGTTTCTTTATCTATGTAATTTTCTCATTTTGATTCTTTGTTTGTCAGAGTCATTTTTTAAATACTTCAACAAATATGGAGAAGTAATAGATTCAGTGATAATGATGAATAGACATTCTGGACGACCACGGGGGTTTGGCTTTGTAACATTTGCTGATTCAGCTGTAGCAGATGAAGTTCTGGCACACGAACATACTATAGATGGCAGAGTGGTAACCTTTTTTATAAACATGTAGACCCAAAGAATTGTAGTGCTTCTTGCCTTTGATGGGAAAGTCAACTTTGTTTTATCAGGTTGAAGTCAAGAGGACAGTCCCTAGGGAGGACATGGAAGTTGTTGGAGTATTAAAAACAAAAAAGATATTTGTCGGTGGGATACCCCAGTTTTTCACTGATGGTATAGTAAACCAGCCACCATTGCATTTTTAAGATTATTGTGGAATTTGTGTATTCTATCTCCTGACTATAATGAATTACAATGTAGATGAGTTAAGGGAGTACTTTTCTCCTTATGGTAATATTGTTGAGTGCCAAATCATGCTAGATCACAAGACTGGGAGATCTAGAGGCTTTGGATTTGTCACTTTTGACAGTGAAGATTCGGTTGATAATGTTTTTTCAGTGGGAAAAATACATGAAATTGGAGGCAAGCAGGTTTGTGAAACTATTGAATTTAAATTAAAATATTCATGTTGTTCCAAACAGAAGCTGATATTATTGAGTTGTTTTTTGTATATTCTTTTGGATCACTTTTTCCAACTATAAATATAGGTTGAGATTAAGAGAGCTGAGCCCAAAAGATCTGGATTTGATTACAGCAGCACCTCACGAAAGTCATATGGTGGTTTTGGCAGTGGTATGGATGGATATGGTGGAAATAATTCTAGAATTCATAACCATGGAAAAAGGGGCGGACAGTATACAGATTCTGGAATGAACGAAGCATATAGCCATTTCGAGGGGAGTTACAATGGAAGCTCTACCGCTGCTTATGGTGGCTATTGTGGATATGGTTATGGATTTGGATATGGTGGGCCAATGTATTGCTTTGGTGGTTATGGAGTCAATTCTTATGGTAATCCTGGTGGTTATGGAATTGGTGGTATTACTGCCTATGGACTTGGTAATGCATATGGAAGAACTGCTGGTTTCAATCGTGCTGGTGGCTATGACAGTGGAAAAGTGGCTGAGAAGGATGATGGTACTGCTGGTAGGTACCATCCTTATTGGAAGTGATTTGCTTTCCAGAATCAGCATACTGGACTCTTCCAGCAAAAGGTATGTGCTACAAAAGCAGTACCACCCTCAGGTTTGCTTGAGATATCATTCTGATCTGGAGTTGGAAAACGGAAAGTATACATGTTGTATCTAATAGATCTAGCAAAACTTTCTTGAATTTCTTTGATAAAGGCTGAGCGGATTTCTAGAATTGTGAGTGTCATATAATGAAAGATTCTTAGACGCTGGTGCATTGGCTACTAAATCGCTTATACACTTAAATTTCTCACTGCAACTACTGTGTTAAGTCTTAGGTTTATTGTAAATCCTCAAGGTGGACAAAGATATACCGAGGGCAAGACGGGATGATCATTATTAATTTAAACTAGGTTTTAAAGAAAATTGTTCGATAGGAGTTAATTCAGGAGTAAGATCAATTTTATCTTTGTATATATTGAATGCTTTTCGAATTGTGTTTTTATATTTTGGTTAAAATATTTGCATATTTCTATATCTAGAGCCTTGTTTTTTGTTCTTTATCCTATCTGCGTTTGTTTACATATTAATAAGCAAGCCTACTTACTTTAAACTGTTACGTAAAAGTATTGTTGTGGGTGAGGGGTATTCTTCAGGCCGAATTTTCGGCTTTTTGTGTTTTGGTCTGAGAATTTTCTCGGCTATCAAATATGATTGCATACAAGCCTGGGATATGGGTTTAAGACTGGTCTTGTTTGTTGGACTCGTGTTTGGGGGTATTGTTTTGTTTAAAAATAACCCAAAAAAGGACCATTCGTTTGGGATTATGAATCTACTGTAGAGGCAGTAAGGTTATGTTCAAGTGGTTTACGTTTTTCGACAGGCAACTTGTATTTACGTTAGTTTGTTCACTGCATGTTTTTCACCTTTTCTTGCTCATCTAAATACCCGAAATTGTTTAAGGCAAAATATAAAAAAAGTTAACGGTTTTGTTAAAATTAGTCCAAAGAACTAATGCTTAACGCTAAGATCTTTATTAACTTTTTAACTACCCCTTCCCTCAAAACATAACCCACCCCAAAGAGTTAAAATTCGTCCGCCCAATGTGCTGTGAAAAATGAATATGTCATGAATTATTACGAGTGAATTATTATTTTTTAACCTTCTCATGTTCAAAAAAGTCTAAAAAATTGTCATATTTTTGTTTAATTCATATTTAAGAAGAAAAACTCTTGTAAATTTAGCCTATAAATAGGAAATTTAATGTGCATTGCATATAGAAATGAATTTGAGATTTTGTTTTAGGTCAAAGGAATTTGAGATTCTTTCTTCATATTCATTATCTTTAACTTTTTGTTCTTTCTATTCTTTTATTTCCCTGTTTTAATTTTACGTTAATATTACAACAATGTGAGAAATTTAAAAATTGTAGCTGGAGCTTAATGTCGTGCAGCACTTCTTCGAATTGGATTGTATTAATTTTTAATTTAATCTTTTCTACTTAGGGCACACAATTTTTTTAAAAGCATTATTATAATAAAAAAGAGTATATTTAAAAGTATTGTAATTGTTAATTAAAATTAGATAATAAGATTGACAATAACTTATTAGTTTCATTTACCTTTTTAATAAGGGGTATATAAGAAACTTGAGGAAAAATTAATTGGAAAGAAGCCAAATTAAAACAAATACAAGAGTGTCATTAAATAATCCCATAATGGTTATTTAGAATAATTCCTTTTCGGTATTTGAAAAATAATAGCGGAAATACTTTTTTTTTTTAAAAAACCTAGATCAACGTTCGAATGACATAATGCTCCTATCGCAGTACCTCCCAACAAATGAGAGGATGAAATGACAGTCTAGGCAAAAAACAAAAAAATGAAAAAAATAAAATAAAATAAAATTCACGTCTGTGCATGCAACCATCACTTTAAAAGGGTTCTTGTCAAATGTTCTCTAGCTGTAGCCCATGCTTGAGTTAATGTCTGCAATATCATAAATTCACTGTCGGATTGAAGATCGAAATGTGTTATTCTAACCCTAACATTATCCATAACACATCAAAAAATAATTTTTTTTCACGACAAAATTAACCTTGCAAAAATTACGAGTTAGAAAATAACTGTTTAGAGTCCTCACAAATAACGTAATTTTGAGGAATAAATTTAGCAACCTCAGGTTTATATGACAAGGCATGTTTCTCTGTAATGTAAAATCAAACAACGAGCATACCTTATTAACACACAAAGAAAACAGAAAAATGTGTTGCATTACCTGCTCGGACAAGGGGGAGTCAGCATCCACGTTATGCGAGGTCACTTTTTCAGCAATAAGTGGTCCATTTGTTTCAAGTATCATCCTTGAAGGGAGCAAAATATTTAGAAAAAAAAAAAAACTTAATGCAAATAACAATCTGTAACTAACAACAGACGCATACCCTCCGTCAATAATCTCATCAAGGCATAAAAGAATGAGATCCAAGTTCTCAAGCGCCTCTCTTTTGTCAACATTGTTCCTATTAATGACACAAAAAATAACGAGTCATAAGCATGATGAGGAAAAACGCAGCCATATTTAACTAGATAATAAAATAAGACCCAAATTACCTTAACAGAAGGGTGATTGCGTCAAAGAAACCCTGAAGAACTGAAGCTAAAACGACCTCATTTTCATCGTCGTCGCCAGTGACAAAGAAATGTAGGTCTTGTACAAACTTGTAAATAATGATATTGTTCTCAAGTAACGTGATCTCAGCTATAGATAATGCGAAACAATATATCATTTCGAAAGAAAAACGAGATCAAGACTTCCACTCAGTAAATGCTAAAATAAATAAAATAATGCTCCAATTAAAAAACCTGGGTGCAAAATTTTAAGGCTAATAATTTGATATATCTCAAATTTTACTCTAATAATTTGATCATTCCATCAGCTCAGTTAAAAGTTTATTCTTTGATTCAATGATAACAATACTAACAACAAATAGCAGAAAATATGCTTTGGTATATAAAATTATGACTCGATCTCTTGACACGTATCAAACTCTTCAACGCTTACCTTCTGTTCGAGCATTTGATTTAATAGTCTTACTGAACACAAACTTCTCAAAAGCTAGCTTTGCACTGTTAGTTGGCCAGTCATCTGAAAAATACTTGACTGCCACACGCTTTCCCTCGGAGTCTAAAAGAAGAATATTCTTTATTGACCGACACGAACTCTACAGATGAAATATACCAGCAAGTCATGAAAAGAGTTACCATATCATACATCTAACCAATACCTTAAACAAATATTTATAAACATATACTATTGTCTCATATTAGTTCTCAATAAATTGTGATGTCAACAAAATCGAAGAATCTCAGTACAGGGAACCAGAGTGTACATAATATATAAAATTACAGACAACTCTCGCAATCCAGGAGAATCAAATTATGACTTGCAATATCCAATAGCAACAAAACAAGAGAAAGATGATATTTCCACGAATTGACCAAAACAACTATCAATTGATAATGGTAAAGTTCATGAGATAATACTGAGAATAGAATGTCGTAAATGGATCTCCAAGGAAAATAGAGGTAAATCAGGGTTGCAAAGATATATCATTACTCAAATTCCAAATCACTTGACGATGCATCGGAGGAAAGATTTTGAATATTGACTCAGCCTTTACGGATCAATGAAATACATAACATGAAAGAGTTGATACTTATACAATTAAGTTACGGATGGATCAGGAAATCTCAGCTATTCATGTTAAAACGTGAAAGCTATAATTTGTAGGCTAAAACAGATCCATATCTGAGTAGATTTAACGTGAATCCAAGTATGTCACACATTGTGATTTGTGTGCAGTGAAGAGAGACTCACATGGGACGCCATTTCGGAGAAACAGAATCAGTTACGGAGCGAAGGACTTCTATATAACTGTAATAATTAATTTTGTTTTGAGTGAGAGCAAGGGCAAGTCCGTAAATACAATTTTTTTTTTTATGCATATACTATTATAATTCTCACCTTCTTACTCGCCAGAAGTTTTGTTCAAACTGACGCTGAAAACTTCAAATGAAAATGGTATTTTTAACAAATAAATTGATGTGTGTTATGCCGACTTAATTGTTTACATAATTACTTTAAATAATGATAAATAAAAATATTTTTAAGAGTAAAAAATTTCTGTGAGAAACTAATCAAATTATAAATATATTAAATATAAAATAGATAAAGTTAATTTTTCATCTTTTAATTTTAAAGTAAAATTCAATTTTATCTTTTATTTTTTAATTTATTCTATTTTTTTAATTTTTACAAAAATTTTATATTAGTCATTTTTATTAAAAATTCTAATTCTTTTAAAAAAATTTATATTATAATACATGTATTGTGCAGTATTGTGAAATTTTATTAATAAATTAATAATAAACAAGTACAAATGTCTATATAAAATTATTTAAAACCTAATTATTTATTAGCAAAATTTATTTTTTTTTGCTAATATATAATTAATATTTTTATATAAATATTTGTACTTATTTATTATTAATTTATCAATAAGGTTTTAAATAGTTTGTCTAAAAGTTTGTCACTCCCTAGCCCATTTAGTCTGTGGCCCACAATGTATGAATTTGTCGAATAAATATTTACCGCAGCAACTTTTTAAACAATTTAATCAGTTCAGCCCAGTCCAAAATGTTTTTGTTCTATGCAGCATGTTTCCTGGAATCAACACCACTAGCTTGTCATAGATTGGACCCAATATAAACCTACTTGAATTTGTCATGTATAGTCTAATTTAATAAATTATAGGTCCAGCCCAATTCTCCGTGAGATGATACATATTTGAATTAATCTATATTTATTTATTTAATTATATTTTTAAGAGAATTATTCAAAATGGTTATTAAATTAGATTTTATGTAAGTTTTAAATAGATTTACGTTAAAGCTTTGAAATTAGTAGTTAAAAATATGTTGACCACCTAAAATAGGTTCAATAAGAATTGAAGCATATGTATGTATAGAGGACTTACTAAAATCCTTTGAATTTGAATGTTTGTACAAAGGAACAATAATAAATATGAACCAGAGAGATCGATAGCAGATGATTATGAACTATACATATTCAAAGTGTATTAGGTTATTATTATGTATGTTCACGGGCTGTAGAAGGAAGGACCACACTTGCATTTCCAGCTCTCAGGCTCATAATTTGCGTATTGAATGCCCAAATGGCTGTGCCTGCTGCTAGTGTTGGGCACTTGAATAGCTTCACATGGAGTGCAACCATAACACTTGTGCTCACAACTTGGTGGACTTGACCCTATTTTCCTTACTCCCTTATATGCTTCTTGCTCTATCCCTGATAATGACATATCTTCCCTTCCCATTAAACCCTTTAACATGGGGAAAATAAAATAGACACAGTAAGTCAGCACTATGCATCTTGACTAGCTAGGATACCAGAAAAACCCCTCAAGCTGCAAATTTATAGAATGAGAGAAGACGCACCTTTTCTGACTCTACAGTATACGGAGGTGAAGACAGCAGTGTCGTTTTCTCCTTGGGGCCTTATGAAGCATAGATAACACAGGAGAGAAACAATAAATTGCATGATTGATTTAGTCAATGGTTCAAATAGCAACGTATGTTCACTGAAAAGTCATTAGGCTCAAAGGATAAGACATAGGCATGCAATTTTATAAACAAATGTTTGAAAATATATACGGGTTTTTTAATACAAGAACTATCATAAATTTTAATGCATTGATAACATTAATTGTTATAATTTTAAAATTATTTATATATTGATTCTTATCACATAAGAAAAACTGAAATATATATTTACATATATAATTGCTGACTGATATAGTGAGGAATAGAAACATTGAAGCTGAGGAGGTATGATGAACACATAATTGCAAGGAAAAGTAAGATTTATTGACACGTAATGGAAAAAAGTGAATGATGAAAATGGTGTGAATTGAAGTTTAAACTATAACTAACCTGGATGGGACATGGCAACAGATGGAGGAAAAGGTCTCCTTGCTACACAGACCCAACTCATGATTTGCAGGGCTAGCAGAAAACAAAAGAATCTTGCCTTCATTTTTCTCAAAATCTCAAATGATGAATGTGGTGGTGATTATGATGATGTAAATCCTCTCCCTTCACAACAAGAGGCAAGGCATGATGATAGCTGAATTGTGGAATATAAGAAGGGCGAAAAGGGCTAGTAGCAAAGGGGCTTGCAAATCCCAAAAAGCATGCGAGAGATATTGCTTGACAAGCAAGTGATTCTGGTTACTTTTGAAACAGTTAACAACTCAAGCAAGTTTCACTAGGAACTCCTAACTAAGACTAGTCTGTTTTGCACTCTCTTTCTGCCTCTAACCTTGGATTGCTTACCTTTCAATACAAGCTCCCTCTCAAATCAATCTAAAAGTACTGCATGTACTATATATGGTGCTCTACACTTCCAGAATAACAGCACCCATTTTGGGTCTGAAACACCTGCAAGACCCTCATTATTTATCTGATTAACAATAATAACTTTGCACCTAGACTGCAGAGCCTTTGTCTTTTACTCATGCTTTTATTTCGTTGCCATATACGGAAGAAAGAAATCGATGGCAGAGTGGCAGTTATATGAAGTGGGAAAAATGCATCAGCCTCTGCACCAACAAATATTTATTGAGTTAGTTAATGGATTAATGTTGTACTAGGGTCAACTTTCTACCAGTTTGTTGTTGGGGAACACACAAGTTTCCTCTATCATGTGCCTACACCCAATCTCCACCGTTCATTTATGCTTTCTTTCCATCACATTCAATTCAATTTCCCCACATTCAATGAACACCAGATTCTAGTTACACTATTTATTATGCTCCAAGTAACAAGTCTGATTAGTTTTGCACTTTTGCACAAAAAATGCACAAAATTTTGATCTAAAGATGCATTAAATACAGGGTGTAGTTGATATAAAAAAGCACGAAATCTCAATCTAAGAAAACTCCAACATCTAGAGATGAAAGGATGGATGAACATTTGAGGTTAATAATTAAACATATTCAGTTTATTACTGTACACAAAATTGTCTTTAAATAGTTTAGTTTTAAATTTTTTTATTGTTTTTTTAATCTTTTTATTTCTATTTTAATCATTTTATATTGCTCTCTCTGTTTTATAAATTAGTAAGTGGACGTTCTTGTGTTCGATCTAATACTCAACTGACCTAGTCGTCTGTTGAGAATAAGCATGAACACTAATGATGAGCTTGGAGAAGTTGTAGAAAGGTTAGTAAAAAATTAATCAAATGATAAAAAAACGTCATCCATCAAGTGCACCTAAATTCTAGGTAGGTTCAATTTAATTCTCAATCAGAAAATAAAACATGGATTGGTGAAAAGGGATTGATAGAAACAACAAAACAAAGTAGAAAAGATTGTTCAATGATTCACGTTAACTTGTTGAACAAATAATATTAGTATGTTCGATTATAGTTTATACTATCATCTGTCTGGTCTTAATAGTAATGAATTTTTTTTTTTCACTTGTACTTATAATTAAAAATTCAAAATCATGTTCAAATACACTTCAACTGTGATTTTGTCAAATGTATTATTTCTGAATGAAATTTAATTCAACACTCTGAATCTGATTTAGAGTGTGCAAATTATAATCCAAACATGCATTAAATATGCTTGCACTAGGATTACGGGACTTTTCATTTGAATAATAAATAATTATCACTTTCCTACCAATGGAAATGTTTATATCTCCCATTCCAAAGTAGCTTTGGCGACTGAGTTATAGACAGTAACACTAATACACCGTCGGGCGAAGCACAGGCCTGTTATAAGTGGTGTTTAAAATACTAGAAAAAAAGGGAGTATTCATATTTTACTAAAATACTTAAGATATTTTTGGTTAAATATATATAAGGTCAAGTAACAAATATTTATAAGAAAAAAATAAAACAATAAAATAATATTTTTTTTGGTCTCAAATGTGATTATTTTTTATGGATGGTACATGTAATTTTTAAAAAATATTTCTTAATAAATTAAAACTAACCAATACATTTCAACTTGTAAAAAATTAATTAAAAAATATTAAAAAATTAATATTATAAATGAATTTTAATTATAAGAAAACTAAATTTTATAATTAAAATCTAAAGCTCACCTAACTGGGTGGCTCCCACTTGGCAGAGCAAGAATGCAAACAATATTTTTATGAGTATTACAAATAAAAAATGCCACCCCATTATACACCTCTGCACCAACCAATAAGGGATAACATAGCAATTCTGAACTTTAGTTCTTAACTTGTGACATCAATTGTCACTGCTCCACCTATTATTTGTGCATTGCGTGTTATAGTTCATCACAAATATTCCAGCACGCAGGGGGTAACCTATTGATGTCACCTGTGGCCATTGCCAAGAAGAACGAGCCATTTTGGTTGCATGCAAGGGGGTCACAACCTTAATTAATTAATTAGTTTAAACTTGGAACCAATAAAAACTACACTGCAACTTGCCAACACAAAGTGTTTAGTATAAATATGCCTGTTTGAGAACACACTTAGCCACAGCCAGAGTGCTTCATTTGGTGACATTCATAGAATCTGTTACCAGTGTCCTCTGTGCTGTCCTAGTACCTCTAGTTCTCATCATGTATAGAAGCTTCTAGTTTGATTAATTAAAGTTTCTGGGAAATCATATTAGCTACATGGTTTTATAGATTTTTCCAAGTAATAGAACAAAAAGAAGTAGCATTCAAATAAACAACTAAGTGAGCAGATAATGTTAATAATCATCAAAATTTAATGGACAAAACATTTAATTAACCAAACAATTAAGTGCCACATTCCTTCTTCGGATGAATTGCCTCAATTGCGGCCTCAGTCTTCTCTTTCATCCGGTCATACTCATTGGGACGCTTTATTTTGTCATCTGAAGCTCTTCTGACTTCGTCATCGCGCTTGAGGGCTATAAAGGTAATGATTTTATTTGTGTTCTAATTATTTTTAAAAATTGCCCATTATTTATCTTAAATTTTGTTGACATTTTTTTAATAAATAATCTTTTTCTTTTGAAAAAACTTATACGATTTGTCCTTTGTTTTCTAAGAAATATTACAAGAAACTTTTGAAGAGTCTGTTTTTTTAGTGTTCCTGTGAGGGTCACATTTCATAATCAATTTTGATTATAACAAAATCTAAGTCAGAGTCATTTTCATTAGAAATTAGAGCTGGATCAATTTTTTTTTTAAATATCCAAACTAAAAATCACGGTGATAATTGATTTTGGAAGATTGAAATTCCAAAACAAACATGTAACAATGGTTGTACTTCTGAACTCCAATAGAAGAAGAACTAGTTTTAGGATAATTTCATATTGGAACAATGTTGGTTAGAATTTTTGGTCGAATGTTTGTTATATTTTGTTTTGTCAAAATGTTTGATTTGATCTTGAGGCCTGAAAAATTACATTTGGGGCCTTCCAGCGCTTTCTTCCAATTATAGGGGCCCAAAAAGAATGAACTAGACCAAAAAAAAAAGGTATTGTAAGTTTGAATTATTTTTTTGAGCGTTATCATTTATAAACTATAAAGGTATGTATAACGATTTATAAAATTATTAAATTGTTAACTTAATTAATAGAAATAATTTAATTTAACATTTTATTTTAAGTGTACCTTTATTTTAAAGGATGTAAATTCATGTCTTAAATAAAAATGTTATGCCTTAGAATAAACACATGCTACTTTGATTGATTCTGTGACCTAACTTCATAATATTAGTTGGTTTCAATAAGTTAAATCTTATTATTGCGCATTGATAATGTATTTTTTTTTTTAAATTAGATAAAAATTCGTGCACATTTTCCACTTATACTGTATTTTTACTTCTTTTTTTTTTCTAATATGAGGATTTGTATTTTGCTCAAGAAGAACCTTCTGAACAATTTGCTGACCCAAGAACAAGCCTCTGGAAATAAGAAAATGAACTTTCTAAAAGAAATTTCCATAAATATCAATATCGTACAAACAAGAGAGCAGAAAAAAAATTCAAATAATGCGTAATGATTGACCCTTAAAATTGAGTTTAAGTATTTATAAATGATAATTTTTTATACAAAAAAAAAATGTTTTTAGTTGCTTATTCCAAAGATTGAATTCATTGTTTTTTCTTTTTATGTTTAAATCTAAATTTATTAAATCAGTACCTAGACTAGATCATGGTTTAGTAGTTGAAAAAGAAGATCATTGAAAAATCTTTACTCATTAATTTCTTAACTAGCAAGGCTCTTTATTAAAAGCACTAACACATGAATGATCAATCAACATCTTTCTTCCTCCATCAGGACCCATTCTTGTATTTGAAATAAACAGCCAAAAGTTTGTAGCTTTGGACTGATTCTATTTCTTTTCCCATCTCCGCGTGTAGCCCAAACTTCAACATCATCGTCACACTTTCTGCTTCCAAAAATGTTACAAAACCATGTTCGTATCATACGAGGCACTCACTCCCACGTACACATAATGTGTGAATATTCGAACCCCTTCAAACCCCTCGTGGATTCTGCAAGTCGCAATCTCTTTTTTTATTATTCTAAATAACTCAATTTGTGGGACTAAAAAGTCCCACAACTTTACCTCTTAATTTTCTATTCAAACCGAACCGGTTATTGGTAACCAAATTCCAAAGGTCCCCATTTTTCTGTAATCAATATCTCTGATTTGAAGCTACCTAATGCCTCTTCCACACTTGTGCTATATAAAAGAGGTTAAGAAGTGCCATTTCAAAGACTAAACTTTTATGTATAGATAAAATTATAAAGAAGCTAATTTTGTACTACCAGGTGAGTTTTGTCTCACCCTTCTAAACTATTACTATTGGTTATTTATGTATATTTTTCTTTTCCTCTTTTTTTTCCTATGGCTATTTTGAGCTATCTCATGTAGGCTTAGTATTCAGTGTTGAAATGCTTGATATGATTCTTCTGGCTCATGAATATTCCATCATATAAAAATGCTTTTGATGATTGTGAGGGAAGGAGCTTCTGTTTAAGTTTGTGATTTTCTAAGGCTATCAGAATTTGTGATCCTTTTCTTTTGTTAAGATAAAGGAGTTTATCACATATTCATATAGAAATAAGACTCGAACTATTACATGTCATGAGGTAGCGAAATATATTTTTATCTGAGAAATGCATGTTCATCATTTCAAGTAAATGTACCTCGAGCAGGTTGATGCAACAAATGAGTCATTTTCTTCATGTTACATCCATCAGTGGAAGATGTAATTAAGCAGTGTTTCTAACTTTTGCATAGGGATGGGAATGTTAGCGATAAGCAAGGAAGGAGACTTCACAGAGAGCTTCAAGAAAGACATTAATTTAAGCGACTTCTATAAGCCGGATCAGTTAGGTGATGTTACCACTGAAAAATCTACAAGCTTGAAGAAAAGGGTGGGAAATCTGAAGCTCCAAACTACATTCTCATTTCAATATCTGGTTTCAGAGAATTCTGGTTCAAAAGAGCAAGTTGAGGACTTGTTCAACAAACGAAACCCTGCAGTTTTGTTACAAAAACCAGGACAAATGTCTTCTCCAAAGTCCTCTGCCGAGCTTGATGTAGCTGCAGTAAAGCTTCAGAAAGTTTACAGGAGTTACAGGATTAGAAGAAATTTGGCAGATTGTGCAGTTGTTTGTGAGGAGCTATGGTTTGTTCAATATCTAAATTTGTTGTTTATCTCTTTATTTTAAAACTTAATTATGTATTTGGTACTAAAATTAATTCCTTGTTAAATCTTATTTATTTTTAATTCTTAAAAATAATAAAAACCATGTGATTTTAGTCTTTAGTAAGAGACTATCTAGGATTAAAATCAACAAAATTTAAATAAGGATAAGAAATTCTTTTTAAGAATTAAAAAGTATATCTACACATTTTTTTGCGGCTAAGTTTATGAGCAAAAGAATTCAGTGATTAGTGCTTAATGCTTACCAAACGACTATCTAAAGTTTATTCTTTGGTCCAGGTGGAAGGATTCAGTGATTACTTTTAACGAGTGCTCTATATCTCATTTTGACTCAGACAAATCCGAAACAGCTATTTCAAAATGGACAAGAGCTAGGACGATGGCTGCTACGGTACACTTTAATCATAAACTATAAACTTTTATTGACTTTGACTAAGGATTATCTTTTTATGTACTTTGCATCAATGTTTGGGCCCATTTTTGTTTTCTTTGAACCACTTTTATTGCCTGAAAGATAATGAACTAAACAGAATTTGACTAGGAATATAGAGACGTATTCAAAGTTCTCAATCTCTTTTTCCTACAAAATTTCTTTAAGAGATTTTGTTGAATGCCAATCAATATACCCTTTTCTTTTTCTTTGTTGGTAGGTGGGAAAAGGTTTGTCCAAAGATGATAAGGCGCAGAAATTAGCTCTAAGGCACTGGCTTGAAGCTGTAAACTCATACGTCCACATCTTGACTAATATATATGAGTTTTAAATTCATTTTACTAGGAATAATAATTTTTCTTTTATCTGGTAATATGTTCTCTTAGAATCCTAGAAAGCCAATTAATTGAGGCTAAGGTTGGATTCCTTCTATTTTGCAGGTTGATCCTCGTCATCGATATGGGCACAATCTGCATTTCTACTATAATGTCTGGTTTCATAGCCAAAGTTATCAGCCTTTTTTCTACTGGTAAATTGTTAACAGGGCAAGGGCTAATATGGGTTCCTGTAGATGCTAAATGCCTAAGCCCGAGGTAACTTTTAATTCCTATTTTCTAATTTCTTAACTGTATCTTGGTGACATGAAGGTTGGATGTTGGAGATGGCAAAGAAATAGACCTTGAAATATGTCCTAGAAAGCAATTGCTGAGGCAGTGCATAAAGTACCTTGGACCCGTAAGTGGTTTCACCACGCTGCATTGACAACTCCATGCATGATAATACTTGCACTAATAATGTAGTGAAAAGGTTCCATCAATGACATGTCTTATGGCATTGGTATTATAGCATTCAAGGCACCAGAGACTTAACCTATAATGACTTTATTGTTATGCTTTCCAAAACTTTTGCCAAGTCACCAAAGTTTTCTTTATATTAACCTTGTTGCTTGAAATTTGCAGGAAGAGAGGGAAGCGTATGAAGTGATTGTGGAGGGAGGCAGGCTTGTTTATAGACAAAGCAAGGACCATGTACACACTACCGAGGAATCCAAGTGGATTTTTGTTCTTAGCTCATCTAGAAATTTGTATGTTGGGCAGAAGAAGAAAGGTCAATTTCAGCACTCCAGTTTTCTAGCTGGTGCTGCTACCATTGCATCAGGAAGATTGGTTGCACACAAAGGAGTTCTTCATGTATGCTAAATGTTTTATACCTATATACCATTGATAATTTCTATCATAATCTGTTATTTTTTCACAAAATGAAAGATTCAAAGAGGATCGTAGGGATGCCTAAGCAAGAGGAGAGAAATGAAGGAAACAAATTGAAATACATTTCATTTCTTTTATAACTAAACTGATCGTCATTTACATCTTATCCAGGCTATATGGCCCTACAGTGGTCATTACCGTCCAACAGAAAAGAATTTTAGGGAATTCATTTGCTTCTTGGAGGAACACAATGTGGATATGACAAATGTAAAGGTGAATGAATCACTTTAAAAGCATCTTTCCCCTATAGACTTACTAAACTAGCCTTCAATTAAAAATCACTAAGGATCATTTTGTTGAACGTTTCTTGTATCCTTTTGTCTCCTGCAGAAATATCCAGTTGATGATGATGTGCCACCTTCTAGACATATCAAAGAGGAGCTGATAGAAGTGAATTCCAGCAACTCTGCCACTGTCAATAATTATCGTCAAGAAAATGTAGGTCACTTTGGTAGCAATATGGTGGAGGCTTCACTTAAAGAGAACAAGTCATTGTCAAGCAAATGGACTACTGGAGTTGGTCCTAGAATTGGATGTGTGAGAGAGTACCCAGAAAAACTCCAAGTTCAGGCACTTGAACAGCTCAATCTTCCACCTAGAGCCAACCGTGAAATATTTGCAGGAAAAGCACCCATTCCCTCTCCGAGGCCTAGTATAAAAGTCCATCTGTCACCTAGGCTTGTGAACATGGGTCTTCCTAGCCCAAGGGTACATGTTTCTCCTCTTTAAGGTCTTTGGTTATGTGGTTCAATGTGTGAGGCATTCAAGTGCATAGGCCTTGCTCTAGTTCTAGCATTTAAATTTGGATCATTGGTACATAATATAGGAAGATCAAGGTTACAAAGGAGCTAACCCAATATCTATTTTTTCATTTGGGTTTCCATTGGCCAATTCTTTTGGTCAGGTAGCTTCTGCTGAATTATTTTTTTTCCTTGCCCCTTAGATGCTTCATTGCATATTCAATACTGTTCAGGGGCTGAGTGAATCATCCATTCTTGTAAGTCAAATCACATTTGAAAATACAACTATTTTTTTCACCTCTCTACCTCCTTGTTTCTTTTTTAGTGGTTTGGAGATTAGCCACTGCTTCAGTATTGGTCATGCTGAGAGCAATTTATAATTTTTAACGAAAAGTACTTATTTAAAATTTTGTAAAAAGTTAAAGGATTAAAAAGTAAATAAAAAAAGTTATAAAGGATAAAATCAAAATTTACCTTAAAGTTAATGAACAAAAATGCTAATTTTGCCTATTTTTTTATACATTAATTCAAATGTTATTAAATATAAATAACTAATCAATCTAATTAAATAAGAAAATTTTAATTTAATAAATAAATTGTAATTCAATAAGTATATGCTCAAACAAATTGTTTTATCATAATTTCACTCTGTAAATATATGCTTTATTAATTTTTTTTGTTTAATATTTAAAGAATACTTTAAAAATATAGACTAATTAAAAAATGATTTATAATATCTTAGTATAAAAATATTTTGAATGAAATATAAATTATTAATGCATTAAATTAACCTTTTATTAATTATTATTAGTATAAAAAAAAAAATACTGTGTGGATGGGCCCAAATAAAACGATCTATTGAGTGGTGAATCTGAATGTTACTGAGATTTGTTTTAATGGACTTAGCAGGAGTGAGGATACGGAGGGAGAGGATCGGCAAATAATTTGCAGTATAGATAATGATGGAGTCAACTCGGAGCGTGAGAAATAATAATAATAAAATGAGTTATATTATTTAAATATCTAAATTTTATATTTTTTATACATAAAATAATTATAACCGTTAATTTTAATAATAGAATTAATAATTTATTTATAAAAAATTATAAATATTCTTTAATATTTTATAATAATTTAGAAAGAGAGTATTTAATAATCCTTAAATTTAAGAGTATGTATCATTTTTAAAATATTTTTTAAAACTAAAAATGGTATCAAAAGATGTCTCAATCTGAACTTCAAAAAAAAAAAAACATTTTTCAAGAAAAGTACAGGGGCGTAAGTTTTGATTTTGAGGATTTCGTTAGGTTACCGTTATGAATTAGGACGATGTTTCTTTTCCTTCCACCAATCTACAATTTCAAATTTCAAAATCTTCTTCCTTGCATTGCCTTAATTAACCCCAACACAACACAGAGCACACTCCTTAATTTCAAATATTCTCTTCTCTCTCTCTTTCACTGTGCAACCCAGCAGCAGCTACCTCTGATCTGCACTTCTGCTCTGCAAAAACGGTTTCTTTTCTCCAATGGGTGCTTCGGGAAGATGGTTTAAATCACTTCTTTCTCTCCGAAAGACCTCAACTTCAACTACTGATCAAGTAACCTTTTTTTTTCTCTCTTATCTGTTTTGTTTTGGTGCGGTGCTGTTATTTACTACTTACTAATATGGGTTAATGGATGAGAATATTCAGGAGAAGAGTAGTGAGAACAAGAGTAAGAAGAAGTGGAAGCTATGGAAGAATTCTTCAGAAGGGTCAATGAAGAAAGGAGGCGGTGGTGCTGTGTCTGGTTCTTCGCTTTCTTCTGCGGTGGCTGTGGTCGTTCGAGCTCCACCAAAAGATTTCATGGTCATCAAACAGGAATGGGCTGCCATATGCATTCAGGCTGTGTTTCGAGCCTTCTTGGTAACTGCCATGCATGCAATGCATTCATCCTCAATTAAGCTTGCTTGCTATATATGTGTCTCTGCTTTCTAATATCTTCAATTATTTATTTTAATCTTAAATTAGGGGTGACTCTGAAAGTCCAATTTTTTATCAAGAGTTTGGACTTAGGAGCTTCTAACCTTAGCATGACCTCATCACATGTCAAATTAGATTTTGTACAATATTCACCAATAGATCGAAATTTTCAGAAAGTGAAGTACTTGTGTAAGTTGTATGTGACTGTGAGGGTTTATTATAGAAATATCTGCAACTTTTCGGTTACTTAATTGAGGAGGATTTGATTAGTATATAAGGCATGAGTCTCTAGTGCTTGCATCTTTCTTTTATTTTTCATGTGACCTTAATTCTATTAATGCACATTGTAGGCTAGACGAGCTTTGAGGGCCTTGAGGGCAGTGGTAAAGCTTCAAGCTACTTTTCGAGGTAGGCAAGTCAGAAAGCAAGCAGCTGTTACTCTAAGGTGCATGCAGGCTCTTGTTCGAGTTCAGGCACGTGTAAGGGCAAGGAATGTGAGGAAATCCCCTCAAGGGAAAGCGGTGCAGAAATTGTTAGATGAGCACCGCAACCAAGCCGATCCTGTTAAGCAGGTTGAGGTATCATAATTTGCTTGAAGATAATGTAACATTCTCTAATCATGATTCTGAGTTATCATGTTAGGAGACACTAAAATGTAGCTAATTTGCCTTGTTATTATCAGCAAGGATGGTGTGACATTCCTGGAACTGTTGATGAAGTTAAAACAAAGCTACGAATGAGGCAAGAAGGAGCCATCAAGAGGGATAGAGCAATGGCATACTCCCTCTCCACACAGGTAATGAAGTTGAGAAGATGCTTCATATACACTTTTGTTTCTTTGGTAGTTAAAATTATTATCCAATTCATTTGGTTTAATTAACTTTTCTTGCTTGTAGCAGTCAAGAGTGAGTGCCAGTCCAAACTCTAGAACCACCAAGGCAGAGATTCCTCTCAAGCATCACAACCTAAACAATAAGAGCTTAGGATGTAGCTTGTTAGAACGCTGGATGGAGGCAAAGCCATGGGAGAGTCCAATCTCAAGGAAGAGTGAAGAAATTGTTCCTCACTTTCAATCAAGAAGGAATGGTGTGACAACTAGGATTTCAGTTGTTAAATCTCTTACAACCAGTCAATTTTCAACCATAAGCTCTGAATACATGTCTGATGATAGCCCTGTGTCTACTTCATATACATCTGGATCTTCATCTTTTCCATCCACCACTACTGCTGTGGTGGAAGCAACAAAGGAAAGAGATGTTAATCAACCAAGCTACATGAATTTGACAGAATCAACTAAGGCTAAACTGAAAGCTTGCAGGTCCTCTTCACAAAATTCAAAGAGACTTGTGATGGAGCATTGTCTGTCTCATAGCTCAACAACAGGATTTCTGAATGGAGATACTAGAAGCAATTCTGGCTCTGATCCTTCAGTTAATTTATGGAAGGATCTTTGTGCAACACCTCTAAGGGCAAGTTATCAAAAATGAGAAATTGGGAGATAAGAGTTTGTGTAACAGTGACAGCCTTAATGTGTCTACTCTCAATGAGATCAACAGCTTGTTGTCCGTTGTCACCTTGACACACTGATTCACTGAGATGAACATGCGTGCAAGTTAGGAAAATGGCTAATTGACAGTGTAGATAACATAAGTGGTTTTGTGTGAAAAATTAAATATCATACTAATATTTTGTATGGTGTTTTTACACTGATATATGCATAATAGCTTTATGTAAGAACTATCTAAAAACTCAAGTAGATATCGAGCTTAAGATGATGAGACAATGTTACTCACTTTTTTTGGGAGGTATGAATGCATTGTGGTTTTTTTATAGTCGAAATTGCATTGTTGTTATTTCCCACATTGGGTGAAGTTATGGGTGTTCTTCCACCCTTTTTTGGTATAGACATTTCTGTTTCTATTTATTAAAAACTTCTCAGAACTTGTGCATCCATGCAGGGTCTTTGTTTCCATTTTGCAGTAACTCAATTAGCAATGCTGAGCTTTTTGAAAAATATTACTGAGCTAAGATTTTTCTTGGTTTATGCTAACTAAAATCATTTATATCTGCCATTTGGATAGATTTATGTGATTTGAACCGTTTTTGTTTTGCCTAGGTAATAAAAGTACTTTATGTTGCAATCTGTAACGCTGTCAGCTCCTCATATTGATTTTAAAAATTTCATCCACTGAAAATTGATGCACATCATAGCATATACTACAATGATTTAGTTTCTAGGCTTCAACTAATGAAAAATATATTGTTTTAAAAAATTATCTTAATAAGTAAAAGAAAACAATTATTTAAAAACACGTTAATTTAAACACGCACTTAATTATCCCAAATATATTTTTATGTTGGTCCACAACTGATAAAAACTACATATACGATAGATTGAATTAAAGATATTTGATGAGCCAGACAAACAACGACCGAGTTAATGTGTAGTACTGCAGGTCAACAAAGGGAAACCCGGACTAGCTTCAGATCTTCATTGGTTTTATTAGTTGTGGACCAAAATAAAAATTATCTTTGTTTTTCTTCCTCGAAGGTTCAATCCAAAGCCTTGTACCCAACTTTTAATGTCCATTATGTAAGTTCAACCCAAAACTGTGGAAGAGTAAACTATAAACAAAATGACAAGAATAAAAAAAAAAGCAAAAAAACAATTCAAGATTCGAAATGAGTAAGGTTATTTGACAATGCTTATCTCCACTTAAGCAACAGGAATAATTTAATAGAAAAAATCACGTGCTCCAATTTATAATAATATGTAATGATGCAACTTGCATGTAGTATGGTCCAGTTCCAGTCACTCATGCTTTTGCCAGAAGGACCACTGTTATCATCGTTACCTTTGAAGTATTAATTTATGCATCATTTAACTTGTAACTATCAAGCAAAGAAGATTGATAGACACAAATAATTCTAAGGAAACACTTTTGAGCTCCAAATAGACTAAATGTGTGTTTGGATTTACATTAAACTTAGATCAAACGCAGAAGCTACAACTAGTAGTATTGAGATAAATTTAAATTCATAGACATTTAAACGCAGATTCAAACACGCTAGAAATGGTTCATCGATCAATATCAGAAATACACGTATACTGTTAGAGACTAGAGAGTATCACCAATCCATTAGTTTGACTTCTCTATAGTATATACTGCTTGGCCTACGTCCTGAAGACGACGCTGCTATTTGGTATTTTGGTTCATAGGCTTCCCACGTGAGAACAAGCGCTAACAAAGGCAAAAATCAGGATGCTACTAAAAGTTGTAAAATTTTTTGAATGTCGTTTGATGGGAATCTGGTGAAGTGAAGGAAAGAAAAAGTGTGTGATGCTTTCTTCAATTTGGAGTAAGTGATCAAACTTCCTTTCATGGGGGATTGCCATGAATAGAAGGAAGACGAAGTAGGGGCAGTGGGGCCTTAAAGGAGGCCTATTTTCTGGGATATCCCTTTTTCTGTGGGGCATTTCTAGTCTTGTTTCCTTGCTTTATAAAGAATATAAGCTCTGTTTTTATTTTCCCATTATTTGCATTGGCCCATACTGATAAGGACCAATGTGGCCCTTTAGCTATATGTATCACAGTGCCAATAATTGATTGACTAGAGAAAATAAAATTTAAGTTTATTTATTTTCTCCTTTTCTGTTAAATGGAAGCGTGAATTGCAATGGCAAAACATATTTGGCATTTTTTGTCCTTGAGTTAAAAGTGTTTATCTTTTTCTTTATATTCATCATATACTAGTGTATAAGTTTGTTTTGTGTACGTGTGCATGTGCATCAGCAAAGCAAGTATTTATTTCTCTTGTGAATCCACCTTATGGACGAACTTTTGGTTCCTTCAGCATCTTGAATCTAACCTTTATGTTCTTTTAGGCCTATTCACTTATTCAGCTATACAATAGCAAGTGTTTTTCCTTGGTGATAGGATTTTCCCTTGGTTAAGCATTGAAATATTTTCCACCCCAAGACTTTCCTTCAAGCATACAAGAGATAAATAATCTGCATGCTCATTCTTAATCATTTATTAGTACACTATCAGTTTACAAGAATTGTAGATAAAATCTATATCTTCTGGTTATTTACCATGGTAGTACATGAGATTTGAAGATAAGTTTAGGTGAGCATTATGCTACCTTTCTTTATTTAGATTCTCGTTGTATCTCAAGGGACAATGCATCTTGATTTCTTTCCTTCTAGGAGGAAAACTCTCCACCCTTTGAAGAGGGGAAAAAGAAAGAAAAAGAGGAGGTAAAAACCAACATTTGACTGAAAATGACCCATACCAAAACCAATCTGAAATCAGGAGAGGACAAAGAATTACACAGCATTCTCTCATGTACTTGTTTTGATATCTCTATAAGTCAGGAAAAAAAACAAAAGATTCTGACAGCAAGAGTCCTTTGATGGCTCAACAAATAAAGGAAAAGAGCCCGGTAGTATTAAATGTTGCATGTGCTGCAATTAATTAGGAATCTTGTTTTAACTAGTTGTTTCTTTCACCATAAGCTTGCCAAGCTCCTACTTTTTCTCTCAGAAGCAACAAATTACAAGACCTCCATGCTGCTTGGTACCCTGTTCCACTGCAAGAAAGGAATTTGTTTCCTGCTTTTATTTGACTAAAAATGTATCTCCTCTAAAATGAATAAACCTGTAAAATGATGAAGTGAGAGTTAATCTATAAGTTATTTAAATTCAAGTATTTTATAAACATAATTGGCTTTAAATCAATAATAGATAGAGTACTTTATTTTCTTATTTTACTCATCTTTCTCAATTTAAAGGAGCTAAAAGCTAGATACGTCATTCTTCAAATGCTACACGCCAATTGCTATATTAATTAAGATCATCCTAAAGCCATGCACCCCAAAAAATGACCCTAAAGCAATATTGATTGCGTTTACTGTTGAATAATAAAATCTGTGAAGAACATTGGATGAGAATTGGATGGTCAAACAGAATGAGTATGCAACAATAATAGCCGAACAATCACACCAAAATAAGATTGCCAGCCATGCTTTTTGATAACATATATATAACATACTTTTTTTTTCCACCCGCATCCCAACTATAAAACCCCTCTTGCTTTGGCAAATTTCTTAAAAATAAGCAAGTATTTAACTAATAACATCCAATCTTTACAAAGACAAAATTTAGGTGCAGTTAGTGTTATATATCAGTTAAAATTGGAAATTTATGGTGATAATTTATAATAACATTCAATATAAAAAAAAAAACCATGAAAATGGAGGAAAGAAACACGGAATTTGTAAATATAACAATATTATTGTTCTAATTAATAATTTAGATCATCCATCATGAAAAGATTAGATGACCCAATTATTTTTAGTACTATTTTTTCATGGAATCCCTAAACAGGATGTAAAAGCATACTTTTCCCCAGCTGCTTTTAGTCCATCTATTGAGATGAAATGCGTACGCAAAGTGGCCGGCAATTATATTCTTCTCGTTGTCCCCATTGGCCTCTTTTCAGTGGTAGAATTTTCAGGATAAATAAAGAGAAATGAGAGAAACATTTGTTTGACAATTTTTTTTAACCATTCTTTATTTATTGTTAGTAGATAAAAAAAATTATATATCATGAAATCTTTTGGAATCAACTCTCTATTTAGTAAAATTTGTTAGAAACTCACTCAATAATACTAAAAGAAATACATTAAAATGTTTACACAAAGATTAAGCAAGTTATTCAATGTTTTCAATTTCTTTCAAAAAAAAAAAAGTCAAGTTCGTGAGTACCTTAAATACATTAATTGAGAAATATTTACTATATTGTATTAATATTTTTAATCGTTAAAAATATATTAAATATTTTATTCTTTTACTAAAAAAATTCTTCTATTTCTTTAATTTGAATTTTAAGGGAACCTGTTAGCATTTAATTCATAAAAAAATGTCTTATCAATGAGTACTTTGTCGAACGTTTATACAAAACTTGAAGAAATGTCTGTTCGCCAAATATGTAGAAATGCCCTGATTTTTGTAGAAATATGTAGAAGCTTATGAGAATAAAACTAAAATATGAAGCTGTGAATAAGAGTAATTTGATATAAAAAAAAAACAGCATATGAAAACATAATTTATAAACGATGTTGTGGAGGCCAAGTTATAGAAGAACATACTTTCGTAGTAAAGATTAAAAAAATATTTTGATCATACATCATAGAAGGCCCTGGCCACCTTTGCCTTCTCCTTAACTCTACCTTTAATTTCGATGCTTTTCATTCATAATCCTTTGGAACTTTATACATGCATGCAAAATATTCAATAATGCAGACATCTTCTTGTAGTTCGAGCTCATCGAATATTCATTTTTCAAAAAAGGGAAACAAGGCTACCTTTCATCATATCTTTTAAAAACATTATTATTTGCTTAGATTGTCACTAGAGTTTTTACATTGTAGAGCTGGGGCATTAGCAATTCTTAAACTTTTTATTTTTCTGTCTTATTATATATACCTTTTTTTTTTCTCCAAGAGTATACATTTCAAAGAGAATGGAAAGTTTTTTTAAATGAAGTCCAATGATTGAAAAAAAAAATGATCCATATGAACTCATTCACCCTTGCAAATACAGTTACCACTCTAAAAAGGACAAAACTGGAGGGGTAATTAAATTGGTAAACCATCCATAAAGAAAGATCAAGTGTCACCAACCTCGTTGAAAACTTTCTTCATCTGCGTGTGTCCATCGTGCATCTGTTAAGAGGAAGGTCCCACCACTCTGCATGTGTGACACGTGTACAAGCCAGCCCATCCCAGAGTGAGCAAAGAAGGATCCATTATAAGGCCTACAATCGTTGCAGGGTCACACTGCACCTTTCAGCCCTTTGCTACAAACCCTAACTGTGCCACAAAGGTACTGTTCCCCACATTAAATTCACCACCTCAGTGTACTCACACTTCAGCATATCATCCATTTTCTGTTCAGACTACTCTCAGCATTCCTTTCACATTTTAATATAACCTCTTGTAACCTAGGGCTAAAGCTAGAGCCTAGAGCTTCCTTTGTTGTGTGCTAGCTACTCTTATATAAATCATATATTTATGCAATTTATTTATTTATAATACCAAAATTAATCTTTGTATGTCCTAGTAGTGCTAGCTTTGAGACTCAAGATCAGTAAGATAGATAGGAAGAGAAAAGAAAGGAGATATGGGGCATCACTCTTGCTGCAACAAGCAGAAGGTCAAAAGAGGGCTATGGTCACCGGAAGAAGATGAAAAGCTCATCAACTACATCACAACTTATGGACATGGTTGCTGGAGTTCTGTTCCAAAACTAGCAGGTGATTATATCACTGCCCTTTCTGAATATATATACATGATTTCCTTTCTATTATATTCTCATTTTCTTCATTCATTAGTTCTAAAAAAAGAACTTATGAACTGTGTTAGCTGCTATATGGTTGATTAATTATTTCATGGAGTGCAGGCCTGCAGAGGTGTGGAAAGAGTTGCAGATTGAGATGGATAAATTATCTAAGACCTGATTTGAAACGTGGAAGCTTCTCTCCTCAAGAAGCCGCTCTCATTATCGAGCTTCATAGTATTCTAGGCAACAGGTTTTTTTTTTTTTTTTCAATTGCATATTTTTTCTTTTTTTTCCCCCATTAATTGCTCTTTTTTATCATGGTTAAAGTCACCATTATTATCAAAAGGTTTGTTTGTTAACTTTTCTTAATTAACGAGTGGAGGTACTATTTGGACAGGTGGGCTCAGATAGCCAAGCACCTACCTGGAAGAACAGATAATGAGGTGAAAAACTTTTGGAATTCAAGCATAAAGAAGAAGCTGCTTTCTCATGATGTTGTTCCTTCTTTAGCCACATTTTCTGATTTTCACAGTCCTATCAATGGTTCCGTGGAAAGTTTCTTCCCTTTAACTGACAACCCTATCGTAAACTCCCATTATCACTTAGACCAGCTATACCTTCCCATCAATATCCCATCCCCAATCCTACAAGGTTTTGATCATCACAATGATATCAAGATTGACATAAACAACAGCAATAATCTCAATTTCCTACATTTTCAGAATCCAATGCCAGAAACAGTACCACCCTCCAATAATCCATCATTGTATGAAGATTCATGGTCGTGGGGCTGTGTACCTATTCATCTTAATCCAAATCAGGAAAATCAAATCATGACCAAAACTGATACCACCCCATATTATCTTGTTGAGAAATTCATCAATCCAAGTACATGGCAGCACTTGGTGGAACCAGTTGTGCCAAAACTCTGTGAGAGCATTGAGCATTTTGTCTGTAGCATCCCATATTCTTCTTCTGCTTCACAAGAACATGAGGAGGCTATTGCGTGTTACGCACCTGGTATTTGTCCACCACAGGATCAAACTGTGGAAGCCAATCAAGTGGAGTACATCGATGCCCTCATCATGTCATCGTTGCCATCATCAACAACATCATCTTCATCAGTATCATTCTATCAAGCAGAGAAATAATCACAAAACCTATATATCATTCCTTCGAGTTGGGTGTCATGAGCATTATTGGTTCCTATTACATAATATAGGTTAATTTTATGTATATATAATTGAGTAGTGGGAGAGTCTATATATGTGATGAGCTCAATTAATTCCATGCATTTCAAGGGGGGGAAACATGCATTTAATTTTCTCTTGAATTTTCGAATAAGAGGGTGAGAAGATCTCCTATTGGCAAACCTGAGCCATGCTAGTTCTGGCTCCTCCATTAAACAATGCTTGCTGAAGTTCCATAAATATGTCTAGGTTCTTTCACATGTTTGTCGACTAAAAGTACGTATCTGTGTATGATTATTTATCGTGTGAAGTACTGTATGTTGTATAACAATCATATGCATAGTTGTGCACTTTAAGTTGACTCATTGTTCCGTTGCTCTCTCTCTCTCTCTCTCTGACATATATGGATGACAACATCAAACAAAGACAAAAGCCGTACATACACCATAGTCAACTTGTTGGCACTTGAGGCCAAAATGCCCTTAAATGTGACCTTCTAGCTAGTAGCTATGAAGCTAGCTAGCGGTGTTTCTGGCAGTTATATGACATTCCATATTATGATGTGATCAATAAAGAATTAAACAAGCATCCACAATATGCACTTAACTAATCACTTATTTGGCATCTTCCATTAATTTTCTTTTACCTGTAGAAACAAAGTCCAAAACATATCGCACTGTTAAATTACTTTTGCGTTGTACCGTCTTTTGTAAGGGTCCATCCTATCTTGAGTCTTGACATTTGCATTACCCGCGCGCAGAAAATTTGATCTTGCTTATAAATTGGTTAAAGTTTTAGAAAAAGAATGAAGAACAAAACGTCACTTCCAATCTTTTGATTGAAAAACGAAAGAAAAAAGTGACAAGAAAATTGGAATGTTGATTAATTGAACGTTTTTATTGCGAATCTTGTTTTATTATAAAACGTGGAATAAGTTAATATGGACTAGTCAGTTTCATTTAAATGACGATATTAAAAAATATAGACTTAAAGATTACATAATTACTTTAAAAGCTGCATGATTTTAATCTTTTTAAATGTTATCATATATATGTGATTTCCAGCACGTTAATTGAGACATGAAAGTCTATATGAAAATTTTCATATCTATTCCCTATCTCCATCCTCTTTCATTTGGTGCCTGCTGGTTAAGTAATAAAATCTTTTAGCATTAATGGACATTTTGGCATATCAATATCTTGCAATACAAACTAAGAGACAGGAGGCCTAGGCGGTTACTTTAAGAAATAAAACTGTTCGTTTTAAAAGAATCATATCAAAGTAAAGCAAAGTTGAAACAAATTTTTAGACTGGTTTGCTTTGTTTCCGGATTGCCTTGTGGTATTGTATTTCCCTCTCATGTTCTCTTTTAGTTCAAACTCCAAGGTACTACAGTCTCTCCTGCCCTAAAGGTGACTCCAACTTTCTTTTTTGCTCATGTCGTTTACCCCTTCATCTTAAGATCTGAATAATTAGTATATGTAACAAAAGTTCTTCCTTACATAGTGTTTGGAGTCATATCTTTTATCCTATTTTTGTGTGATCCCTTTACTTGTCTCCTTAATTGAATGTTGATATTTCTGATTAAAATAATTGACAGCTAAGAGAGACGCTGTTGCCAGTTAAAAAGGAGAAACATTAATTTATTGAATTAATTATCACCAAATTTGTTTGGAGAAACAAAAGAAGGGGATAAGAAAAGGAGTCAAAAGATATCAATCTAGGTTGGATCTCGATTTTCGATTAATCTTTTTCGAATCAATTGGGTTAGCTCACAATTAAAACCAAAAACTATTTTTTGGTTCGTAGAAATATAAACCTAGAATAACCCCAACGGAAGTGTAAATGTTAAGTATTACTATTACTTGCACCCAAACAACAATTAATACGTGTAGTTAGTATCTTGCCAAAATAGTAATATTTGTTCTCCCTCTCAGAATTGCTATATTGAACTCATTGTCGAATTTTTTTGTCACGTTCCTTATCATTAGCTTTCTTCACTTAAAATATGCACCCAATCAATAGTCATATTAGAAAGCCTAAAGTATCTGAGGCACTGTAGCGAGAAAGAGACTTTTGGACATTTTGGTTATAATTTGTATAATTGACTTAAAAGTTAGGTTTTAAGTCTTCTAACAAACAAAGAGACGACCATTACGTCATCGAAAACCCCATTAAAAATGTGGAATAAGGAAACCAATCAGACTCAATATATATATATATATATACACATATATGGTTTGTGTCACCTAATTTGTGCAATTTTTCAGTTTGAGTTGTATTAACTTAAGTTGCCTAGTGTATAGAAAATGTTCGGTTACATTCAGATGGAGTTTAACTCAAGCAAATCGAAACAGTATTCACTCATAATTGTAAATGTGGACACAATGCTAAAAAGACAATGCATAAACAATTTTTTGGGGAAAATTTGGGGATCTCAACCTCTCACATTGGAGAAGGAACAGTTAAGGAAAGATTTAAAAAACACAGTTGGGACAGAGAAATGTTAAGAGTTCCAAACTGAGAATAGTTGTAAAGATTCCAGTGGTCGTCTTTCTCTTACGTGTTGTCCCATGTTTCTACAACTTCCTTTATTGTGTTTGCCGTTACCTAAGCACAGTGCAGATAGTAACACGGTTTTACTGTGACCACAACAATAGGCCAATAGCAAAATGGTGATTACTACCTTTATTGTTCAAAGTGAAGATTCTGATTTTTTTTTAAAAAAAAATATGCAATTGTTGTCAATACCATAAAGCAGAAAATGACTAAGAATGAATGAATAACGTGTTAACCGAAAAGGGGTGAAAAAAAATTACATTTTTTTCATAGTGCTTTGGTAACATGGAATCTTCGAAAGAATGTAAGTTAGGGAGACATAGACCCTTTTAATCATGAAATGATTTAATGCATACCTGCCCATTCCACTTTTGTTGATAATTATTTTTGAATGAGTGTGAATATATATGATTCAATTGCAAATTGGAATCGAAAAGAACAAACGGAAAGCTCAACAAAGCCCTCTTGGGACAGAGGGCACCGCGTTACTTCAATAATTTGAAGGGCCCAGAAGCCTGGAAGTGGACTCATTGATCTATTTTGACACAAATAGGTGGGCCTTATTTTGCATTTCTAATCAATTTTCATAGCTAAGAATCTTACAAAGTGTTCTTTCTTATGGGCCAACCATCTTCATCTTCAGAATCATTTCATTTTATTAATCTTCGAGGCTTTTCTTCGCAGGGAATTGAGCCAGAAAGTAAGCGTAGCAAATTAAAAATATAAAGGCTGCGTTTTCACTCTATCCACTTTAGCCACGTCAATCTGACAGGATTTTTTTTCTATCTTTTCCTGATAACCCGCAACCCCCTTTATTTGATTTGTTTTTGTGTTGTTATGTTTCATTTCTCCCCCTTTCCAGACCATAGGCCACTCTGACAAGACAATTAAAGGAATCAAGGTCGCTCTATAAAATTAATCATTCATTCTTTCTTGTATGTCTACGACGTGAGAGATTAAATAAGTGTTTAAACATATTCAGAAGTTTATAGATATGAATCTAATCAACAAATTATAATAATTATTACCGAGGACGTATATCAATTACAGGAATTATTCTAGCTTTAATTTATCATCTCGACTTTGAGTTATAGACAAATAATAATAATAAACGTAACATGAATTTGAACATGTTCTGAACATTGCAACAAGCTTCAAATAAAAATTTATAGCACATACACTACCTCTGAAGTGAAGTCTATCTTGGATTCGATTTAAGTATTATCTCTGAATGTATTATTTCAGCTCAGCTCGATTATTTTTACCTCATTCTCGTGTACAACTTATTGCACCTGCAAAAATGCCAATTAACAAAATTTTGAAAATAAAAAGGTTAGAGAATCTCCAATGCAATAACATAAATTACTTTTACTATTACGGCATCTTAAAAGTCAGTTAGCATCATTGGAACAGTGTTATGTGTGTTATAAACAGCTATATCTTATATAAGCAACTGTTGCTTGAAAGAAAAAAATCCAGTTTGAGAGCTAACTTGTGATATAAAATATTAAATGATAGTTAAAATATGAAGTTGTAAATAATTTGTTGAACTTATTTGATGAAGCTTTTCAAATTATACCATTGAAAGTAATGAGATTGAAATATATAAAAAATGATGTCATATTAAGATTCATTTAAGAATGAATAGTGTTATCTTTACTCATACTTTTACAATACCTTCTCTCAATGAATTAAGTGATCGGAGATGCTCTTGGAAATGCAACTGAGAAGCATAATGGCTCGGCGCTGGGATTGAAAGAACATTAGGAATTGCAATATGCAGTTTAGTTGTGTTTCTGATTTAAATTTGAACATCTGTCATTCATATTATGTATGCAGCATTTGTGTCCTATTCACCATTCTTCAACAAATTTTCCCAAATACGCCCAAGGAATATAAAAATGAAGTGAGTATTCTCCTCGAAATTTGGTTAAAATGTTTGGACGAGGGCTGTTAATAATTCTTTTCACCACTCCTAATTATTAAATGAAATTTATTAAAAACTATAAAAATATGAATAACAATCAATAGTTAATAATTAAAAATTTTGTTTAAATTAATATATTAAAGAATGTGTAACATAATATACTATCGATATCATTAGAGCATTTTTTTTTCATTTTTTATTTTTTGTTAATATACATTTTAGGTTTCTCTAGCTTAAGGAAATTTAAAAATTTTCAAGACTCAAAATTTGAACCGTTATCATCTTACATGTATTATACTAATTCTAACCACTTGAGTTATCCTGCAAAGATTTTCTTAAACTGCAGTCAAAGTCTGCAACAGGAAACAACAAAAATGAAGTCCAACTCGCAGTAGATAAAAGCCTGGCACATCAAACTAGTACTTGATGGCCCAAAATCCTTCTTAATAAAATAAAATTTCGAACAAAACAGATTTCGACAGAAAAAACAATTAAATCTAATAATGTATAAAAAATTAAATTAGGCAAGGAAAGAATTAAATAACTATGGTAATTAGTGGGTACTAGAGAGATTTGAGTTATTTTTGTCAGATGAGAAGATAAGTTAAAATATTATTGTCAATGTTATGCTAAAAGAAGAGGCATGGTAATGAAAATGGTTAGCGAGGAGGGAGTTTTGGATGTAAAAGTAAAGGCCAAAGATGGAGACGGAGATGCAAATAATTCCATGCATTGTGCCGACACTGATTAGTATGTAATGTAATGTGGGTGCTACAACTCCTTCTGTGCTTAGGGAGCCCAGTCTGACACCAAACGTGATTGTACCTTCTACCTTTCAGTCATTACAGTCAATTTATAGGTTAAATTAAAGCACAAGTTGCTCAATTATTTATTTAATTTTTTTATACTTTAAAAATTTACTTATAACGTTTTAAATTAAATGAATCTCTAACCATTCTGTTATTTTTAAAAAAATAATTCAGTAAATTATTGATTAATTAAATTAGCAACTTAATTGAATTCTATCTTTGACAAAACCTTAGTGAAAAATTTTATTAAAAATGATTAAAAAACTCAAGAATCTAACTTTAAATTTTTTTTTAAAAGATAACCTCGTTTAGTAACTTACAAATATTTCATATTTAACCTTCTTTTAAACAACAAAACGCTTCAAATTAACCTCATAAATGGAACTTACTTTTAACATTTGAACCTATATATATATATATATTTTATTTTTTTTCAAATACCCTCACGTTTGTTGATCGATCGTGATTAACTTTCATAAAAATATACAAACTCAATTTTGAAACTAATTCTTTCAACGTGAATCCTTCACAATAACAGCCAAAGGCAATAGTGAAACTAGTAACCATTTTTTTTCCTTCATCAGAGGATGTTCTAAGAAAACATCAATCCAAAGTTTAACTATCTTCAAACGAAAAAATAAAAGGAAAATTACAACTGTTCCAGTGCTTTTGCTAGTAATAGACATTACAAACATACGAAATGGCATTTTTCTAAAATATGCCCAGGAAATTACAAGAAGCATTTGCTTCAAATCAGAAATAACTAAGTGACCAAAGGGACTGAAACAATGAAGAAGGGAACAAAAAAAATGTAAAACAAAAGGAAAAATAGTACAAATTGAAATCCACTATTGAATTGGTGTGACTACCGCTTCCGCTCCATCTTTGCTTTAAGGAAGAAAAAAGAAAAGAAAGAATCATCATAAATCTCAAATGTACACAATCATACTGAATTTATATTTTATTGTTCGCCAGGAAGTGCAGCAGAGATCCAATCAGAAGCTGCCATTTGAATATCAGTTTCAACATGGGGAGAAAGAGAAAGTGGAGTCACTGCAACCTGTTCCTCCAGATCACATGCAAGAATCAGCATGCCCGCATTCAGAAAATTAAAAAACGGAAAAAACTATGTTAATTGAAAACAATAATTGATCGTTCCAACTTACATATCCGCTTTCAACTGCCCTGTAATCCAGATCATCATCTGTTTCTTCCTGCTTATTGTCCAAAAACTGAAAGATACAAAGGTAGAATATAGCTAATTCACTTGCACAAACAATTTATAATTATTGAATAGATATACCAATATAACATGCAAATGCAGGGGGAAATTAGCAATGAACCATATATGCAGGGAAGTGTCACAAGTAAGATGTAGAACAGTAGATGAACAGAAGAATGCAGATAAAATATGAAACAAGTTTTTACAATAATCCCTTCTTCACATGTTGCTATCTTCGTACTCAACATGGAAAAACAGATTAACTTCCACATTAACGCATGATGATAGCAAACTTCATTGAAGGTTTGTTATTACTCCTATTTACCTCTAGTCTGAAGTACTTCTTGACCCTGTTGGAATCAGGTTTTCCTGCAGCTCCAATTGATTCAATAACTTCCAAATTCTTTTTCTGAGTAGCCAACCGTCGAGCTGCACCCTGGAGTAGACAAATATGAAGAAGATTCGTGTATCAGCATTATTAGATTAAATGCATTAAAATTCCTTCAGATTACAGAAAACATAAAGACATGATTTCTAAGTATGCAAAACACCTACAGCTGCGGATGCATCTCGGCCAAGCTGCGCAAACTGAAGACCAAGGCCTCCTTGTTGATTGGCCAAGAAATGACCAGTTGGATAGCGGCTAGTTGAAACAGCAAGCCAGTTTGGAGTGGATCTCCACATACTTTGTTTGGTCAATTTGAAGCCCTATCAATAAAATGATACCATTTGATCCGTGTAAACAAAATCTCCAAAGAGAAAGATACAATTATGAAATATTTTAAATCATTAGAAACTAATCAGCCAAGAATTTTAACATGCACATTGCATACTAAATTATTCACAACATATGCCCCAAGTCCTAGATCATTTGCATAATACAGCAAAACATTTGAAAAACATAACCCAATATATATAATAAAATTTGCACACCTTGTTACTCGAAGGTGACGTGGGAATTTCTATATTTAGAAAGCAGCTTTTGGGAAAAGTTCCCTTTTCAACATCCCTAATAGCTGCGTTTATTAATGGTAAACAGACTGATGCTGCATCCTTGAAATCAGTTTCTTGACTTTCGTCCTTCTTCCTACAGCAGGATAGCAGGATATGATATCGATTCATAATGTTTTTCAGCACAGTTAAAGCTGAATGTATAGAGTCATCAATTTACCAGTTTAATGATATTGATAATGATGGTACACCACATAATAATGCCTCCCTCGCCCCAGCAACAACCCCTGAGTAGAACCTGGTCATTTTAAAGTATGAGATCAACACAGGTCAACACATAGGGCTGCAAATTCTGGATAATATATGCAAGAGGGAAGGTGGGGAGATTGTATACCCACTTAGATCTATATGGTTATCTATAACCAAAAGTAAACCAACTTACATGAGATGACCACAGCTCAATCCCCGGTTAATCCCACTAATAACCTGAAATTCAAACGACACTTTCATTCATAAATCTTCAGTACTTCATTATGAGAACAGGCACACACTTAATTTTTAGTGTTATAATATAAATGCTAACCAGCATGGGCTTTGACCACGAAAACAATGCTCCAGACAATGCTAGCGAAACACAATCCACGGGAGTTCCTAAATTATAAATAATAAAACAAGAACAACTTCGTGTAACTGCGTTGATAAACCAACCCACAGATCAATACAAAAATTAATAGGTAGAAGTCCTCAATTTCCATCGATGATGATGATTTTTATTTTTCAGTGCAACAAAATAAGACCAGTACATCCACATCATGTATGGAACAAGTTAACATAAACTTGATACATAGAAAAGGAAGGAAAACAGATATAATTGAAGTGACACCTGAAATCTCAAAGGCCATAGCACCATTAATTTTGGCAGAAGCAGCTTCCACAGTTTCTCGTAGAGTAACAGAGTGCCCCGAAACCGATTTGTCCCTAAAGCAACCATTTTAGCAACTAACAAATTACAAACACACCCCAGATTCAATAACACCACGAAACAGGCACAGCATGAAAAAATTTGCAAACTTCGAACGAAACAAACAAACCCCAAGAGCAGAAAAAGAAAATCAGTGCATTGCATCGAAGCGAAGAAAGAGAAGAGAAAAAGAAGACCCACGATTGAGGAACGCAAACATGGACATTGTAGAGGCCTTGTTGAACGAGAGCTTCAACGAGGTGCGTGAGGCCAGGGGATTCAACGCCATCGCTATTGGTAACCAACACAATAGGCTTGGAAGCATCGAATTCGACAGAATCCCCGGTGGATTGTGCGGCATTGTCGTTGGATTGGTCGTGTTCTTGTTTTTCTTCTTCTTGTTGTTGTTGTTGGGCCCCTTTTCTGTTGAGAAGCGCTTCTTGCAGATTGGAAACGAGGCCCGGTGGCATCATCTTGCAACGACGTCGTTGCGCCGAAACGACGAGGAATTGAAAGTTAGGAAGATTGAAAAACCCTAATAACGGAAGAGAAAGGGAAAAGAAGAAGGAGAAAAAGGGGGCAATAAAGCGCTTAAAATGAAAAGGAAGTGTTACACAAATTGGATAGACGATGAAATGATGATAGACCGCTTCTAACGCCGTTTACGTGGAAACACAACACAGTCAGAGAGAGAGAGAATTAGGGAAAATTATAATAAAAATGTTTTAGCAAAATAAAGAGGAATGAAGAAGGAAGAGTGATGGAACAGCCTTGACTAAGGCAATGCCATTGTTTAATATGTAAAATTTCAATTATAGATGTGAAGATCAAATTAATTATTGATGTGCTGTTTCTTTTTTTGACGTCTTACTAGAATCTTGTTATCATGGAAATGATACAAACAAGAATAATTATTACACTCAGGAAATTTTGTTTTCATGACGTCAATCTTGCACTTCAATGCAAAAATGTTTAATAAACTTGATGACTGAATCTACTACCTGAAATTTAAGGCCCTTATTTGCCCAGCTATATTCAGAAAATAAATTAAAAGTTATGCATTATTTAAATAGATAAAATTAAAAAATGTAAAGAACATAAATAAATATATTTTTATCCTTAAACAAATAAAAAATGATTTTCTCTCACGGGATTCACTCTCATTTTTAAATTTGGTCAAGCTAGTTAAATTGTCTATTTTATCGAATCTCTAATTTTCATTCTTTTCTGTTGATTCTATTTATGCCAAAACAAATAACGCATTCGTGAATATTTTATGATTATTGGCATTTCTTGTGTTATTTGAAGTATTTCACTGAGTGATGTTCATAAATATGTTGCACCTCTTTCGAATGATGCCTAATGTCAATTTAAATTTTTGAATGGTAGGTCAATCAGGTAAAAAAGGCGAGATTTAATATATTATATTTGTTACATGTTTAAATTTACTTTTTTTAATGAAAAATAACTTTATTTTATAACTTTCTTCATAAATTTTCATATATATTTTTTTAAAGACTAAAGACAAATTAACATAACCGCACACTAGTTATGCATATGTCGTTTGTTTTTTTTATGCAAAAATTTTATAAAAAATGAAATTTCGATGTCCAATCCGTGAAAATGAGATTGGAAAAGGATGAGAGGTGGCACAGGATGGCGTCATGAAAGAACAAGTCAACATGGTATAATGTCAGGCATTACAAAAGAGGTGCATGTCGTGTAGCCAACGATGATTACAATGATAGGAGATACAACCAAAAATATTAATTAGTGCTTATCCGATCTGAATCTGATAAGACTTTTGTTTGGAGGATTTTAAACTTTGTTTACGAATTAATGGCATGGAAAGTATGGACATGATTAAAGGCAATTTTCTCAGAAAATAATAAATATTCTTCATGGGATGATTTGGGTTAACATATTTCGCATGCAAAAATTATTTCCAACACCCCATTATATTATAATTTAACGTATTCCTTACCATAAGATTACTTTTTTTAACAGTTATTTTGATGCATTCTTTTATTATTAAGTCGCATTTCACGGTTACTCATTAATTAAAAAATTGATTTTTAATGCTTTAAAAAATGCATAATAAAAAATTAATAATAATTTTTATAAAAATATATTCCACAATTTTTCGTAATATATCCTTAAGCACATTAAAAAAATAGCGATTCAAAACACTAGTATTAAACATGGCCAGATAATAAAAAATATATTTAGAATATACTTGGAAAAAGTATTGATTATATTTACATACCACCAAACCTTCAAATTAACAAAGAAAAACACAATAGTACGATGAAATGACTTTGTTTAAATACAACGGTCATCAGAAAGTTTTTCTTCTGAAGTTTATGTTTATATAATAACGAGCTTTGTTTTCTCCGCGGACAGCTTGCGAAATCATGTATCAGTACCCACGTCAATTTATAAGATGTACTATTGTTTTATAGTGCGTGATATTGTTTGGTAACTCCTGTGCCATGCAAGCGTAGTAGCTCAAATGAGGCTATTGTGTAAATATGTAATTTCACGTTGCGATAAAGATGAATTGGTATACCAAAAAGCGATAGTTGACAGAAAATGGAAGGCAAGTTCACTTTTAGCCTTGCCTACACGTATTATGCGATATTCCAAGTCCCATTCTTCATCTTGATATTCATGCAAAAACTTTTTTGACAAAGAAAATCTTAGGTTCATGCTATTGGAGGCAAAGCTAAAGATTCTTATATTGAAGCAACAATTCCTGAGTCAAACTAATACTTACATAAAGGACAAGTAAAACATGTCAACGAGGTAGTAATTTAATCAAAGGATAACGAGCACCTTTTGTCACATGTTTCCAGTGCCCATCATGAGTTACCCCTACCCTTTCGTTTCCTAGCTCTACTTCTCAAAGCTGACACACGGGCCCTGTTCTGAGTCTCCTGAAATGAAAAGACCAGCTTAGTTTCCCAAAAAGCAAAAGCGTGTAAAACAACACCGTCATAACTCACCCTTGATACAATCATATGTTTCAGGGCTGCAACTAACTCAAACAAATATTCATAAGCTGCCTTGTGTGGCTCCTGCAAAAAGAACCTTCGGTTTAGGACTAGCCATATGAGCAAAGATGTCGGTAGATCATATATGACGCTACCTGAATATTGGAAGGCAGAGGCAATCCTTCCACCAATGGAGCCCTTGGAACCTCCACAACGTGAGTACCACCTGAACCATCAGGTAGCTGAACACTCCAACATGGAGCATTATATATGCCTAATGCCCCAAAGTCAAACTCGGGTCTCATGATCCCATCTGGATAAAATCTTTCAGGTGCAGAAAAGGCAGAGGTTGAGGCCTGGACGTGTTTATCAACAAAAGTAAGCTGGTTCAATGTTTTCATCTTTAGCACGCAATACAACATAATGATGAGAAATTTTATGTTGCTACTAATCCAGTGACCTAAAAATCCACGATTCAAACTGATAAAGACGTAAATTAACATTCAGATTCAATCTCACCCTTCAAAAATATCGTTCATCTCTTCAAATATCAACAAACAAGAGACTAAAAATTGAACTAATTTTTCAAGTTAACAGAATGTAAAGCTTGACAGACATTAACAGCCAAATGGCTATATGAAGTGATAAATGCAGATTGTCTACTATTAGAAATTCCAATGCTCTTACACAGAATTATACCCATGCATCCTATAGTTATCACATGAAAAGGAAAGCTGAGGAGCACTTCTGGAAAAATCTATTTGCTAACATACACTTTGAGAAGAGTCTAGTTTACTCGAGTCCATGTCATTAGCATCTAAATCAACATAAGGATCCACCTGGGAAGCAAGCGATACAAAAGTCAGACACAGTTAACAAAAGATGATAAATATCATTTTAATAATTTTTTTATTATTAATATGCATTTAAATGTTTATCTTCTATGCACAGGACAATTCCCACATACTAAAATATTCTACCATATAAATTCTCTTTATACCCATAATTTTCTAAATTGATTACTCAATGATTTTTATTAGTATTCTCCACATTCAATGCAAATCTTATTTTCATCCCATTTTAAGTTAACCCCAGTTAGGATTTGATCCCTTACAGTAGAAAAGAAAATACATCATGCAGATTTTGTACATTTAAGCAGATAAGAACTCATTACCGTCGGTCTTTCTGCTGATTTGAACGAGTGAAAGGATGGTTTAGCAAAATCAGGCGACTTCAACACTGCATATGCCCCCTCATTGTAATATCTCCTTTTACCAAACTGCAACATAGAAGACCTTTAAATAGATATAATAATTTATATGCTAAAGATCTCAAAGTCATACTACTTATAACAAGCTACATTTCATCACTCAAAAACAAAAGTGCATGAGATGTCAACAGTATAACAATTCCCATGTGAAGAGTTACTAGTGAAATGCATACCACAAGTTTATTATGTAGAATTTTCCATTATTTAAATGATAAATCATTTGAAAACACGCATTCCAACATACTGGATTTCTAAACAAACATTGGATCCACTAGGAGAAATTCTGACCAACCTAATTCGCAACAGTGGGAACTGCATAAACTGAATGCCAATAATACATATATGCTAGCATATATGACTATGGCTGAGCTTATGTGTTTCCAAAAAAACATTCAGTGAAGCCATTTCAAATTTTCAACTATTCAACCAAAGTACTAAGAATTATGAAATTGTGAGGGAAAATGCTACAGCTGCAACAAATGCAAAACCTTTGAATAAAGGGATTGGATAGTATTAAAAAATTGCTAGTTGCATATGCAAAATTGAACCTGTGGGTAATCTGGAGCACTAAAAAGTGTATATAGTTTTCCCGATTCTCCATCATGATCTAAGCTGTATCCACTCAACATATCCCCAAAAGCATCTCTACCAGCCCTTGCATCAGGTCCTTCATGTGATCTGATAATCAGCTATGCAGCAAGAATAATATTTACTAAGAGTAAGAATACTAAGTAGTCAAATAATCTTTACTAACTTATACTGGTTCTTTATATACATCTAAACATGCAATTCAGCTTGAACAATGAAAGGTATCATTGATGACAACTTGTGATAACAGCAATTCCAAACATCTTATAACAAGCTTAAGCATGGGATTGTAGTGATTCCATTCTTGGTGATCAGAGTGAAATAAATCAACAATATAAATGAAATCATTACTCCCCTGTAAAGGGGTAATTCATGATAAAGGAAATGAGGAACAAAACAAACCAAGTGCATAAAAATTCAAAAAGTGAATACTTCAATTTTTGGGCTGGAATATGAAAGGATGATTATAATGTATATAATTTCAGTTAATATTAAACTTACTGATTCTGGGAATATGAAAGGAAAGAAGAAAAGTAGGAAAACTATGCTTAAACAAAGAAAATAAGAAAAAAAGGGGGCAAGGACAGGAATTAGTCTGGGTTTGAAGCTTTTCATGTTGGGGCAAGGTCAATCCAGATCAAGGGTTTTGGGTCAGCAACAGCTCAAGTGCCCCTTTAAAAAGTAAGGTTTCCAAAATGCAACCAGTGAGGTAACCCATTAGGGCAGATGACAAAAATTCTCCTGATGCAGCATCGAAGGCCTCTAACATCATGCCCTGGACACACTGATGAGTTAGAGACCAGGTGAATCCTGTGAAGATACAACATAGAAGTGCAGACTTCTGAGGTGACTGGAAGCCTATAAATAGTAGGAATGGGGAACTGCAACCTGTATGGACCAAATTCATATTGCTTATTCCCTTTCTAATAAGAACACATTACGGTTTTGGCTATCCTTTTCTCTCAGCCTCCAGTCTGACACACTGACTATATGATGTAGAGGGAGAAACCCAGTAAAATAATGAAACAGACATGCTTTATTCTCCAAAACAATAGGAAGACAGCCTATAAAATTCTTTGACTAGAGGATACTGACAACGTCAAAATATCATGGCTATAAAATTCTTGGTACTATACTACTATAGTCAAATTATAATTTTGAATATTACCTTTAAATTATGCTGCTTTAAGAATGCCTCAGTGCAATCAGGACCCCACCATAAACCAAATTTTTGACCTGAATTATCCCTCAGACCATCCATGTCAGATGGTTTTGACCACACAACGTCACTCAATAATATGTTAGGACCTTCATAAGGGGAATCTACATAAGTTCTTTTAACTTCAGATAACTCAGTTAAGGAACCAAGATCCATGTTCTGTGTCTTCTTCCATTTCGATTTGTGTGAAGGGGTTGCATATATGCTACGGAAAAGCCCTCCATGAGTAATATAAACGCAGTTGGCAATAACTGAAGCTAATGGAAGCTCCTTGAAACACTCTAGGAATTTGTTGTAGACATCTTCACCTTGATCACCATATTTGGTCGATACCTCTTTCTTAAAACCATATCTTGCAGTACAATATCTTGATTCATGATTTCCACGAAGTAGATATACTCTATGAGGCATCAAGACCTGAATATGCAATGGCAGATTTTACAAACTGATAATAATCAGGGAGTAATATATAAGTATTCTTTTTGGTCACCATAATAGTTATGAAGTCATACAAATATTTCTAAACAGTAGTATTCTGTGGTTTTTTTTCCCTCCTGGTGAATATACTACAACAAGGCAACAACCACCAACAAAACCATGAAGAATCTCAACATTTATTAAGTTTCACAGCCATCACCTTACCTTCCAAGCCAGTAAGACCAATAATACTTCAATTCCCCATGCTCCATTATCTACATAATTTCCATTGAAAACATAAATCTGGTTCTCAGAGGGCACTCCTGCATGCTTCATTAGAAACATTAAATCATGAAACTGCCCATGTATACCACCTACTACAATGACTCTTGAGTCTTCTCCTAGACAATTAACCTCCACACAGTTTGGTTCTTTACATAAAATACTGCAAGCAGCATCTGTCAATTTCTCCACCAACATGGTTGGCACAACATGACAGAATCCAGATGGCAACATCTTCCGTGAAACCTGCTCAAGCATGAACATCATGTCCTGAACCCACTCTATGGTGACACAATCATCAGGGGGCCACATAAGAAGTTGCTGAAAGCATGGTGGTAACAGAGACTCCTGTACTTCATCTATCCCATTTTCAAATCTTAAAACATGTTCCATGTCCAATATCTCATCTTCATTTGTCATACTTTGTGCCCCATCAATCAGGGCATCCCCATTGCTAATCTTAGTTGACTCAACCATGGCACTATCTCTCACCCCTTCATCCACAAAGCCAACCTGTAAAACTGAACAATGTACCTTAAAGAGAAATCTTAAATACAGAGAAAAGGAAACAAGTTATAATAATAATAATAATAATAATAATAATAAAATAGCAAGGAGTATTAACCTCTTACTTGTTCTTCAAGTAAGTCAGGCCTAGTTATTGTAACTCTAGGTTGTTTATCAATAATCCCATGCGCGATTTCTTTCATCCTCATGACTAAATGCATCCTCTGGTCATCCAATCCTTCAAAGGACATCCTACTAAATATTTGAATGATATCCCTGGACGCACACACCTGCAAACTGCATCAAGTCAACTAAGAGAGGGAGAGATAAAATATCATCAATCACATAATCCATCGCAAATCAATCAATGAAGGAATTTGCGTGAACCATTTTCTCAATGCTGTAGCGCAAGGCAGTAATCACATCATTCTTGGTCACCTGTAAATAACACCCAATTTATGAGTGAATGTTCAGCAAGACAACAAAAATTGTCAAAAAAACACAGTAGCTGTTTATCTCTCTTAATCTTACCTTTCTATCTCGATCATCAACAACCCCACGTGCTATCTCTCTCATCATCACTAAGGAATGAACTTGCTGGTCATCTAAATTTACCAATGACATTGAATTTATTCCTTCTAGAATCTTCTGGCACCCACTCCTTATTCTCTCTTTGTGGTGGTCCATTACTAGAACCCAAATAGATAACTACATTAACTGTCACAAGCAACAACCAAAATACCCTGATGAACACTTTCACTCAAACTGACATCAAGATAGTTATAATAACAGAATAATGCAAATCCGAATTAGATGAATCAGGTATAGCAAACACCTCACACCTGGAATAACCTACTTTCTTCACTCCAATGCGAAAGCCCGTAGCATGAACGAAGGTATTTGAGTTGAGCAAACTCTACTGTTTTTTTTTTCTTTTGTATTTCTTGAAATTGGAAATTTGCGTGCCCTAATTAGGGTATGGCTGCAATAGGAGCTTCAAACCATTCGCTTTATGCTGAGCGACGCATGTTTCCCGAGTGGAATGAAGATTAGGGTTTGGTTGATGGTGATTCACTTATTCTAACGCAGAATAGAAATATGATTAAAATTGATAAAACAAAAACAAATGGCGGAAATGATATTATTGATAATTAATAATAACAAAATTAATCTATTAGTCTAATGATACCCTTGCGATAAAAATGTTTGTATTGAAGTGTTTTCTTTTTCTTCTATTAAAGTTGAATTTTCCTAGAGCATGATGAAGTGTTAAGACTGGTTTTATAGTATTAAAAACTAAAATAATTAGATTTTAAAATAAAAAATACCAAAAAAAATAATAGATGTTTATAATTTTAAAAATTTTTAAAAATATTTTAGTCTAGCATGAGTATTCTAAAAAACTGTAGCTTGACTTTTATTTTATTTTTTTAAGTTTTTTATTAGCAAACCCTCTTGAAGGTTAAAAAATAATTTAATTTTATATATAGATTAGCATGATTAAGTATTAAAATATTATATTTAAAATTTAACATAAAATAATAGTTATTATTGTAAGCCTATAAAATATTATTATTATTTGCATTTTGTTAAATTAATTGACTTATTAGAGTTAAAAGATTTTGAAATGATATTACTAAAAAAAACTTTTAAAAATATTTTAATTAACCTATTTAATAAATAAGTTTAAACTCTATGTAAGCTATATCTTACATGTTAAACAAGTAATTTAATCTATTTAATTAATTTGATTTACTTTAATGTTACTCTTAGTGTTATTTAACACTTACTTAGTGCACTTTCGTACTTACTTAGTACCGTTTGCATCTTTTGTTATTTACTTAGTGCACATTGATGTCCTTTTAGTGCACTTTAGTGTTTACTTGATATCTCTAGGTGTAGATTTTTTGTGCTATTTAGTGTCTCTAATGCTTACCTAGTGACTTTTGTGCCAACTTCTAAATCAAATCTATAAGTTTTGTTATTTTGTAATTAGAAGAATGAATCTAAGAGACAAGAGATGAATCTAAATAAATCGTGATAATAAAGTTATTTTGCCACTTACAATACTTATCACATATTTAAGTTGTATTTAGCTCGATGAGAATTGCACTTCAAAATGTCTCGTAAGACTTATCTATCTTATAGGTTCATCAACAATTAAATGATATTATTAAAAAAAAACTTAATTAACCTATTTTATAAATAAGTTTAACTTCAGTTTAAACATCATGTAAGTTACACCCTCACATCATTAGTCAAAAACATTTATTTGAATTAATTTATTTTAAATAATTATTTATGTGATTAATTTTTTTAAAATACTTGTTAATTGATATTTTTTTTTAAGTAAAGTGTTGGCCTAAAGACTTAAAGTAATTATTGCAAATAAAAAATATAAAAAAATGTCTATAAATAAAACTATTTCACTTTATTTAAATTAGTCAAAATTTAAAAAAATAATGATTAAATATTAAAATAATAAAGATTCTTACTTCAAACAAAAAAAAATTGACTTTTACATAAAGAATTTTTTCTAATTACTAATTACATATTTTCCTTAGACATAAATTCTGGCACATAATTAGGGAGATTATAAATTTAATTTAATTTTGTATAATAATTATCTTATATTATATATATATATATATATATATAGAAAATTAATTAAATTTATTATATGTAAAAAAAAAAAAGTTTGTATTAGAATTTTTTTCCCTCTCTTGCTTGTTTTCTTCCTTGAAGAGAGTTACATAAGAGTTTGTTTTCATAGAATAATTAACGACTAAACTATTATTTTAGTCTTTAAAATTATAAAAGTCAATCATTTTAATACTTTAATTTTTTAAAATGTTACATTAATTACTAAGTGTTTTTTTTATTTATCATTGTAAACATTTAAATCACACATTACTAATAAATAAAATAATGACATGTCATATTAGATATTATGTATGATTGTTTAAGTTCATATAATATGTGATATTTTTAGACAATTTAGTCATTAAAATTATCATCCAGTAGTTATTTTAATTGTTATTTTTTAAAACTTATTATCTACCATTTTTTGTTTTCATCATTTTTCTGATATCATCATTGTTAGGAATTACCATTATTACCCACCGTTTGAGATTTTTCTTTATTTATAGTTTTCAATTCAGTGATGTTCAATCATGAATTATGACACCATAATATTTTCCTTCTCTTCCTTCACCATATGTATATTAGGATGAGACTCTAGTAACAACACATATAGAAGTATCGTGATCTGTTTTGCTCATTTAATTCAAATTCAGATAACAAAAATGAATGTCGACATGAATCAAAATGGTTCTTAGTCTTCAACTTAGTTATTTTCTCAATTTTCACACTCTCAACTTCTTCAAATAGCCTTTTCCCTTCAACCCAAGCATGCATTCTTCAATGTGAAGTTCACAATACTTGTTTTTTTTCCCACATCTGTAAAATTAATAGTTTCACTAAAACTCAATGTAAAAACTTATTTCCTTGAAACACCCTAAAAGTCTATTTTGAAAAAAAGTTTGAAGTTTTGGTGTAATGAGTGTGGTGGAGTTCACTCACATTAACAATGAAGACATTAACTTAAATCTTAGTATGAGAGTAAAAAATGTTTCATTTTCAAATGTGGTAAAGAGCAAGCTGGGAGAAAAATACCACATTTGTATAAATTTAAAGTAGAAAACTTTAAAATCACGATTACTTACGGTAGAGAATACATATACAAATAGTTGTCAATAATAGTGTTTTTCGATAATAATAATAATAATGTTAAAAGGATGAAGAATAAGAAGAATGATGAATTTCATGAACTAAAATATTTGAAAAAATATATCGTATTAGGTATAATATTATTTTTATCACATGATTAATTAGATGTGTCACTTAATATAACATATAAATATTTTATTATTGTATGTTCAATATTATGTGACTTGATAAATTAAAATGATAAATAGAGACAAAATTTAAAAAATAATATAATACTTTTAAAATTTTAGATATTAAAATACATAACACTTATTATTTTAAATATTATAAGAGGATTTAGTTGATGATTAATTAAATTTGTTGTTTACTTTTTAGCTTGGTTTTAGCCCAATTGATAGTAAGTTAAGAAGAGGCTATAAAATTTTTCCAATTATCAAATTTATAATGTACGAAGTTAATAAAGAAGTTAACTGTATATGAATCATTTACATAGTTAACAACAACTAATTATCTTTGTTATTTCATTTTTACTTTACGTTGTTTTTTTATTAAACCACTAAAAACAAATGCTTTTGGCTTCTTTTAGCCTTGTTCCAAGCATAATAAATCTAGGACATAGATAAACCTTAACCCCCAAAGCTAATTGTCACAAATTGTCTATTTTCTGATGGGAAATAACTTCTGTAGAATATATGAAATCTCAATCCTAACATCTCGAAAGCACTGCAATGACAGTTCCCTAACAATACAGTAAACTTAATTAACCTTCATATTATCGATCTTGTTTTTACCTTTGCTCCCCTTGATAAAAAGTTTAACGATGTCGTATGAAATGTGCACGCCAGCAAGGTGCATGCATGAAATACATACACAAACAACAATAATAAACTAAATATTTCTTCTCCCAAATGGAAAAGAATTATAATATTTTATTACATAAACATAACTAGCAATACATGTACTATGAAATTATAGCTAGATTTATTTATCGATTTATATATCGATTTATCGATGGGTGAGATATTCAGCAAGCACAATAGCACTTTTCATCATCTTTGCAGGAGCCTCCAAGTAAACCTTCTCCTATTTTGCACACATAGTCACACTGTGAGTTACCAAGTGGCTCAACGCATCCAGTTGGGAACAAAACACTAACCTGCTCACAGTTTTCAGCCTGCACCACCATTTCTTCTGCAATTTCCAAAGGAAGATTACTAACTTTTCTTTTTTCAAAACATGTTTAGACAATGCCTTAAATTTAAACTTTTTAGCGATATCATCTTATTATTTGCCTTACTTACTAATTAAACGAGTGATATTTATATTTTTATTACTGTTTTATAAATATTACAAAAGACTGATACAAACATGTTTTAAAACGTATAACATAACATTATTAAAATATAGACGTACGAGAAGCTAAGAGAACAATGAAGACGAAGCACAACCCAACAAGTGATTTTCTCTCCATCGCTGATTCTCTTCTGTGTTTTTTTTTCTCCGGAAAATGTTCTTAATTAAGTTGAGGTTCTCAATGCTAGAATGCGTTTCTATATATAGAGTTCTTCAGCTTGGATTCATATTATATATGGAAACATTTGATTTAATTTACTTTGAGCGATTTTTTGTTTTTATTTATGCGTTATAGAGTAAATTATTTGTTTGTTTTTATTTATTTATTCTCTTAAAATGTTATAATTTTTTATTTAATATATCATTTTAAGGGAATTTAATAAAAAATATAACATTTATGAAGATCAAATGAGAAACTCATGACATTTAAAAGAATTGAATAAAAAATTATAATATTTGAAGTGATTGAATTAATGAAAAATATAAATTATAAGGAGACGACCACATATAACGAGGTATAAATAAATAAAATATATTATAAAATAATTGTCTAATAAAATTTAAAATAAGAGATTAAATTAAAAAATTATAAACATGCAAAATGAAAATTGATTTTACAATAAATTAAATTAATATCCATATTTTTTTTAATCTTCACTCCAAAGATTAATTTTGTATCATTCACAGTATTATTTATAATAAATAAATATATATTTGATAAAATCAATAAAAATAATTATATGTCATAAATTTATATTAATTTTTAAAAATATTTATAATATCAAATGATCAAATTAATATTTATCATATTAAGTAAATAAATATAGTTATTTATATGAATAAAAGGTGATGAATACATCATTAATGTAAATTTTATGATAAGTGATATAAAAAATTAATATATTTAAAAATAATGATTTATATTTCATAATTAAAATGAAAAATCAATAATTACTTTTTGT